CACTAGACTTACCAGAAGGATCACTTCATAAGTTATATAAAGGTCTAATCACTATGCTGTGCATCCGAAACTAATATAATATTGTATGTCAACTATAATTTAAAATATTCATTTTAATTAGACAGACACAGTTCCTGCCCTTGAGTTACAGCCTGGAAAGCAGCTGGACATGCAGAATCAGAAGTGGGGCTCCGCTGGCGGGCTCAGCTGGCCTCTCACCTGTTCACAGCTGCATCCTATGATGCTAGTGCCATGCCAGAGTGGTTACTAAATACTTTCAGTATCGCCCCTGTAAGCAACTGCAGTGTGACGTGGCATGTCCTCTGTTAAAGGCACATGAATGATGCTAGAGAAAAGGCACTCGTCACATCTAAGTGGAATGATGAGTAGCCTCACAGGCTCTGTGGTGCTCTCCCCAAACCTACCAGCCCACAGTGATAGTTACAAAGAAACACGGGCTTTTTAGGTTGGAAGGGATCCTAGAAATCAGCTAGACCACCCTCTCCACTCTACACAGAAAAGGGTAGAATCACAAAATGCTTCTGTGACTTCTGCAACCACCTGCCTTGGTACCATCAGATGTGCTTTTAGACGGGTGAGCTGTGGAGTGGTTGGTCAATTTCAGCCAGGTACCATGCGTCCTCTTGGGGCATGTGGCACCTGTGAAGGCCATATTTTAGAGGGATGATGGCTTGGTTCCTGTTCTTCTCAGGTAAATTCATTTCGCAGCAGCACACCTGCGGGGCACGAAACGAGGGAGCTGCTCCCATTGGATGTCCAGGGAAAGCCTGGGAAACCCTTTTACAGCCCTTGCCCCCAGCGCCCTCCGTGAGAATGGGGATAGGGACAAGATTAGTTTCCAACTTTGTAGCAGCACAAAACTCTCTTCAAAGAATCTATTGCCTGAAAGGTGAACAGACAAGCAGGGCTTGTCCAGCCAGGGGTGGGGAGGCAGCTTGAACCCTCACCTGTGTCCCAGACAACTCTGTGTCCTCAAGGAGCTGCTGAAGGTTCCACAAAACACAGTGTGAAATCAAAAAGCATATGATCACTAAGATCTAAAATCTGAAAATCTCTAAAATTTCTGTGAACTTCTACAATGTGTTCCTACTGCTTGGGCTGTTCACTGAGACCAAAGGAAGGCTGCAGTGATGAAGGGCCACACCAGTACAAACTCACAGCAGAGGACACTGTGATCCGCGATGCAAGAGAAACGACAGAAAACAGGCGAAGCTGAGCCACTGTAACCCATCCGCACTCCCTCTACATCTCAGGATGTAATTCCAACCTACTATCAATGGAAGATAAAGTGATATTAGAAAAATAAAGCAATTACAATAAAAGTCACATTGATCATGAACAGTTTGCTGTGTTCTTGAGATATCTACATACATTTATACATACTCATATACACAGTGTGTATATATATTTATACACAGTCCTCTTCCAAATTTCCCTTTGTTTCATTTTGGGAGCTTGTTTGCTCCTTACTAGATCTAAGTTAGACCCCCAAAGCTACTATCTCTATACACTGATTTCAATGATACCTTGGTGACCATTTTTAACCCAATGATTTGAATAACTTGAGAAAAGTTGGAAATGTCATAAAATCTAACGAGTTATCTGTTAAAAATGTAAATGCAATCTCATGGTTAGTGTGCTTGGGACACTTCTTAGCTGCCCACCTGTGCTCGACTCAATGTGAAATCCACATCATGACGGGCCCTGGGGACCTCACCAGCCTTGTGTCCTACTCCTCCCTCCCCCCACTTCTGGTCCTGAAGTGGCCATGTGGCCTTGTCTCCCTTCCATGTTCTCTCCCATCCTTCGGCCTAGAAAGGACATGTTTCGGCCAGCTGTTCTAACAGTCTTCATCCTGCACACCCAGCATGAGCCTCACTTCCTCCAAAGCCTTCTTTGATGCAGTCGACACTAGGTATCCTGATCGACATTCCAGGAGCATCTTAACGTCTTTTCACAAACTTTGTGTATTTGAAACTGTCCAATTTATCATCTGTAATTATTGTTTCTGAATTCTTGTGGCCAGCAAACTATATGTGGACAGGGCTAACTGCATTGCTATCCCTGCGGCCCCAGCATCTCACAGGACCTGGCACTTGGCAGATATTCAGTAAATGTTTGACAATAAAGGACACTTAGAAAATTAACAAATGTTTGAACTTATTCCCGAATGACTAGTAGTGGTTTTAAACTGACTTTCATATTTTTATGTAAATGCTCTTTTGTTATAACAGATATTACGATGCCTTCACACTCGAATGAAAGGGCTTGTTCAGAACATCGATGCCTTCATAGAGCCATCTAGTGTCCACGGTGTTGAGTGACACTAAGTGAGGAAGGTACAACCTCCACGTGCAGCAGCAATTTAGTGCATCAGCTGGCCTTTGACTGATTCTTTCTCCCTCTGCCCTTCACCACATAAACACTGTATTCGTCATTCTAGAATTCTGGTAACTAAAAATGTGATGAGAGTTTGATGGTTGATGTGGTATGTGCTGCTCCCTGCTGCTTTGTGAAACCCCACTACAGTGACAGGAAAGAAATCAAATACAGTGATACCTTGGTTCTCGAACATAATTCGTTCCAGGAGGACGGTCGAGAACCAAATTGTTCGAGAACCGAAGCAATGAAACCCAATAGGAAATAATGGAAACTGGATTAATTCGTTCCAAGCCCCAGAAAATGCCTATTTACTGGCCTAATTTGTATATAATATGTAGAAAAACATAAGTCTCAACAAGAAATAAAAGTGTACAGTATGTCTAAGGGTTAAATTCAGTGTAAAGCGTGACTCTCTCCACAAAGCGTGACTCTCTCTCTGCACTCACACTGATGACGCAAGCAAGGCGCGCTGGGCGAATGAACGCCATTCGGCTCAACTCGGCTCATCTCGGAAGTTCGAGTTCCAAATATCTGTTCGGATTCCAAGACAAAAGTTTCTCGAATCTCCTGGTCGAATACCGATTTGGTCGAAAGTCAAGGCGTTCGAGAACCGAGGTATCACTGTAGTAAGATAACCCTCAGAACATCTCAAAATTGAAGGCACTGGTAAAGTTACCCTTCTCAAGAGGCTCCTGTGCCACATGTGCTCCAGCAGACTATAAACCAATGGAAAACATGGTATCCAGGACACAGTATACAACAAGGGGAGAAGGCACTGGGATTTGCCAGGATGGTCAAGAAGGGACAGCTCAGGAATCCAGCTGTGAAGTGAGGATAGAAATCAGTTTGGACAGTCTTGCAAGAGAGTGAGCAGAAGCATGCAAGATGTGTTGAGGTTCACCACCAGATGTCTTAGACTAGAACTAGAATTCCAATGAATTCTATTATCAATCAATCAATTAGTCAATAAAAGTCACAAGCAAGCCCAGAATCAAAAAGCCAGTAGTTTGTACTTCCACCTCCTGTTGGAAGAATCTGGAGACACAAGGCAGTGTGTGGTTATAGGGAACAGAGAATTGTGGCTACAAGGTTTAGAATATGATGGGTATAGCTAAACAGTCAACTAACAATGAAGCCTGTAGATATTTTCAATATTAGATGAGAAAGTTAGGCCTTCGTTTGATATGTCATGAGGGACAACGTCAGAATTTAGTTGTCTTGATAGCTTCAGAGTTGAGCTATACCTTGCTCTCCATTCATTTTAAAACATCCCTATGACTCAGAGAGCAATCTAATCTAATGAGTTTCTTTGACCTTCTTCGGTATTGTCTTCCTCCTGGGATGCCAGGCATTGTCAGAGCTCCCCTGACCTAGCAGGACTGCATTCAGTGGTGGGCAACTTTCTTTGGGGATGTTCCCCCACTACCCAGAGCACAGTGCAGTCAGCTTCCATGCCCCTGTGTTCTTCCTAGTGTTACCCAACCTTGAAGGCCAGGTTCTTGAGTCTCAGTGTGGGAGAAATGAGCACGGGCCTGGCCGGTGCAGCTCAGTGGTTGAGCCTTGACCAGGAGATCACCAGTTTGATTTCCAGTCAGGGCACATGCCCAGGTTGTGGGCCCAATCCCCAGTGGGGGGCATGCAGGAGGCAGCCAGTCAATGTTCTCTCTCATTAATGTTACAATCTCTCTCTCCCTCTCCCTTCTTCTCTCTCTAAAATTAATAAAGAAAAAAAATTAAAAAAAGAAATGAACACAGTACAAGACCAAGCAGATGCAGTATTACTGAAAGCAGCCGGTACACCAGGGAGTTGACCAGGAGAGAGAAGTCCAGCTCCCTGAGGGGCTCCAGTGTTTGCCTTATACAGGGCCCTTGGGATGCGCGTGGGGCGTGGGAATGAGGATGAGGTCAGTGCCCCAGATCACCATCCGGCTGTCCTTGACTTCCGAGTCGTCACGTGGTGTTTCCCACCATCAGCGGCCCCTCGCAGGGCCTGGACAATAACGCCTGCGTGAACATCCTAATGACTACTGGACAAACAACGACTGTGCAGAACGTGAAGTTAAGGAAGGGAGTCGCTGTCGTCCGTTCTTCCCTTGGAGGATGCGGTCGGGTCATGTCAACAACGGAGTTTCACTGGAGGTCGGAGTCGTGGTCCGGCCTGGAAGGCGAAGGTTCGGCCGCGACGGAGCCCGTGTCCCCCTGCACTGCGTCCCAGCGCTCCCCCGCTGCACTGAGGGCTCCCGGGACAGGAGGCTCCGGCGTGGACCAAGCAGGGAGGGGGCAGCTGCGGAGCGGCAGGGTCACAGACGCGCACACCGCCGCTGGGGGCGTCCGCAGGAGCGCGCCGGCCACGCGCACAGACCACACGGAAGCGCCCGGCAGTGCGCATGCGCCTGCCGCACCGGCGCCGGAAGCTGCTCGCTGTGCGTCACGTGCCTGGCGGCGCGCCCGGGATGCTGTAAAAGAAAGCGAAGCCTCAGGCGCGGAGGCGCCGACTTCCGGCTTCGCGGCGCCCGCAGGCGGGAAAGCGCGGCCTTCGGTTGGAGGGCGCCCTGGCCCCACCCCGCGGGCCACACTTCCGGTCTCCGGGAGGCGTGTTCCGGGGGGTTGGGCCCAGCGCCGGGCGCCGGTTGAGACACCTCTCGGCGTCCATGGAGGCGCCGGTGGAGGCGGAAGGCGAGAATGAGGACGGCGACAGCAGCTGCGGGGACCTGTGCTGCATGGACAAAGGCCTGCGGAGGTGAAGGGCGCTCCGGGGGCGGGCGGCACCCCGAAACTGCCCGCGCCCCCCGGGCCCCGTCGCCCTTGCCTGCCGCGTCCCGTCTACCCCCCATCCCCGGCCCTGCCGCGGTTCGCGGCTCCAGCCCGCGCCTTGCAGGCCCCGCCATGCATGCGTTCTCGTCCTTTCTGCAAGGCTCAGCTTAACCGTCTTGGGGCTCCCGACTCCCTCTTTCCTGCGGCCCAGACCTGGGCCCGGGGTGCCTGGCCCCTGCCCACCGCCTCCGCCCGCCCTCGTGCCGTCCCCCGTGGCGCCGGTGCCGGGCCGAGCGCAGGTCCGGCGGGGCCTCCAGAGCCCCCGGAGCCTTGGCACGTGCTGTGCCTTGCGGGGTCCGGCCTCTGCCAGCCTGGCTGCTCGTAACTGAGGCCTCTTGTTCTGGGTCCTGGCCTGGAATTTGCTGGAAGACCCCAGGGAAACATTTTTCAAAGGGAGTTTTATGTGTACTAGTAGCTGCCCTTTACGTTACACGCAGGGTGTCCTCCCCAAAATGTAGACACAACTGAGTGATTATAAAGCTGGTGTTTATTAAAATACATTCCGTTTTCAAATTGTAATAGAATCTGCAGACACCCTGTGGATTATCACAGTTCTGCAGGGCGGGAGACTCAGGATGTGAATAACTCTAAGTCTCCTGCAGCTGGTGAGCGATTTGCTCGAATTCAAACCCATTTCCGTCTCATTTCACTGCCGCTTCCGTTGTGCCCGATGATCTGCACAGTATTCATTTCCAGAAGCAGAGATGTTTCAGAAAATAGATGTCTGTAGTTAAGTAGCAGCTCAGTAAATGACAAAAGCTAGATGAGTGGGAAACACTTCAAACAGTCGCACCTGTAGAGGTTGCTAGTTTGACATGCAGCAGTGCTGCTCCCTTTTCTGCGGGGGACAGAACATGGAGCAGACGCCAGGGCGGTGCCTGTCCCGGTTCCCGACTGCCGCCATCCAGCTCCCCTGAACTGTGTCCACTAGTTTGTATTCCTGGAATGGCTGTCTCCAGAGAGGTTCTGCTCTGAGTGGCAGTCATTGAGTGAATAAAGAGACGAGTTCCCTATAGGGGAGGTACATTCCAATTGTCAAGTAGGGGAGACCCGATTTTTCACTAGAAATGGCACCACCTGGTGGTTTCTTTTGAAATCAGCTACATTCTGGGTTAGGCAGCTGTTGCCAACAGTGAAGGAAGTAAGATTATAAACCTCGGAGCCAAATCTGGATTTATACCGGCTCAGTTAGGTAATTACAAGAACTTGGGCAAATTATTTAATTTCTGTAAACCTCGGTTTCCTTAGGCTACCTGCAGTTTAGGATTTTGAGAGTTGAATGAGCTGTGGATCCAAGGCTTAGTGAGGTTAACTCGTTTGCTCATGGAACACAGCAAAATAGTGGAGTGAAGATTTGAGCTGGGGTGTAGGGACCCCAGGACCTTTACACTGATACCTTCGCTGGGTGCTGATCATGTGGGGTAGAGAAGCTAGACATGCCCAGGGTCCCTTGCCTCTCCTGAGGGGGTTTCTGGTTTATATAAATGGTCCAAAATGCTGGTTTGTGGTAAGAATCACTGTACCTCATGAGACATTTCAAGGCTACCACAAGTAGGAAGGGTTTTATTATAGGATGAGTAGGAGTCACACTTATCTACATGCTGTTGGGTTAATTTTACTTATTTGATCATGATTTCAAAATCCATTTTTTACCCGCTTTCGATACTACATGTTTTCTCTTATAGCATATCAGAGTTATCCTTAGATTCAACCCTCCATGCCATCAATCTGCATTGCAACAACATCTCGAAGATCGAAGGCATTGATCGTGTTTGGAATTTACAACATTTAGATCTGTCATCTAATCAAATAAGTCAAATAGAAGGGCTAAGCACCCTGACGAAGCTTCGCACTTTAAATCTGTCCTGCAATCTGATCACCAGGGTAGAAGGTCTGTAAGTGGTTTCCGTGTGATACTTTGAATAAGGGAGATGATTTAAGTCCATTTTTTTCTTTCCCAGAAGAAGGGGATAAATAGTAAACTTGAAAACTGACCTTAAAATTTATTGTCAAAATTTTTCTTCTAGAAGAGTTATCAGTTTTTTAAAAATATTTTGTATAATACCGATAAAAATTAACTTCACTGTTACTTCATTTGAAACTATAGACTTGCTTCAGAGTAATCGGAAATAGTGTTGTAGTGCTATATAGCTTTAATTGATCATTTGAATCCTATAAAAGCTTTATTTTATTTTTTATTTTATTTTATTTTAGGACTTGAAGCACTAATTAATCTGACTAGACTGAATTTATCCTATAACCACATAAATGATCTTAGTGGTGAGTAGCTGTGCTTATTTTTCCTGTAATGCTGAATATTGCCATGTGTGGTGAGTTAGACTGAGCTCAGCATGTTGAAAACTGAATAATCCAATTTGTGGCCAAAAATCTCATCTGGGGCATGTGTTGGTGCCAAAGCTACAGCTGAATAAAAAACTGGAATACAAACTAGGGTGATCTTTAACAGAAAAAACTTGAGTAGGAAGAACCTCCTTTGGGGCAAATAATATTTTAATCTTAAATAATTAACGAATAGACTGCTCTGCAGAGAGGAAGAGCTCCGATAGAACTTTCTACAGTGATGACAGTGTCCTACATCTGTCTGTCTGGGACGCATCCAACAGCCACGGTAATCTTTGAGCATTTGAGCTATGCCTGGTGCACTGAGGAACTGGATTTGTCATTTACTTTCAATAAAATTTAAATTTAAATTGCAAAGCCACTTTAGGTCCTCCTGTATCTGGCACACCCGTGGCAGGTGTGCGTGTAGCATCCAAAGGCAGTGGCAGGTGGAAGTTCAGAGGTGCGCTCCTTCCTTTTTGATTTCAGCTTGTCTAAGGTGAACATTGTCACCTACTTTTCAGTTGAATAAAGATATACACTGATAAAATGAACAAAGTTTTGTAATTATTCTTCCAATTATCAGTTAGAACCAGCAGTTCCTCTAATTATCTTCATAATCTCTCTCGATATTTGAAACGGCCTTATTTGTTTGTTTTCTGCCCTGCTAGAAAGACTACCTTACACCAGGTGTTCAGTACACAGAAAAGTGAAATGATATAGTCCCTGCCCTTAAGCTAAAGTAGCAGCAGTATTTTAATTTTCTTTTTAATGTTTTTTCCCAAAATTGTGAAAGTGTTAGGACTGACTATTGGTTGTAGGTCTATCACTGCTTATGGCTGTTGAATAAAGTCTGTTATATTTTGGATGCAATTACCTCTCCTGAAAAATGTGACTCTTGGAGAAGCTCAACAACTATTTGCTAAAGATCACCGTGTGGACAGATACAGTTCTTGTTGCTGGGCGAGGTTGTGGAGCAACTGGAACTTAGATATGTTGCTGGTAGAATTCAGGATGGTACAAGTACTTTGGAAAACAGTTTGAAGGTTTCTCATAATGTTGAATGTACACTTTCCATTTCATACAATCCCTCTCTAGGCATTTACCCAGGAGAAGTGAAAACATGTCTGATCAAAGACCTGTATGTGAATGTTTATTTGATTGTATGGCTTTGCATATAATCGTGTTTCTAAGATTATGTATTATCTCCAAACACTGGAAACCACCACTGTCTGTCGCCTGATAAGCAGGTGAATTGTGGTGCATCCATGTGATGTAATATTACTTTTGGCCACAAAAAGGAGTGAACTACTGATATCTGTAGCAACGTGGATAAATCTAAAAACAATTATGCTAAGTGAAAGCAGACAGAAGGCTACACTGTATGAATTCAGCATTATAGCATTTCAACAAAGGTAGAATTATGGGCAGAAATCAGACCACTGGTTGTCAGGGCTTGAAGATGGGAGAGAACTGACGACACAGGGTCACGGATGGTGGAGGTGGCAGTGTTCTGTCAGTCATGGCAGAGGGTAATGGCTTCGTGGTGGTCAGAGCATGTCGACTCCACACCTCAAAGGGTGGATTTCAGTGACTAAAGAGATCGATGAGGAACGTGGAGAACATGTAGTAGGCAACCCTGGAAGTTCTAAGAGCTAATTCTTAGAACGACTGTATGTTATCGGTTCAGGAACACCTCGATAAAGAACAGTGGTATATGTGCTAGAGCATGCAGGGGGCACTAAGGCCTGCTCATGCCTGCTGGGTTGAGGGTCAGAGGGAAGGAGGTGTGGCTGGGGAAATGAGGGGTTCGTGAGCAAGAAAAGATAAGAGCACACTGGCAAAGGGGGATGGTTGCATGTTGTCATAGGTGTGACAGCAGCCGCTGGAGGGCTTTGAACAAGTGACGCGGTGCATGTGTTAAAGGATCACTCGGGCTGCTGTGTGAGGAGAGCGGATGTGAGGACGGGTGGGCGTTGGGGAAGCTGTCCCCAGCATCCGGGATGAGATGGTGAGACTTGGACGGGTGGAGACGGGAGACGTACTGTGTTTGCAGAGGGAGGTCCTAGGACTTGATGGGTGAGATGAGGGAATGGAGGAGAACGGAATGCAAGATGGTGAACACGCGCTTTCTCTGTAGTGACAGGCGCATGATGGGACTGCCTCCTGGCGTGGGAGGGTTGGGGAGGGATGCGCAGAGATGAGGAGATGGGAAGTAAGGATTCTCTTTTAGATTGGAGAACCTGCTAGACGTGTGTGTGTGTGTGTGTGTGTGAGAGTGTGAGATCAGGGGTTGGAGCTAAGGTCTGGCTCATGAATGGTATTGTAGCCGTTAAACTGCAGGATGTCCCAGAGCACCTGTGGATAGAGGAGGGACACTCCAGGGGATGTGCCCGCGTGCGGGTATGTGTGTAATTGGTTGCAGCTGAGGTCTGACATGTCAATGATATTTGTAACCATGAGACTGTAGGAGGTCCTGGATCACCTGTGGTTGGAGGAGGGACACTCCAGGGGACAGCCAGGGTTGTGGAACAGGACCTTACAGTTCGGGCTGCATCTCAACGGCCCTTCCGAGAGAAGGGAGGCTGGGACATGGGCCCACTGACAGCCTCCCTTCTCCAGGGCTGAGGGGGCCCTGCAGGCATTGACACCTCACACTTCCAGACCACACCTTTGCTCAGCAAACTCCACTTGGAAGCAAGTTCTGGGGCAGGAAAGAGAATCGGCCAGTTGCCCCCCTGTGTACATAACAGCACTATTTACAGTAGCTGAGATCTGGAAACAGCCCAAGTGCCCATCAGTGGGCGAGTGGATAAAAAAAGCTGTGGTTCATTTACACAATAGAATACTCTGCAGTGTAAAAAGAAAAGAGAATGTTACCCTTTGTGACAGCATGGAGGGACCTGGAGAGGACTATGCTAAGCAAAATGAGCCAGTCAGAGAAAGACGAGTACCACATGCTCTCACTCATGTGGAATCTAATGGACAAAATGAACTAACAAGCAAAATAGAGAAACAGCCAGCCCTTCGGGGGATCCTTGGGCAGGGTACATGGCCCAGGGTACCACGGTGGCGCCAAGCTTCAGGATGGGTTTCCTAGCTTACCACACCCTAGAGAAGTTGGGGCTACAGATAGTACCAGGGGACCAAATCAAGTAGCTGCTGTTTGTATTTGATGGTCAAACCAACAGTTGAAGTGGACTCGGTGTCTGCTTGTCAGAAAGGAGCCGGAGCCCTTGCCTACACTGTTCTGTGAGTGCCGGCATTGCGGGGGGCCCGTGGGTTTTGTTTGAAGACAACTCACCCCAAGTGGACTTGACAGGTCCTCCCTGCGGTGCAGCTTTCACAGCGAGGCCTCCCCCTCGCTGTGCCTTTGCCTCGCAGTGGCACCCACACCAAAACACTCCATGTGCCGTTCGGGAGACGTGCTGTGGCGTCAGCGGGGCTCTGTCTTGCAGGTCTGATGGCCCTTCATGGGATCAAACACAAGCTGAGGCAGGTGGACCTGCACGGGAACTGCATAGACAGCATCCATCACTTGCTCCAGTGTGTGGTCGGCCTGCACTTCCTGACTCACCTGGTTCTGCAGAAGGATGGCGAGGACAACCCTGTGTGCCGTGTGCCAGGTGGGGCGGCCCGCTCAGTGCTCTTGGTAGCCGTGTGCAAAGCAGTGCTGTGGACAGCCTGCTTTTATTGGTCTTAAGCTTTGCAACGTTTTACTGTGTGTTTGGAAAAACATAATTGCAGACGAATTATTTTATTTAGACAAACTAAATTGCTGTTAGAAGAATACGGTGAGCAGATTAGTACTATTTAGACAGTTTTACATTTGGTAAGTGAGTGCCTCAAAACTAAATTATGTCATTGAGATCTGTTCTTAGAGTACAGCTCGAGGCATCCATCGGTGAAACATCTGGTAGCTACAAATTCAGTTGATTCCAAAAGTAATTAACCTTTTGAACACGAGTTTTCACTTTGAATGATATGTCTCAGGGTACCAGGCAGTTATGCTGCAGACTCTGCCGCAGCTTCAAACCCTGGACTGCAAGAACACATTCGGCGAACCAGTGAGCCTGTCGGAGATGAACTCCTCCAGTCTGCAGTGCTTTGACGGTCTTTTGGATAAACTAGGTTCATCTGATTGTCCCCTCAATATAAGTGAAGACGAGGTATAGTATTGAATTTGATCCTAATATAAAGATACCTTCGGCTTAAAACTGGTCGTCGTGTGTGCTGAGGATCTGGGTTGTGTCTGTCCTAGGTCGTTGATGGTGTGCCATTGGTGACGGCCCCCCTCGGTGACAACATGGCCCCGCTTGACCAGTTTGCAGATAACCCGGCCGAAACTGGGCTGCCATCCTTCATGTCTGTGTGCCCGTCTTCTGAACCAGAGAAGGCTGATCATGACACCGATTTTCAGAATGAGATGAAACTTCAGAAATTAGATGATCAGTTTTTACAGCTTCTCAATGAAGTAACTATTTTCCCTATTCTTCTAAGTTATGTGTTTTCTAAGTCATATGTCGAAGAAATCATAGTTCAGAAAATTTAAAGTACAAATTGATACAAGAGGACCAGTCAGAAACACTGTACTGTGTGTGTGTGTACGCGTGCGCTTGTCTTTTCCAGAAGCGGATTGTCACGGCGCTGGTGGTGGGGAAAGGTGACCTCTTTCTCCTCATGCTCCTCGTCCTCCTCCAGACCTTCACCATGTGGTTCCCGCTGTGCCCACCTTATTCCCACCCACCCACCCACCTGTTCTTTCAGACTGAAGGGAACAGAAGTCTTCGGACTCGTATCTGTAAACATGAGGGATCGGGGGTCACTTTTCACCTCTCCTGTCATCTCGTCATTGTTTGATAGAACCACTTCTGAAACTCACAGCCGAGTTCAAGTTCATGTATGCACTTCCTGCGTCAGTTCTGTTTACACAGACCCTCCCCAAGTCAACCTCTGCTTCCCTGAGATGCTCGTTCTCTTCACCACTTTCAGTGGTTTTCAGTCTTTGAATGTATGGGTGAACTACTGTTCCCAGACTTGCTGCTGTTCGGGTCTCTGGCCCTCGCTCCAGCGTTCTTGCTCTGACCTGTGGGCAGGTTGGTCTTGACTGCACACCTCCCAGGACAAAGCACATTATAACACTCCCCAGAGTGGCAGGCTGTTGTCAGCTGTCGGCGCGACCTCACAACGTGTAATTTTCATGTTTCATTTTTTCCTGGAAGCAGAGGATGCGGTGGGGTGGTTGCTGTTGGGTGGGTGTCCATCCTGAGCTGCTGGATGAGCACGGTCTGCCGGGCAGGCAGGGCTGCGGGGCTCCTCGTGCCCAGCGCCGAGGCCCATGTCTTTGGGCCCCAGAGGAGACAGTGATGGAGTGGGACCTCCACGCTGGCCTGGCGTTCTTAGACGTCGTCAATGGCACACGGCTAGGCTTCCAACTCCGTTCCTCGGGTTTCACGTCCATCTTTCCCGTGACCGGCTCTTCAGCCAGTGTCAGGACTTAGGCCAGCTGAGCTTGAACTTGGAGCACACGTTGCAGCTCCTCTCACACCTGTGTCTTTGTCAGGATGGCCCCGTCAGGTGCGGGTGCCGGTCACTCCTGTCCCATGGCGTGGGAAAGGAGCCGGGGCTTATCTGAGCACTCTGTCGGTGACGACGTGACCACCTGCCGGCCTGGAGCTTGGTGGCCTGGAGTCTCCCGGATGACTGGCTGTGGCCTGGCGGACTGCTGGGGCACCAGGGCTGATCTGTGCTTGTCCTCTGGCTGGTTTCCGGCTCTGTGGCCACTGCTGTGCAGGTCTTTTTGTGAACTCTTGTCTTCACTTTTGTTGGGGGTGTGCTCAGGGACGTGAGGAACTGTGGGGCTCCCCCAGAGCGCAGGGCATGTGTCCGGCCCCAGCAGTGCCCACACCCCTGTGTGGTGCCACTGACCCTGTCCAGCCACTGCTGTGTCGGAGGCTCGGGGGTTCTGCTCCACATGTCGCTCGTGCTCATCAGTGGAGCACGTGCGTGGACTCACTGGGCATCGCACTCCTGTGGGAGGTGGCTGTCAAGCGTCTGGTCTGTGTTTTTACTGGATCGTCAGTGTGCTGCTGGGTGATGCCCATTCGTCGTGGTCTCCTTATGGGGCAGCGCTGCTCTAGACCCAGCCGCGTCTGTTTGGGAAGGGAGAGAGAGCAGCAGCTGGCGTCCTCACCACTTCTCCAGGCAAGCGGTGCTGGAGAGGTGGGGGACTCGGCGGGCCAGCCACACACAGTCCACCACGTGGCCTCTCCTGATGTCGGAACTTGTCAGAGGTATCTGACTCTTTTCTCAAATTGTGGATTGTATATTCACTTATTTTGATGGAAGTCCAGTTTATCCTTTTTGTTTTTTACGGTTTTTGCATTCTGTGAATTGTAAAAGTCTTGGGTATCCCCAGGTCACAGAGATACTGTCCAGCCCGGCTGTGTGGCTCCATGGGACTGAGGGGTCTGATTCAATTCCCGGTCCGGGCACATGCCCAGGTTGTGGGCTTGATCCCTAGTAGGGGGCGTGCAGGAGGCAGCCCATTGATGTTTCTCTCCTTTTCTCCCTAAAAAAATCAATAAAAACATATTTTTTTAAAAAGGATACTGTCCTGTGTTCCTCTCTAAAAAGCTCTGGTTTTCTTCCTGTGCTGAGTCTGTCTGTGGTGGGCAGCAGGGTCAGAGGTCACTGTTGTCCCCACGGATGGGCGGACGTGCTGTTTCCTAGCGCCACTGGTGGGAGGGGCTTTTCTCCCTCCTCTGGTGCTTCCGCTGCCTCTGTTGAAACCTGACCTTGCAGATTATAGAGCCCATATCTGATCCCTGTGTTCTGTTTGTGTGTGTGTTTTATACTAAGCCAGAACCACTCTGTCTTGATTTTTGTTATCTTATAGTAATTTTTGAAGTCGGATCATGTAAATCTTCCAATTCTTTCATTTTTTCCAAATTACTTTGGGTGTTCTAGGTTCTTTGCATTTCTTTAAGCTTTGGAATCAGTTGGTCTGTTCCTTAAAAATATGTATCTTAACATTGAGTTTTAAGTCTGTGATTGTATCTCTTATTATTTAGATCTCTTTCATTGTTCTTAATAGTTTTCAACCTATAAGTTTTATACATCTTTTATTGAATTTATTCTTAAGAATTTGGTTCTATAGCATGATCATAGACTGAACAATTTTTGTAGCTTTGTGTTCCAATTGATCGCTGCTTGTATGTAAAATGTAGTTGATTTTTATATACATAGCTTGTATCCTGTGACCTTGCTAAATTTATGTATTAGTTCTAGTCTTTGTTTTGTATCTTTCTGATGATTTCCTACAAGGAGACGTCCTCCTTCTTCCTGATCGAATGCCGCACCTTCCGCTCTGTGGCCATGGGTGGGGTCGCCAGTGTGGGCAGAAGAGAGTGGTGAGGTGGGCATCTCACTGGGCCCAGAGCATTCTCTGTGACACTCAGTGATGCTCGTGCAGGTGGTGCATAGATGTCCTTCCTCCAGTCAGGTCGTCTGTCGGGTGGGTGTCTCCCATGCGGTGAGCAGGGTGTGTGTGCAACTGCGACGTCGGGGTAGGGCGCCGCCTCGTGTTTTCACGGCTGTGCTGACTTCCAGTTCTTTTCGTTGTGTGAAGATGTGAAAATGCCCCACTGTGATTGTGGGTTTGTCCACGTCTCCCTTTAACTTTCTTAGCATTTACTCTTGCTTTTCAACAGTTTTGCTGCATGGTACCTGAGGATGGTTTTTCATGTTTATCCTGCTTAGGGTTTGTTTCTGAGAGTATTTTAAATCTAAACTGATGTCTTTGCCATCTGTGGAATTGTGGACATCATTTCCCCAATACGTTTCTGTCCCGCTCTCTCCTCTCTTCAGATTCCACTTGTCTCTGACGCTGACCGCGTGTGCTGAGGCGGAGCCCCTGGCGGGCCTTCCCCTGCCCTCCGTGCTGCGTCGCTCCCGCTGAGCTGCCTGTAGCAGCCGCTTCCTCTGCCAGCCTGCTCTTCTGTGAGCAGCCCGTGGATTGTTCCTTCGGACGTTATGCTTTAACGTTGTGAAATTTCCTCTTTTTAAAAAAGAATTCTTTTTCTCTGCTGAACTTTCTGCTCTCTCTGGTCATGACAAGCATCCTGTTTGTGTCACTGAGCACAGCTCTGATCACTGCTGTCAAGTGCTTGTCTGCTGGTTGGATATTGGGTCCTCCAGGTCAGGGCTCCTCTGGGAGCAGGTCAGGCCTCGAGGCTCCTCTTGCGGTGGGCACTGTGGGGCTTGCTCCGGGCTCTGCAACCATCACGGGTGCAGACACAGTGCCGTCCGGGGCCTTGGAGCACGTCCGTACTTCGTGGTGGCAGGCGTCCACCTTGCTTCGACCTCAGCTGTCACCTTGTCCCTGGGCCTGCCTACTCTTGCTCTTTACTGGGCGGCTCACCGTCTCTGCTGTCCTCTGGCTGCTCAGACCCCAAAGGCTCCTGCATGGTGTTCACTGACGTGTCCTCAGGTTAAAGCCACAGAGACAGGAAACACCCCATCAGGTGCTTTTCCCACGTCAGCTCCTGCAATAGGCCTGTCTGCTCACTTTTCAGGGCCTGCAGGTAGTTTTTGTGTGGTGTTCTGTGTGTGTTTTCCCAGAGTCTGCAGTGTCGCCGTGAGAGAGTCAGCCTTGTAGGAGCCTACTCGTTCGTACTGGACGCTGCTTCCCTGCGTTTCATCCCAGACACGCTTACCTTATAATCCCTTCGTCTGGCAGAAGTCCATCGTACTTTAGGGGAGTTCAGATTGAGTCTTTATACCAAATCAAACTGCTAACAAACTTTGTTGGTTTTTTTATTCTAGACTTCTAGTTCTTTAATAGATAATGTTCCCGAGAAAGACCTGAGACAGAAAAGAGACACAGATATGACTTCGGAAAGTGACTATGGAAACAGGAAAGAATGTAATAGAAAAATTCCTCGAAGATCAAAAATCCCGTATTATTCCAGAACAATTCAGACTATTAAGCATCACAACAAAAGCAGCAACCCTTCCGTAAGGTACTTGTTTCTGTGTTAGACATTCAAACAAAACGCACAGCTCATAGTGCTGGCCGCCTCCTCAAGCCCTCTTGTGACATCACGGACTTTCCCAATGTCAGTGGCGCGCTTCTTGGCCGGCTCCGGCTCGGTCTGTGCGCCCCTGGACATCTGTCCCAAGGGCCCTTTGGGAGAGACCCGCTTCAGTTGTGGAAAACACAGACCCTGCACATTCTGTGGGTTATTCTCTGTTTTATTCTCTGCAGCTGTAATCGTAAAACGAAACAGCCTTACTTTAAAGACTTGTATGTAAGGTCATCTCTAGCCAACTGCAACCAATTGGAAGAAGCAGAAGAGCAGAAGATGGACATGGTTAAAGTGGACAACAGTGGCTCGGAAGACAACACCTACCGGGTAGGACTGGAGAGTCGGAAGAGATGAATGTGAAGAACCTTAGTTTTAAATGCAGTTAGTCCCAGAAAAATAGTGCCTGTTCTTATGAGCAAAAAGGATTGTGTTTATTTCTGTTAGAGTGATGGAAATTAGTTTGTTTTTCCTCCTGGCTTCCAGATTTTGTGCAATGTTGCCATTTTTGTAACTTTTTAAAATACGTTTTTATTGATTTTATTTTAAAGAGAGGGGAAGGGGGAGAGAGATAGAAACATGGATATGAGAGCGAAACATCAACTGGCCACCTCCTGCATGCCCCCTATGGGGATTGAGCTGCAACCCAGGCATGTGCCCTGACCGGCAATCAAACCGGGACCTCTCAGTCCCTGGGACTGCACTTAATCCACTGAGCCCCCCCTGCTGGGCTGTTTTTGTAATTTTTAAGGAAATGGCAATTACATGTTTATTTAAGATCAGATTCCAATGAAATCCTGTATTCTTGTGGAGGAGGAAACTTGCCTAAATTTTCATTCTTATTTATTTATTTATTTTTTGATATTTTGTTCAGATAGAGTGGGGGGGGGGGGAGAGAAACATCGATGTGAAAGGGACACATCGAGTGGTTGCCACTCTCACAACCCAACCAGGGCCGGGGACAAACTGCAACCGAGGTACATGCCCTTAGCGGGAACCGAACCCGGGTCTCTCTGGACCGCAAGCCGACGCTCTACCCACTGAGCCAAACCGGCCAGGGCTCATTCTTATTTTTTAAGCAGGGCTTTCTGATTTTTGGCTTGCAGGTTCTGTTAAATGTGTAAAGAACTCTGTAGGTCTTCTCCAGGACTCTGCCCTTGTGCACACTGCCAGGATGTGTGTGTCACTGCAGGGCTTTCAGGGACCCCGACACCCAAGTGTGGACCAATGGACTCCAGATTAAAGGCATTTAAAATTTTTTAACTTCTTTTAAGAGTTGCCTGAGTCATTCATGTTGAGAGTGTTTAGTGGACTGATGTATTTGTAGTTGTATTGACTTGCCCTCATGTTACTTGTGAAGTGCTGGTTCTGGTTGTGATGTGCACTGTTCCTCCAATATAATCATTTTCAATGATTTCACACCTTTCTTGCTATTGGTGTCCTCCTCTTATTCTCAAGTGTAGAGGCTTTGACACAGAAAGTAATGGCAGTTGTCACTGCGACAGTGACAGCAGCCAACACTGCCTGTGTGTCGTGTTCTGGGTGCCGGGCCGCATGCGTCACCCCATTAGTCTGCTCAGTTCTTCCGCAGCCCTGGGATGAGATGCAAGGAGTAGTCAGTGACCTCTCCAAGGTCACAGCACTGTTGTTTTCTTCCAGACACTTGTTGAACAGCTGGACCAGGAGAGGGAGAAGAGGTGGAAAGCTGAACAAGCTGAAAAGAAGCTCATGGACTATATCGACGAGCTGCACAAACATGCAAACGAAAAGAAGGACATCCACAGCCTGGCTCTGCTCACCTCGGACAGGTAAGGGCAGCCTGCGCCCGGAGTACCTCCGTCCCAGCGAGCGGCCGTGAGGGCAGAGCAGCCTGGAGCTGAGGCTCTGCTTCGCTGGCTTGTTCAGAACAAGGAATGCGGGCCCACGGTCTGGGCTCCGCAGGAGGCGTAGACAGGGTGTGATCTCCAGTGAGGACAGCACAGCTCCTAGAGGGCACGCCTGCTCGCCCTCAGCCACAGCGAGCGCTGCATTGTTCAGTCCCCTTCGCTGTGGGCCAGTTCGCGTGACTGGTTTCAGGGACTCAGGAGAGTCTTCTTCGTGGCGCATGCTCGTTTCGGGTGGGGGAGGCGCTGGGTTCTGGTTCTAAGCCTTTTCCCATCTGATGCTGCAGTTCTCAACCTGTGGGTCACGGCCCCTTTGGGGGTTGAATGACCCTTTCACAGGGGTCGCCTAAGACATAACAGTAGCAAAATTACAGTTATGAAGTAGCCACGAAAATAATTCTATGGTTGGGGGTCATCACAACATGAGGAGCTATACTAAAGGGTCACGGCCTCGGGAAGGTTGAGAACCACTGGATTTCTAGTGAGAGTTCCTCTCCACTGCGACTCGATGCTGCTGCAGTTTCATCCTTTCCAATGAGTAATACACGCATCTGATTTCTGCTTTAGGTTAAAGGAAATTATTTTTAAAGAGAGAAATTCCAAAGTGCAACTTGAAGTTATGGTTCACAGACTTCAAAATGAAATAAAAAAACTAACTATTGAGTTACTTAAAGCGCGAGATCAACAGGAAGACCACATCCGACACCTGCGAGCCCTGGAGAGGGCGCTGGAGAAGATGGAGAGGCAGAAAGGGCAGCAGCAGGCGGCCCAGGTACTGCCGTCTGTCCGCCCCGCAGCGCCCGTCCTGCTCTGCCCCGTGGCACTGTAGCCTGGGGTTGTTTCCAAACAGGCTCCTGGCACTCAGGAGGCCTCCAGAGGACTGGGTGGGCGGGTTGCTAGGCATGTGCTCCGAGGACGAACAGCAGGATCCCTTGGGGCACCTGAAGGGTTTGGGCTGTTTTTTTTTATTGAATTTATTAGGGTGACATCGATTAATAAAATTATATAGGTTTTAGGTGTACAATTCTGTATCATCTGTGTATGTTTGTTCCTAGTCCCTTCGTCTGTTCACTCAGCCCCACAACCTCCTTCCCCTCCTGACAGCTATCAGTCTGCTCTCTCTCCGTGCGTCCGTTTCCTCTGACTGTTGCCTCCACACATTCTGGGCTGGATGACGGGTGAGCCATAGACAACACGACTGTCATGCTCTGGGGCTGGACTTCAGGGGACCACAGCATCATCACCTCAGACACTTTGAACATCACTTTAGGCACTGGGTTCTGTTATTTAGAAGATGCTTTTCTGGGGGAACTGGCATTAAATTGGAAGCAGGGGTTATGATCTAACTGCTATAACTGGGTGTTCTCCCCAGATGCGGCTTATTGAGGAGGTGGAGCTCAAAGCAGCAGCTGCTGACCAGGAAATCAACTTGCTTCGGACCTCCCTTCATCAAGAGAAGGAGCAGGTGCAGCAGCTGCATGATCTTCTGGCGCTGAAGGAGCAGGAGCACAGGTGAGCATGCACCAGGGCCGCCGCTGCAGTGCGGGAAGGGGCGCTCAGTTCTGCTCCCCTCCAGCACCAGCCAGGTCTGAGCAGTGGAGGGGCCAGCTGAGCCCACGGGCGGGGACAGCTGTGTGCAGCCGTCGGTCCCTGTGCAGGGGCAGCGCACAGACAGGTGGCTTCCCTGCGGAGTGAGTGGCTGTGAGCTGGACGCTGTTCTTGCATTTCTGCAAACCCAACCTCAGGTTGTCATTGTCATGCGGAGAATATTCCGCTGACCTCCAAGAAATGGCATGTTCTTCCCCCCCTGTGGAGCAGGTAGGTGCTAACCCACTTCTCCTGTGCAGGGCCAGGTAGAAAGGATTCCAGGCTTTGAAGGCCACCCCTGCCTGGCTGAGTTCCAGTAAGTTTGTTTCCAGAAACACCGGCGGGTCCCTGGGCTGCAGAGGCCCACCCTGCTCTGAGTCTGTGGCAGTGGGAACATTTTCGGCTGCTTGTATCCTGCTGCCCCAGCTACTTTTGTGTCATCACGAGGGATTAGGTATTGATGCTCTGGGCAGGACACTGTGAAAGATTGAGGGGAAATAATTTAAAAATCTAAAAATGTTTGCTTAGTTTACTTTACAATATTTTTTAACTTCTTCTAGTTTAAAGAAACCCAAACTGGAAATAATGGATTTTATATTATGGGCTTGATATAGTCAAGAATAGTAATGGAAAACTCTTAAGGAATGAACTCACATTTAAAGAATAAAACTGGCCTATCAAAAAATTGGTGAATGATTTCACAGTAAACTGGTTTTCTTGATCAGCCGCCTGTGCCGGCAGGCTGTGTCAACTGGATGTCAGACTCGGCCAGAGAGAAGGCACAGGGAGGCGTTTCTGCAGAGACAGCAAGAACTCTGGAGTCACCCTGGCCGGGTGCACCCATGGTTGGAGCTTCACCCCCTGCACCTAAAGCTTTCGGTTCAGATCCCAGTCAAGGCACATACCCAGGTGTGAGCATGTGCAGGAGGCAGCCGATCACCGTTTCTCTCTCTTTGCCTTCCTCTCTCTAAAATCAATTTTAAAAAGAACCCTCGAGCCATAGAGTGCACCTGAATGTCTTGGGAACTTAGACGTGGGATCCTCCTCTGACCCCATCTACTGAGCAGCCAAGTGAAACTCACACTCCCTCTCTGTTCGCCCCAGTTCTGTGTCTGAAAGTGAGGGGCTCATCTCAAATGACAGGGAATGTAGAATATTTAATAATTGTTTAGAAACCTTTAAAGTTTGTCTTTCCTGTGATTTTTGTTTGTTTTTCGTTGCAGGAAAGAACTTGAAACCAGAGAGTTTTTCAGTGAGGCCGAGCTGCAGGAAGCCGTGGCCAAGGAGGTGGCCAGAGCGGAGGCGAAGCACGAGCAGGAGGTCCAGGAGCACCGCGCGAAGGTGGACGCCCTGCAGCAGCAGTACCGGGACCTGGAGAACGAGTTCCGCATCGCGCTGACTGTCGAGGCCAGGAGATTCAAAGATGTAAGAATTGCATTTAGCTTTTCATTGAAAACACAACCAGCAAATGTGGTGTGATGAGGACCCCACTTGGAGGTCTAGCTCTAGACATGTTGGCTATATGACCTTGAGCAGGTCACTTAAATTCCTGAGCCCTAGTGTCTCCACTGAGCTCATGCCTGCTCTAGGAGGTGGCAGAGCCCATGAGGTGGTTGGGGCCAGGTGCTCTGCTGTGGCCGGGCCAGGGGTTGCAGACCAGACCCGGGCTGCGGCCTCTCTGTCGTGTGTGACTAGAACGCAGCATGCTCTCTTGTCACAGACAGAGCTGAGTACTTGCAACACAGACCACATGGCCTGGCCCTCAAAGCTCATTTTCTCTGAATTTTATTCCTTTACTAAACTTCTGTGATTCTAAACGTGAAAGAAGTAAGCTGTTTCCAGAAACAAGTATTTTGTGACTATTTGGAGAACTGCTATTCATAATGCAATTTTGAAATATAGGTTAAAGATGGTTTTGAAAGTGTTGCAACTGAGTTAGCAAAGAGCAAGCATGCTCTTGTGTGGGCCCAACGGAAGGAAAACGAGTCTTCCTCTTTAATTCAAGATCTGACCTGCATGGTGAAGGAGCAAAAGGCGAAGCTGGCAGAGGTCTCCAAACTGAAGCACGAGACCGCAGCCAGCCTGCAGGTGAGACGTGGCCCCTTCCCCGCCGGGAGTGGTTTCAGGAGGTGCAGGGTGTTGAACTTCTGAATCACGCTGATTGTGTGTGTGAGGAGTGTGAGAAAGGATCGGATGGGATGGAAGAGGTGCCATGATGTCACAGAGTGTGCTCTTACACTAAGATAGTATTGAATACACCTGGCCGATGTGGCTCAATGGACTGAACATTGTCCCAGGGACCGAGAGGTCCCGGTTTGATTCTTGATCAGGGCACATGCTCGAGTTGTGGGCTCAATCCCCAATGCAGGGCATGCAGGAGGCAGCTGATCCATGTTTCTCTCTCACATCGATTTTTCTCTCTCTCTCCCTCTCTAAAAAAAATAATAATAAAAATAGCCCTGGCCAGTTTGGCTCAGCGGTTAGAGCGTCGGCCTGCGGGTCCAGAGAGACCCGGGTTCAGTTCCCACTAAGGGCATGTACCTCGGTTGTAGTTTGTCCCTGGCCCTGGTTGGTCATGTGGGAGGCAGCCACTCGATGTCCCTTTCACATCGATGTTTCTCTCTCTGTCCCTCTTCCTCTCTCTCCCTCCCACTCTATCTGAACAAAAAATGGAAGAATGTCCTTGGGTGAAGATTAAAAATAAATAATAATAAACATAGTATTTAAATAGAATAGGCGAATTATTTTTTAGAACATACTGAGTCACTGGTGCGCAGCTGCACAGAGCGGGCAGAGGGGACACCAGTGCGCGCGCTGCTGGAGTTCGGGCGAGCGCGTGGGTCTCCGTCACTCTGTGACGTGCTGGTGTTTTAGATGGGCCTGCTCTGGTAGTTTTACATTGACTTCTGCTGTTGCCATTTAAACACAAGGGATATTTTGCCAAGAGAGTTTCTGTCCTGCAGGTGATCTCGAGGCTGCTCGTATACATTGCTGAGAATTTTTTAGTATTACAGGTGTAGTTGCTCTCTTAGGGCATTAAAATAAAATTCAGAGTATTTGAAGGGCTGTCCTCTTATAATTTGACTTTTTATTTTCTAACCTGCATTTATCTTTACTTAATAAAACTAAAACTTTTTCCAATGTAAAATTGAGGGATATTTACTTGTGTTTGTTTAAATAACATTTTTTCTTACTATAAAATGCAAACAGTGGGAGATAAAGAAGCATTTAAGTATAACAGCTGCTTTGTGTGTTTTCCGATGTCCGGGGAGTATACAGAATCAGATCAGCACCTTCGAGATTCTGATTGAAGACGACAAGCAGAAGAGCGTCCAGATCGAGCTGCTCAAACACGAGAGAGTCCAGTTGATTTCCGAGCTCGCAGCCAAGGAGTCGCTCATTCACGGTCTACGGACAGAGAGAAAAGTGTGGGGACACGAGCTGGCGCAACAGGGTACAGCAGATTTTCAAAGGGAAATGAGCTCGTTTTTCCTAAAAGAACAAGCTGTATATTGGGGAGAACAGGAAGGGCTTCCCTGCCCCACAGCCACGAGCAGTGGCCACTCTGCACGCATCTCCTGGACATGGGCAGCGGTTTATCGCACTGACTGGGAGGTGCCACTCTTGAGTCTTTTGTGGTCCATTTCTTCCCAGTGTAATTGGTTTACTTTCTGAACAGGCCTCCCTTCACCATGCCATAGCTGAACAAGTTGTTGAAATGTTTCTTCCTCACACAGTGATTTTACATAATTTGTACAGATGCAGCATTCAGTTTTTTTCTAAGACTGGTGTTAATAGTTACTTGTTACATGTGGAGACATGCGAATGGTGTGTGGACAGAAACCTCCGTCACCTAGGTGACCTGCTCTCAGTCCCTTCCCCTTCCAGTCACTGCACACAACAGATGGCTCTGTGGGCATCACAGATGCCCTGCGGTGCTGGCCTTCACAGGGAGGGGCCGTCTGTGATTCTGTGCAGAAGCCTCGCGCTCCGTCTCATTGTCTCTGTGCCTGACCAGTTAGGTAGCGCTGGTCCGGCTCACTTGTTCTCATTTTGTGGTTTTAGGTTTTCAAACAGCCACAGGTGTTTAGGCCTTTGTGTTGCTCTCTGGCCCTTTCCTCTTCACACTGTGTGCTACTATTTATCTTTTCAGCTCTCCTTTCTATATATCACACTGTGCGTTGTTAAATTAGATGTTCGTAGAAGACAGGTCCCAGAGTTGTGACTGGTGGTGTTTGCTTCTCAGGATCCTGTCTGGCCCAGGACCGAGGGAAACTGGAGGCGCAGATCGAAAGCTTGTGTAGAGAGAATGAGTCTCTGCGGAAGGCAAGTGAATGCGACAGGGACACGCTGCGGATCAAGTGCAAAATCATAGAGGACCAAACTGAGACCATCGGAAAGTTAAAAGTTGTAAGTTTGATGTTTTATTTTGGGAAGATAGCATGTGGCAGATTTGAAAGTCAGAGTAGAGTATCCAGTGAGTGTGTGTCTCTGAGACCCTACTGTTGAGGGTATAGAACACATTTCCTGTGTTCCCTCTGCAGGATCTGCCACTTTGCTTACAGAAGTGAGTGTGTGTCTCTGAGTCCCCGCTGTTGAGGGTATAGGACACATTTCATGTGTTTCCTCTGCAGTGTTTGCCACTTTGCTGGTAACAGTGATGTATGGCATTATTTATTAACTGGAAATTACTTTTACTTCAAAATATTATGGAGATACCCGGCCAATGTGGCTCAGTGGTTAAGCATCAACCCATGCACCACGAAGTCACTGGTTCGATTCTTGGTCAGGGCACATGCCCAGACTGTGGGCCCGATCCTCAGTGGGAGGCTGCCAGTCGACGTTCTCTCTCATCAATGTTTCCATCTCTCTCTCCCCCTCCTTTCCTCTCTCTCTAAAATCAAAAAAGAAAAAAAGAAAGAATAATACCCTTTTAAAGCATGGTTTTAGGATCTTTTAATGTTGCTGACTCACTTCTCAGAGTTACGACAAACCTACTATCCTGTATGTAAAAGTACATGAATAAATTGCAAGATTTCTGCTTGTTCCAAGGAGGAGTGCGTGCCCACCCTCGCCTTCAGCTGGGTCTGTCCTGGAGGATAGTGACAGGATCGCTTGTTTCATAGCATCTTCATGAACGTTCTCCAGAGAAATTTTCTGAAAATTATCTTGAGCACTAAATCAAACTTGAATTCCAAAATTTTCAAGTGTAAAAATAACTGAAATGGGGGCTTTTAAAAAAAAGAAACTTGTAAATGGGGTTGTCACTTGTAAAGTTAGAGACTCATTTTTTAGAGAAATTATAACTGCCTAATATTTGATTTTTTTCCTTGGTCATTTTCAAGAAACTCCTTGAGAACTTATTTTATCAAATACAGAATATGAAGAAACCTGTTTGCCCCATGTTGCTTCCTCCGCAGCCAGTGTAGGTGTGAGTGCTTCCTCCACGGCCGGTGTATGTGTGAGTGCTTCCTCTGCAGCGGGATGTAGGTGTAAGTGCTTCCTCCGCAGCCGGGTGTAGGTGTGAGTGCTTCCTCCGCAGCCGGTGTACATGTGAGTGCTTCCTCCGTGGCCGGTGTACATGTGAGTGCTTCCTCCGCGGCCGGTGTAGGTGTGAGTACTTCCTCCACAGCCGGTGTAGGTGTGAGTGCTTCCTCCGCGGCCGGGTGTACGTGTGAGTACTTCCTCCACGGCCAGTGTAGGTGTGAGTGCTTCCTCCGCGGCCGGTGTAGGTGTGAGTGCTTCCTCCGCGGCCAGTGTACGTGTGAGTGCTTCCTCCACGTCCGGTGTACGTGTGAGTGCTTCCTCCGCGGCCGGGTGTAGGTGTGAGTGCTTCCTCCGCGGCCGGTGTAGGTGTGAGTGCTTCCTCCGCGGCCGGTGTAGGTGTGAGTGCTTGGCTGGGTGGGCACTCGCTCCGCTGGAATACATCTCTGTCCAGGGTTCCAACTGCATCTGTCATGTGTGTCGAGCTGTACTGACAGGTGCTGAAATTTTTAGCAGTAAGACTTTTTTCTTGTTCTAAAAGTTGAGCCAAGCTTATTTTCTTTTGAACTAGGATAACTGAAACAGAAAGGCTATGGTTTGCTGAGTCCACAAGGCGAGATGCTGTGTGCGAGGCGTTGTCTGACCACACAGCAAGGCCGCGTCTCTCAGTCCGAGGGCACGAGGGCACGTGGAGATGGCTGAGCGTAATGTGGCTAGTAACTTACAGGGGTCGTGACCTGATCTGCAACATTTGTAGTTTGATGTTTTCAACCAAGTAGATCCTGTAGGGAGCTTCTGACTGGAAGCCAGATACAGAAAGTTTTTGACGTTCTGCTTTCTCCCCTGCATTATTTTGGTCAGTGTGTATGGATCACGAGGCTGTGGTGCTGAATGTTACTCTGATTGTGAAGACGGTTCATTTGTGACTCTCGAGTGGCTGTTGTGGGTTCCTGATCATGTGTGTCGTGACTGTCCACGCCTAAGCACTTAGACTTGTGGGAGAACGGAAACACTCCATGACTTGTGCAGGTTTGGTCAAGGCAACCCGACTGTGCTTGCTTAGACCTTTTAGCTCCGTAACACCCTGAGGACCTGACTGTCCTTGCTTAGACCTTTTAGCTCCGTAACACCCTGAGGACCCGACTGTCCTTGCTTAGACCTTTTAGCTCCGTAACACCCTGAGGACCCGACTGTCCTTGCTTAGACCTTTTAGCTCCGTAACACCCTGAGGACCCGACTGTCCTTGCTTAGACCTTTTAGCTCCGTAACACCCTGAGGACCCGACTGTCCTTGCTTAGACCTTTTAGCTCCGTAACACCCTGAGGACCCGACTGTCCTTGCTTAGACCTTTTAGCTCCGTAACACCCTGAGGACCCGACTGTGCTTGCTTAGACCTTTTAGCTCCGTAACACCCTGAGGACCCGACTGTCCTTGCTTAGACCTTTTAGCTCCGTAACACCCTGAGGACCCGACTGTCCTTGCTTAGACCTTTTAGCTCCGTAACACCCTGAGGACCCGACTGTCCTTGCTTAGACCTTTTAGCTCCGTAACACCCTGAGGACCCGACTGTCCTTGCTTAGACCTTTTAGCTCCGTAACACCCTGAGGACCCGACTGTCCTTGCTTAGACCTTTTAGCTCCGTAACACCCTGAGGACCCGACTGTCCTTGCTTAGACCTTTTAGCTCCGTAACACCCTGAGGACCCGACTGTGCTTGCTTAGACCTTTTAGCTCCGTAACACCCTGAGGACCTGAACCGCACTGTGTGTGAGGCTTCACAGTCCACCTAAGTTGGACGTGTCCAGCACTGTGTGCTGCCTCCTTCTTCCCAAGAGGAACAGAAGGCGGTGGGGCAGGGGAGAATCAGCACAAAGGAGACCCGTGTCTGTCTGCACACTGGCAGCTGGTGCTGGTGTGCAGAGGCCGACAGGCGCCCCGGTAGCCTGTACAGCAGACTGAGGTCACAGGGGTTACTGGGAAACAGCCCAGGCGAGGCCTGGACCTGCGGGCATTGTGCCTGCCTCGGCAGTCCTCCTGCTGTCTGACTCACAGCACAGAAGACACAATACAGAGACGTTGAGGGTGCAGAGCCTGTTGGCATGTGGTGTTCTGGCAGTCCTGAGACCGTGCCTTTTTCACACCTGAAAATCGCCTCATGTGCCCTTGCACTCTGCGGACGGCCCTCTCGGCTGCACTGCTGTTGGCCTCCAGAGTGTCTCTCTGTCCTGAAGACAGATTCTTTCAAGTGCAAAATTGTGTTAGTTGAGATTTTCATTGTGTTACTTTCTCCTGCCTTTCTACTCCCTGTGTGATTACTAACTTAGTTAGCAGTTACTAACTTCCTGAAATAAAAAGTGTGAATAGGACAAAAATTTTCTCTTAATAGCACTTAACGTTCTATAAATCTTTTCTAAAACACTCATTTGAACATTCAGTTTATTTTTAACCTGTAGTTTTTAATGTAATTTTAAGCCATTTCTAATGAATGAGGAAATGAGACATCTAAAACTAATAAAGTACTTACTATATTCTTGAAGAGTTTACAGGAAAGAGAGGAACAAATCAAAGAATTACAGGACAGCATCGCCGAGATACAGAAGTGCTCTCAGGAGCAGCTCGAGGAGAAGTCTTCGCAGCTGGACGACATCATCGAGAAGCTGGAGAGACACAACGAAAGGAAAGCTACACTGAAGCAGCAGCTGCAGGCCAAGGAGCTGGAGCTGGAAGAAATCAGAAAAGCCTACAGGTATTCTCGGCGTTCCCGGTGGAGGGAGCTGCCCCGGCCTGGGCCCGTCTCATGTCTGCCGCCTCCCGCAGCACGCTCAACCAGCGGTGGCACGACAAGGGGCAGCTGCTCAGCAGCCTGGAGATGCAGGTGAAGGACGTGAAGGAGAAGTTCGAGAACAAGGAGCGGAAGCTGAAGTCGGAGCGAGACAGAAGTTTGGAACTGCAGAAGTAAGTGCAGAGTCCTCGGCTTCAGAGCCTCTGGGAACAGGGACACTGAGGGGGCGATGGGGGAAGAAGCGGCGAAAACGTGTGGGACGTGGTTGTTGGCCAAGCAGGTCTCCATTCCCTCTATTAAGGGAGCACACTGGTTCCCTTCGTGTCCATGTGATAGCACAGGCCTGGCGCGGAGTGGCGCCTGTGAGTGTGTGCTGGTGCCGGGGTCTTGTCTCCGTGCTGTCCGGTTGGAGCGGCTGGTCCCGGGGGTTGGAGCGGCTGGTCCCGGGGGTTGGAGCGGCTGGTCCCGGGGGTTGGAGCGGCTGGTGCCGGGGTCTTGTCTCCGTGCTGTCCGTTTGGAGCGGCTGGTGGTGTTTGGGCTGCTCTGTGTGGACTTGAGAGCAGGAAGGCACAGAGAAGCTCATTTCAGAGGGAGAAAGTGTGTTCCTGGTGCCACGTGTGTGGGCTTTATAAGTGCTCTAGAGCAGGAGTTCCCAACCTGGGAGTCGAACGACCCTTTCACAGGGGTCACCTAAGACCATCGGAAAACACATATTTCCGATGGCAATTCATAACGGTAGCAAAATTACAGTTATGAAGTAGCAACGAAAATAATTTTATGGTCGGGGGTCACCACAACATGAGGAACTGTATTAAGGGGTCACGGCATCAGGAAGGTTGAGAACCAGTGCGCTAGAGGAAATGCAGGCATCACCTTGTAACTCCATGACTACCCCTCTTAAGGTGGTTTATAAAGTTGACTGCCCTGGAAACAGGCAGCAAGTTTCACAGTTGGTCTCATGTCAAGGACAGGGCGGTGTAGACAGACCGCGTGGCTCACACACCCCATGGTGCTGATTTCCTTCCAGTGAGTTTCGTGGGACCGGAATTGAATTCCCTCCCACGCTTAACTCTGTGCAGTCGGAAGTGCTGTTCTCTGCAGGGAGGGTGACTGACAGCAGCTCCTGTCTGCCTGCCACGAACCTCGTTGGGCTGGGCTGCAACCCGCTGGCAGGGTCCTCGGCGTGGGGCCTGCGCCCTCCGTCCTGCCAGGCACAGCTTTGGGAGTGGCAGTCCTGTGGGTCCTAGGAGAAAGAATCACTTCCTATAAATAGCAGTTCTTAAACTGAGGAAACATCATTAAGCCTGACAAGGTTTACAACCTCGGATATTTCATTGTTAAATGTGTCACTAATGACAAAACAACAGAACTTATTTTTGTGTTAATGCCTTTATGACTAAAATTCATATATGTAAAAGTTTCTAATTCAGTCGAATTTTAATGAAATAAGTAAGTTATTGTTAATAACAACAAATTGTATTTGTATAGCTTTTTAATGTATAAATAGATTTTTTTATATATATATTTTAGTTTGAACCCAGCAGTAATACTGTCGGTGTGGCCTTAGTGTTGCCCTCGGTCACACATGGCTGTGTTGCAGCAGGGACCGAAGGCCGTGCACTCTGGGCCTGATGCTCAGCCCACTCTCTGTGGCCTTAGTGTTGCCCTCGGTCACACGTGGCTGTGTTGCAGCAGGGACCGAAGGCCGTGCACTCTGGGCCTGATGCTCAGCCCACTCTCTGTGGCCTTAGTGTTGCCCTCGGTCACACGTGGCTGTGTTGCAGCAGGGACTGAAGGCCGTGCACTCTGGGCCTGATGCTCAGCCCACTCTCTGTGGCCTTAGTGTTGCCCTCGGTCACACGTGGCTGTGTTGCAGCAGGGACCGAAGGCCGTGCACTCTGGGCCTGATGCTCAGCCCACTCTCTGTGGCCTTAGTGTTGCCCTCGGTCACACGTGGCTGTGTTGCAGCAGGGACTGAAGGCCGTGCACTCTGGGCCTGATGCTCAGCCCACTCTGGGCAGTGCCAGCACCAGAAAAGTGATCCCTGTGGACTTAACTTCAAACAAAGGCACTTGTAGTTAATATGAAGGAGTTGGAGTTGGAACTTTTAGCACTAAAACTGTGTGAATACTATTTAATATTTTATTAACCTAGGATTTTATCTGTTAAACATTAGGACAGGGAAGTCAGACATACCTGCTTATAAATATGAACTTGCCTGTAATATACAGTTCTCAAGTAATCATCACACTGCTAATATACTGAGATATACAAAGTGTGGTGGTAGTCGCCATGAAGGCACTTGTAAACCACCCCCTTAGGCTCGGAGGAAATGAGAACCAGAGCACTGGACCTTCTAGAGGGCGGGCTGACGAGCGTGCACAGGGGCTCTGCCCTGTTCTGCTGCTCGCAAGTTCTGCTGGAAGGTGAGCTGCTTGCATCCAGAGTTACCGGAGACAGACAACGCTTTGCTACTTAGTAGAGTTGTGCACCCATTAAAATATGCATGTAAGATCTGCATCTCAGAAGAAAAAACACCCTAACCCTTATACACACAGATATGCGGATTTGTTTTCTGATTTCCAGGGATGCTATGGAAAAGCTCTACAGTATGGATGATGCCTTTAAAAAACAAGTGCAAGCAATTGTTGAAGCTCATCATGCTGAAATAATGCAACTGGAAAGTGAAAAGCAGAAATATATTGATTCTGCAAATTTAAAGGTACTGTAAGTAAAATGCACTTTGATTATCAGTATTAAATTGTTACAACTAAATAAATTGAGAATTATAAAGAGAAAAGGCAGCATGATTTAATGACCAAATTGATATGAAAAATGTTGCCAAAACTCTCATGAAGCCAGGCCAAAATGTTGGTGATACCTAGATTGGTTGTAGAATATAATTCTAATGACACCAAGATTGTAAGTTTGATCCTGGTGTGTACCTGCTCCGTGACCTCTGGGTTAGAATCGCCGTCTCCCTCCCCAGTCTCAGAGCAGAGCCCTTTGCTGGCACACAGGCGGGCGAGGATGATGTATTCAGTACCGCCCATCACTGCCTTGGAAGAGCTCTCAAAAAGTAGTGTTTTATCAGTAACTAGGTTCCAGACTATCCAGTGTGCCCTGTTAATATTGACAGAGGAGCTTTTAATAATACAAATAAATGTATTAGCTTCCCCTGAAATTTTATTCTCGAAGTGTGGAGTCAGACCCAGGCTTAGACATTTCTAGGACTCAGCAGGCGATTCTGAGGTGAGCCCTCTGCTGACATCTACGAGCCTACAATGCAATTTTGAAATTCCGTGTTTCCCTGATTTTGAAGTGGTGATAAGAAACAAATACAGTAATGAGCCCCTCCCCCACCCTAATCTACCATTTGCTCTCTGAGGTTTCAGTTACCTGCAGTCAGTTGTGGTCCAAAATATTACATGGAAAAATCCAGAAATAATAAGTTTTAAATTGCGCACCATTCTGAGTGGTGTGATGAAACCCATCCCGCCTTGATCCGCCCAGACATGAGTCATCCCTGTGTCCAGCATCTCCACGCTGTGTGTGCCCTGTTTGTTAGTCACTCGGTGGCCCTTGGTGATCAGATCAACTGTCGTGCTCTCACAGTGCTTGTGTTCCAGTCACATTTATTTCACTTAATAACGGCCTCAAAGTGCAAGAGTAGTGATGCTGGCAACTCGATTGTGCTGAAGAGAAGCCATCGCGAGCTCCCTTTAACTGGAAAGGTGAACATTCTGGGCTTAATAAGGAAAAAAAGAATCCTATGCTGAGGTTGCTAAAATCTACAGTACGAACGAATCTTCCATCTCGAAATTGTGAAGAAGGAAGAAGAATCTATGCTAGTTTTGCTGCCGTGCCCCAAACTGCAGAGTCATGGCTCAGAGCATGGTAAGTGCTTAGCGAAGGTGGGGAAGGCGCTCAGCCTCGGGTGGCGGCACGGACAGAAGAGTGTCCCCGCTGCAGCAGCCTGCTGCTCCAGAAGCACCGAGCCTGTGTGAGGACTTGCACAGGGGCCCGAGACAAGCGCCAGCAGGCCCTTCGCTGCGCGTGGGGGTGGCACAGACACAGCAGGGCTGGCGTTCTGTCCGCCACGCCGTCCGCAGAAGGAAGGGCGAGTGCAGCACGGTGCAGGCAGCACAGTGGGGTGTTCTGGCCACGCCGCGGGCTTCCCTTACAGTCCTCGCCCCAGTCATTCTAAGTCCTTGTCGGTCTCTGCTGTGCCTGTTTTATAAGTTAAGTCTTATCATGGGTGTGTGTGCTTAGGAAAAATATAACATATACAGGGTTTGGCACTGTCCATGGTTTTAGGCAGCCATTCCCGAGGATAAGGGGGACGGCTGTCTTCTCTAAGAATCGAGACTCAAACCGGCCGCTGGAAAAGAGCCCAGTAACAGAATGGGACAGGACTACTCCGTGTCACTGCCATCCAGGGCGTGACCAGGGACATTGCCCTCGGGAGTCTGTGAAGAGAGACGGAGGAGGGCTTTGGAAATCTTCGTGATGAACAAAGAAGTATGGCTTATTCAAAATGTAGTTCTTCACTTCATGTCCAGCAGGTGTTTCGGATGTTTATTTCAGATCTGCCCGTGTTTGGCAAGGGTACACCAGGCACTAAGTCAAGTATAAGGTCGGGCCCTTTCTTAGCTGAAAGGGAAATGCGGGTTCCGTTTTGGACCTCCCGCGGACAGAGTGTCATATTAAAGGTGGGTCTGTTGGGGAATCAGAGAGGTGGTACCAGAGCTTCCATGGGACAGTCAAGAAAAAAAAATGTGAGGCATCACAGAGAAGATAATTGAATGTAGGAGAAATATTAGCTTTCTTGGGGAGAAAGAGTAGGAAATCTGTATCAGATTAGGAAGAAGGATGGGCATAGTGGTAGCCTATTGGGAGAGCTGTATCAGAGGAGAGAGGTTCAGAGAACTCTAGGAGAGTGCAGGTGAGGAATAACTGATAAAATGACCTGTCAAACAGATGGCAACTGCAGAAGTGAGTTTAGTAGAGTATCTTTGGGAAAGGAGGTTATGTTGAGCTTGAAAGTCCCTAAGCGTCTGGTGTTTAAAGTGAATACATGACTCAGCACTCCAGGCAGCACAGGACGGTGCAAAGATGAAGCCAGAAGAAAGCATGACTCAGCACTCACAGCAGCACAGGACAGTGCAAGATGAAACCACAAGAACGCATGACTCAGCACTCACAGCAGCACAGGACAGTACAAGACAACGCCAGAAGACTGTTTCTGTCCAGATGTGCTACTGAGAAGCTGAACTACCTTCAACGAATTGTCTAAACTCTAAAATAGAGTCTAAATAAATTGCCATTTGTCCATCACCAGAACCTATGAGAAATACAGTACATGTAAGTACTTTGTCTACAACATAAACATCCTTTTCCCAATTAGTATTTGAACAAGTTACTTTAACCTCTTTGCTTTAAATACATGTCACAAATTGCAAAACACATAAGAATCCATTTTTGGCTTTTTTCTTTCAGAATGCATTTTTAAAATAATTCTCTTTGAGAAACTTAAAAGTAAAATTTATATTTGATTTAGGTTCATCAAGTTGAAGAAGAAATGCGTGGACTTCTGCAAGAAAATTGCAAGAACAAAAAAGCAATGGAAGCAAAAATTAAGCAACTTGCTTTTACTCTGAATGAAATTCAACATGACTTGTGATGGTTCTGAGAACGAATGCAATTGAAATGGACCAGCAGGCATATTGTAAAAATGATTAAATATTGTAACAGTAGTAACTGCTACGACTTCGAAATGTCTCTTTCTACACATTTCATTCTGATTATATTTCAAAAGACTTTTATAAAAGTGTTTAATTGTATATATAGGTCTTTATAATAAATTGTTGATAATTATGTATATTAGAAAAACCTATCAAAATAATGAGACTCAAGACATTTTTTGTTTCTGTGCTATACATTCTTTGGTAATTACACATTTGCCTGTAAATATGTAAATGAAAATTAAGATTAGCTTTTGACTATATTAAGGAAAATATTTTAGTGGTTGTTGCCTTGTGTTGATGAAGAACTAATTATATTTATTGGTTGTCCTATAGTTGATGTAGCTGCATTCTTTCAAAATGCTCATACATAAAGCCAAAAAGTATCTGAAATCTGTGTGGTCAGAGGTGGGACACTCGTAAGAAAGCGTATGTCGCCATCTCTGTCATTTCTAAAGACCCCTTTTCTATAATGCTTGTGACTTTTATTAAAGATTACATTTAAGGTTTTATAAACATTGTCTGTTCCAGAGGAACACTATTGTTCCACCCTCATTTTCTTATTTTCCCTTTTAATCACTGTATATATGAAGAGAATTCTTATTTTGCAACTGAAAACAGTTTCTTTCCGTTCCATCCATTTATTCACTTTTGTCATCCCCCATGTTCCTATGCATGCAAAACAGAAACCTAAGTACCAGTCTCCTTCCTGTTTTTGAAAGATAATATAATACCATGTTTTTAGTAATATCCAGTGAACTAAAATTTTAAAATTAAATGGAATCAGAAAAAATGTAATTGCTTTTAAAAGAGGGCTGCGTTTCATTATGAGCAAGCTTCTCACTGACATCCATGGGATAGTATCGGCATACCAAGGTGTAACAGGAGTTGGGAGAAGGGGAGGGCATAGAAATATTTGGGAGAATAATAGCTGAAAACTTCCTAAGTTTGATGAAAAAGAACCTACAGATCCAAAAATTTTTATAAAACCCAGGATAAATGAGAACCACACCTAGACTCTTTATAGTCAAACTGTTGGGAAGATCTTGAAAATCGCAAGAAAATATGGTTTATCTCATACAGAGCAGCAGTATAATTAATAGTTTACTTATCATAAACGGTGCAGGCTAGAAGGCAGTGAGTGACATATTTGAAGTATGGGAATACAAGGAACTGTCAATCAAGGATGCTACATCCAGCAAAACTATCCATAAAATGAAAGACAGAAAATGTAGTGCTAGCCAAACTACCTGAAAATAAATGTTAAAGACGGTCCTAAAGGCTGAAAGGAAACTATATCAGACAAAAACTGAAATTCACTGGAAGAAATAATATTGGAAACAAGTGGGGATACATTTTTATGAGACTATATAATTTTCTTCTAATAGACATGTAAGGCAATTATAACACTTGTTGAATCTATAGCATTGATACATATGTGACAAAAATAGCATGCCCTTGGAAGAGGGAAATATAAGCTAAGAAAACTGATAAAACATATTGTAATCATGGTTTAAAAGTTAACAGGTTCCACTTCGGGAATGGAGCAGGAAGATCTCTGTGGACCTGTTTCCCAGCAAAACTAACTGGCAAGTAGGGTTTTAAAATACCCATTTAAAGTCTCTGAAAATTGTTCCAAAGCATACAGCAAATAAAGACATTCTTTGAAGAAAATTAACTAAATCTCTGTCAACAACAAAAGCCTGAGGCACCAAGCCATGGCCATCTCCCACCAGCCTCCATTCAGCCAATGGAAATTCCACGGTGGATTTCATGGCAAAGGAGATGGGTATCCCCTTCACTCAGCTCAGTCTCCAGGGTGGGCAGGCCAGGCCCACAGCCTTAACCCTGAGCTTGAGGAGCCAGCAAGGCTGAAATTACTGCAATCAGGAATGAAAGCAAGGATAACGGGAGGGGAGGAAACCTTGGGAGTTGATGCCTGTGTTTATGGCCTTAACAGTGAGAATTTCATGGTCTGTACTCATCCCCACTATTAAGCTGAATAAATGTCCGTTGTACCTCAATAAAGTGGTTTAAAAAGAAAAATCCATTGGCAATGGCATCCAAAAGAACAAAGTGTTAGGTTAAATTTAACAAAAGAAGTGTGAATCGTACTCTGACAAGTACAAAACATTGTTGAAAGAAGGTATTCATCGCCCTGGCCAGTGTGGCTCCACAGCATGTTGGCCCACCAGCGAACGGGTTGTGGGTTCAATTTCCGTCAAGGGCTTGCAGGTTCCAGCCCTGGCCCAGGTTGGGGTGGTGCAGGAGACAACCAATCAATGTGTCTATCCCTCCCTCCCACCCTCCCACTGTGTCTAAAAATCAATAGAAAAATATCCTAGGGTGAGGATTAACAACAACAAAGATGTTCATGGGTTGGGAGACTTAACATTGTTGAGATGATCATTGTCCCCAAATGTATCTCCGAATTCAATGCAATCCCTGTGAAAACCCCAGCTCGCTTGCTTGTAGAAGTTTCTAAGATGATCCTAAAATTCATAAACTCAAGGGACCTAGAGTGGCTAAAACCACGTTGAAAAGGGAAAACAAAGTTGGGAAACGCACATTCCTGATTTCAGAACACTAGAAAAACCAGGCACTAAGTGTGTGACTAGCACAGAGATGGAAGTGCAGGTCTACGGATCCAACGGCCTGAGAAAACCCGCGTGGCCCTGGGAGGCCACAGGGCTGGGGCCCAGAGCAGCTGCGGACGAGGCGGGGCGGTGGGGACGCTGGCCCCGCCCCTCCTCCCGCCGCCGGCGCGTCTCCCGGCAACGGCTGCCGGCGTCACTTCCTGCCATTTAAACTCGGCGTCGGCGGGGCGCACTCGGGATGGCGGCGGCCGAGCCCGGGAGCTCGGGGCCGCCGGCGCCGCAGGGCCAGGCTCAGGGCCAGCGGCCGCCCCCCGCGTCCCCCGCGCCGCCGGCGCCGCTCGGGGGCCCGGCGGGCGGGAGCAGCCGGCACGAGAAGAGCCTGGGGCTGCTCACCGCCAAGTTCGTGTCGCTGCTGCAGGAGGCGCAGGACGGCGTGCTGGACCTGAAGGCGGTGAGCGCGCCGCGGGGCCGCGGGACGGGACGGGACGGGGCGGGACGGGACGGGACGGGGCGGGGCGGGACGGGGGCTGGCCCTGAGCCTGGCCGCGCTCCACAAAGGCCGCCTGCGCGCGCCGGGCCGCGCCGGGGTCGCCGTGCCGCGGGGACTCGGCGGGTGCGCGGGCCGCGCCGCGCTGCCGAGCGCCCGGGGTCCGAACAAAACCAGCCCGATCCGCCCGCCTAGGGCCGGCCACAAGGCCTCCTCCTCGGCCCGCGTCGTCGCCGCGGCTGGCGCATTCGGAGTGGGACTTCGTGCGGCCCCGGACACGGGTCTCCAGGAGGGCCTTCTGTCTTCCGGAGCCACCGTGTCGCGGGGCGCGCCCTCCCTGGGCTCCAGCTCGGGCCCTTTCAGCGACCGCGTGCGCGGGAGGCCGGTGGGCATGCACCTGACCTCCCCGCGGGCGCCGGCGCCCCAGCACCGAGGTGGCTGCCGCAGCGGAGTCACCCAACACCAAGTTCCTTAAAGCACCAGGCTGCAGACACCGAGGGCACCAAGTCTGAGCCGTCAGCCCAGTCCCTGCCGACGCCCCCAGGTGCTGTCCTGACCCCGGCTGACGGCGTTGTCCCCGCATCCAAGGGAGCCAGGACTCCCACCTGGCTGGGCTGTGTGGCTGCGGCCCCCGAGCATCCTCTGGGACCTGACAGTGCCCAGGGAGGGGTGTCTCGGGGTCCTCGCTTCCCTGGGTGTCCAGGGGTTCAGTGAGTGGCTGTAGGCGGACAAGCAAACGGGCCTGCAGCACGCGTTTTGTAGCAAGTGTTATTCCTGGAGTTTCCACCTGTGCACATTTCCTGTTCTCCCCACCTGAAGTGCTTCGTGGCACGTGCTGCTCATCACGGACCTGGTCCTGAGCTAGAGCGCATTCTGCTCAAAGAACTGCACAGGTGTCCCCAGGATGTTACAAAACGGCGCTTGCAGACAGGCTGCTGTTGAAAAGCTGGGATTCGGCCCGAGCCTGTGAGTTGAGTAAAAGGAATAGGCGAGTTTGGGGTTTCCGGAGAAAACTGAACCCCGAGGGCGGATTTTAAGGGCTTCTCCCTCCACTTGCCTTGGAATAGAAGGCAGCCGAGCCCCCGAGCCCCCGTGCCCTCCGGTTCTTTGGCTTCCACCTGTTTTGTGAAATTGCCCATGAAATTGCTCTCTGGGATTCTGGGCAGCGAGCAGGAAGTGAGTTTAATATTCAGTCACAATTCCCTAGAAGTTCAGAGGTTTCTGCAATAATACTGCCTTCTTATATTAATGATTTTGCTACTCCTAGGGAAGTTTGAGTATCATTCTTTTTACATAAATCTGAAAAAAGATATCATTTATTCACTTATATGTTTTATTTACTTCTATATATACGTGTAAAATGTTATGTATCTAAGAAATTTTACGTTGAAATCTTCCCAGTGGTGTTTCTCGTTGTTCACCATAGTAAAGCATCATTAACACATTTTCTTTTCTTTTTCTTTTATCGTTAACACATTTTTGACACTACAGCTCCTCTCATGAAATTATAAAATCATTTTTTTCTTCTATTACTTTGGGAGGGGTCTGTTTTCGTCATCAGTTATGGACACTTGAGTTATACACTTGATATTTTTTAAGGAGCAATTAAACCTCATTTTTGTGAATATTATGAATATGAAAAATTATATCAGTCTTCACATCTGCATGTCTTGGGTACTATAAAATATCCAAGAGCACACGAACATCCTTTCTTGTCTAACTTCTGACACACACTGCTGAAGAGTGGGAACACTGCTGTCCCCGTGATGCCTGTCTTCAGGAGACGATCGGAACGAAGTTCCGCTGTGAAAGCCTTGGCAGCTGATTAAGAATCAGAAGTAAAAATGGGAACAAATCGGGAGTGTGTGCACTTCAGAACTCCTGAGTTCGGGGTGGAGGACACACACGAGTGGTGTTTCCGGGAGAGAGCCCCGGGGGAACCCAGCGCGGAGGTGGAATCAAAGCAGCATGTGTGGCTTCTGGGGGGAGCCTTTGTGTCCTCAAAGTTCGTTTTTAATTTCCCCACAGATTGCATGTCCCCTGCAGTGTCATTGGAAGCACACAGCAGCCTCTCTTGGGAACTCTCCCTTCGACCTCCACCCAAGTAGTTCCTTTTTCTATGGGACTATTTTTTTATTAAAAAAAAAATTTTTTTTCCTTTATTTTTATTAGAGAGAGTGGGAGGGAGAGGGAGAGAGAGAGGGAGAAACATCGATGAGCGAGAACATCAGTTGGCCGCCTCCTGCACGCCCCCCACTGGGGATCAGGCCCACAACCTTGGATGTGCCCTGACCGGGAATCGAACCAGCAGCCTCTTGGTGCAGGTCGACACTCAACCACAGAGCCACACCGGCTGGGCTGTTTCATTTTTTAAACCTCATTCTGCAACATGTCAGCCACAGTCCCAAGCCTGAGACACGTATACACTTTTTTATTAGTGTTTGTCATTTTTAAATAAATAAATGGACATGAAGATGTTCCCACTTTTTCAGGCCATTCCGTACACTCCAGGTGAAAGCCCCCCGAACTGCTCCTTTAGGGGGGTTACGTAGCTTTGAATTTCTTTCTGCCCACCCACTCAAGTCACTTCTAAGTCCAGGAGCTCATTTGAAAATGTGTTGCCACAAATGTGTCTTACGAATATGTCATCAATGCCAGACTGCACCTGGCTATGTTAGCCTTCTGGAGGCTCCTGGACAAGGCAGCTGGGGGGTTGACTTAGACAGCGCCTGCGCAAGGTGTGAAGCCTGGTCCTGTCACTGGCTTACAGGGGTTCCGTGTTGATGATCTCTGACAGTGTTTGTTTGAAATTAGCCAAAATCCCAGCAGGGCACAGCACACTGGGGCAGAGTGGAAAGTGTGTTCACTCAGGTTTTTTTAAATTCTCATTAAAATAGTTCATCCGCAATCTTGCTGAGCTATTTGGGGTCCTGCCACCTCACTTTCGGGACCATCACTGCATGTGCGTGTGTAACAGGTTGGCCGTGTGTAGTGTTGCTTGCATGTTTGTGGGTTTGGAAGCCTCGTCACATTTGACAGCCGAGGTCCTGGAAGATGAGACCCTGAGAGACGGGTGTTTCCTGGTTACTGTTGCCCGTTCTTGTGCTGTCAGAATGTCCTTGGGCCAATGAGTTGCAGCTAATCCTAAGCAAACAGCTACCCTAGCACCTGCCCTCCTCCCAGAGCTCACGCTGGTCCAGGACACCGCTGTAGGCCAGGTGGGCCAGGGCACTTTTCAGCACCTGCAAGGGTCTCTCTCCTCATTCCTCGTCGTCCACCTCCTACCAGCGTCCCAGGCTCGAGTGTCGTTCCACCTGGAGGCGTCACCTTGCTCCCGTTGGTGACATTGCTGGGAGAGGACTTGGTGTTTGGAGGGGGGACCTGTTTCCTTCAAGCCTGTCAGAGCAAGTGCACCTGACTCAGGTGACCGCGTGTATTTGGCAGCCGCAGTGGCAGTGTGGGGCGAGGCTGTGCCGCTTGGCCCTTGTGCCCTGGTCAGGATCCGGGAAAGCCAGTGATGCCAGGGTCTGGGTGAGCTCACCACTGACCGGGGCCCCGGCCCTCCTGCTGCTCACCTCACTGCTCCAGGAGGGGAGTGTGACACTGTTCTCAGCCACTGACTCCCCTCGCCTTCCCTGCAGCCCCCACTGATGAGACATAAAAACCCGCCACAAGGAGATACCTAACCTCTTCCTACCTGTCTGCCATGTACCTGCATCTTTTAAAGAAAAGACACTTCCTGGAGGGACCCCACAGTTCCGTATGGCTGCTGCCCGAGCCGTCCAGCATTCTGCCCACTTCCCGGCATCCTTCCTTCATTAAGGCTGTGAGTCCCTGACTTTGCCCAGACAGCTGTGACATGGTCCCCAGTGGTCCTTCCAGAGTCATCTCCAGGGACCAGGTGTCAGCAGTTGGTGTGGTCCCCTTTGTACTGTCCCCTGGGCTTCCAGGACCCCCTCTCTCCTTCTCTGACTTCCCCAGTTGGCCCCTGGGCACCTGCGTGTGCCCTGTTGCAGCCTGACCCTCCAGGGCCGCCGTGGCTGCTGGCGTGCCCGCCCCTGCAGGGCCTGCCAGTGAGTGCTCTGTCCGTGCTGGCCATTTGACGCTCGTCTGCTCCAGGAGTGTCTGGAAGTGATGTTGGTGTTGGAAATCAGGTTAAATGTGGAAGTTGCCAAGCAGTAAGAAACTACAAACTAAGCTGAAAGCACCCAGGCCAGGTTGGCTCTGCACTTAAAGTGTCTGCCCTCAGACCAAAGGGTCATGGGTCCGATTCCCGGTCAAGGGCATGTACCTCAACCCCAAGGGCTTGTGTAGGAGGCAACCAGTGATGTCTGTCTCTCACATTGATGTTTCTCTCTCCCTCCTATCCTCCCTTCCACTCTATTTAAAAATCAATGGGCCCTGGCTGGTTTGGCTCAGCGGTTAGAGTGTCGGCCTACGGTCCAGAGACCCGGGCTCAGTTCCCGCTAAGGGCATGTACCTTGGTTGCAGTTTGTCCCCGGCCCTGGGTTGGGTCGTGCGGGTGGCAGCCACTCGATGTGTCCCTTTCACATCGATGTTTCACTCTCTCTCCCTCCCACTCTATCTGAACAAAAAATGGAAAAATGTCCTCGGGTGAGGATAGAAAAAAAAAATTGATGGAAAAATATCCTAGGGTGAGTATTAACAAAAAAATTAAGGTAAAAGCAAGACCTCATGGCCCCTCCCCCAAGGACCTAGGCCAGCTCTGGGGTCTGGTCCATGCACACATGTCCCGATGCCCTAACCCTTGTGCCGCGAGCGAGGCTGTCTGAGCACTTAGCTGCGATGACCCAGCGGCCCGTGGTCCTGGGCTCCCTCTCGGGGGCAGAGAAATGCACCCACAACTCCAGTTCCTAGGGTATCTTTGCAGCGACCACTGCTCCTAGAAAAGCAGCGCCAGGCTCCACAGCAGGAACCCCGAGCACAAGGGCGAGGGCACAGTGGGACCAGGCTGGTCCTGCCAGAACTGCCCGGGTCCAGGGGCCTCAGTTCTGGGTCCCCGTCTTGGCCACATCCGCTCCCCAAGGACCTGAGTGATTGAGCAGGAGCGGCCTTATGGTTTGTGGTGCATGGGTTCCCAGAACCACGTCGCACTTGTGGGCTCCAGGTGCCAGAGGCTGGTGCTCACTTGCTCCTGTGGAAGGAGGGCCCGGCTTGCAAAACTCTGAGTTTTTTAAATTTTGTTTCTTTATTGATTTTAGAGAGAGATGAAGGGAGGGAGAGAGAGATAGAAACATCGATGAGAGAGAACATAGACTGCCCACCTCCTGCATGCCCCCCACTGGGGATCGGGCCCACAACCTGGGCATGTGCCGCGGGAACCGAACTGGCCACCTTTTGGTGCGAGGTCGACACTCAACCCCTGAGCCACACTAGCTGGGCAAAGGGCTGCTTTTTCAGACTCGAGAACGTAGCGATGCCCAGGGGAGGCTGGTCATCGTTGCATGCAACTCAGGGTTGTCCAGGGACGTAGACAACGTGCTGACTGAGGGCACTGAGGACACGGGGCTTTTTGGTGACCGCCATGAATCAGAATGTGACACATACTCGGCAGGCTGTGCTGAGCCCACTTGTGAGAGCTAGGGGGTCCCCCATTCCTTGACTTTCCAGTTCTATTGGTTGGGGAACCAGTGTCTGAAATGCAACTGGGCACTGGCTGGGATTCCGAAGGCAGCCATAGCTGGCATGTGGTGTTGATCATGCCAGGGCCAGAAGCGCTGAGCCCTGGTCAGTGCAGATGCTGCCTTGGGCTGGGCCGGGCCTGGGGCAGGGCTGGGCCTGGGGCTGGGCTGGGCCTGGGGCTGGGCTGGGCTGGGCTGGGCCTCGGGCTGGCTGGGCTGTTTTGAACCCCCTGGCCAGTCTGCACTGTTGCAGAAACACAGGTGTTGTATGTCAGGGTTCTACGTTTAGAATTTTCCCCAGGTATGTTAACTGAATTATTTATAAAAATTATCAAGATATAATTTTTTAAAGTTTCAAAGCAGGGTTGAAGCTGCCTTTAGACAAGACTTTATGACGTGAGCTGGGATTGACAGGGTCGGCAGCCTGCCGTTGTGGATCAGTCGTGAGGAGACTCCAGGTGTCCTCGCTGTTCTGTTCCTTCCCTGGCTCTGTGTGGCCACTGCTCCACCTTCTTTCTGGTTCAGCATCTGCTGGCTTGGGGGATAATGTCCCCCGGGAGGAGGGGGTGAGGGCAGCCTTGAACTCTTGGCCATTATGCCAGAGCTGGGCTTGGGCCCTGGAGCTGCGAGCTAATCACCAGCCCTCTTTTCCGTAAAATATGAACTGTAACTGACCTCACTGGCCTTCGTTCCCGCCCCTTTAAACAGGCTGCAGACACTTTGGCCGTGCGGCAGAAAAGGAGGATTTACGACATCACCAACGTCTTGGAGGGGATCGACCTGATCGAGAAAAAGTCCAAGAACAGCATCCAGTGGAAGTAGGTCGCACAGCAGGGCTCTGGCCAGCTGCGCTCTGCCCTGAGCCCCGCCCAGCCTGCGCCAGCTTCCCCGGGCCCTGCCCGCAGGGCATCTGCCTGGGCCAATGGGAGGCCCGCCCTTGCTCCCTGCTGTTGGATTTGCGCTCTGCCGAAGCCCCTACACACCCCACGCACTGCCTTGTCATCACCCCTCCGCAGACACGCCCTGTGTCTGCCGCCCCTCTCGGATGGGGCCCGAGAGCAGGAGCTGCGTCCTGCCTAGGGACATGTACCTTGTAAACCAGTCGGATGGAATGCACGGGCCGTGACCTGGGGTGGGTGTAGGTTGGAGTGCCACCGACACCTTCTGTTTTGCAAATCTGACCCCTTTGGCCTTCGTTTTGTGTGTGTGTGTGTGTGTGTGTGTGTGTGTTTCCTTTCATCAAAGTGCTTGAAGGCCGTCATTCACTTGACCTGTGCCTCGGTCTGCCCCGAGGTGCCCATTGGGCTGTGACATCTTTCTGATGACCGTCACCAGCCTGACCTCCGGATGACAACGCTGTGAAAAATGCTGAGAACCTTGTAATTTAAATGTTCTTGCCAAAAATATTCTAAGCCATCACATTCAGAGGCATGGCAGTTAAAGGTTTTGGTCCTTGATGTTTACAAAAGTGGGGAGGTTCGTCTTGCATACATGGCTACCGAAGCCCGTTTAGTGCACAGAATCCGGCCGTGCTAGCCCGGTCTGATGGGGTCGTTCTCCCGTGTCAGAGGCGTGGGTGCCGGCTGCAACACGAAGGAAGTGCTGGAGAGACTGCGAGCCCTGAAGGCCGAGATCGAGGACCTGGACCTGAAGGAGAGGGAGCTCGATCAGCAGAAATCGTGGCTGCAGCGCAGCATCCGCAACGTGATGGACGACGCCGTGAGCAGCAGATATCCTTCCGCGGGCGGGACGCGCGGCCCAGTCGGGGGTGATGGCGAGGACGTACCCTCCAGCGGGGGAAGTGTGCGTCCGGTTGGGGGGGATGCGGAGGACATATGGTCTGGCTGGCGGGGGGCGTGCGGTCTGGCTGGGGCGGGGGGTGGCGTGCGGTCTGGCTGGAGCGCGGGGGGGGGGGCCGGCGTGCGGTCTGGCTGGGGCGCGGGGAGGGGGGCGTGCGGTCTGGCTGGGGCGCGGGGGGGGGGGCGTGCGGTCTGGCTGGGGCGCGGGGAGGGGTGGCGTGCGGTCTGGCTGGGGCGGCGGGGGGGGCGTGCGGTCTGGCTGGGGCGCTAGAGTGGGGGGCGCGTGCCATCTGGCTGGTGGATGGGGAGGACCTGCAGTCAGGCCTCTCCCAGCTGGAGGTCGCACTTTGTTCTTCTGTTTTCAGAGGTTTACATGTAGAAAGTAAATGCAATGTTTTAGTTTTCTGTTTTAATCATTTAAAGTTTCTACCTTTTTAAGCTGTGTAGTGACCTAGCACCACCCTCCAGTGCGGCCCTGAGGAAAGCAGCTTTGTCCCTCAGTCCACCCAGGGCTGGGTGAGCATGCAGGCCTGTTGCGCAGGGCGTCGGAGGTCGGACCCCACGATGAAGTGCGTGGGTCACTGTCCCTCATTCCATGCCCTGCCCTGAGGCGACAGGCATTCAGTCACTCTCAGAGCTTTGGAAAGTTAGTGTTGGTTCGAAAATGAAATCTCATGGCCCTGAAAGGAGTGCGATGCTTTCATTTTTTTTTTTTATTAATTTTTGTGATAGATATCTCTCCTTTCACCCCCTAGACACCCTCCTCCCCATCCTGCGCCCCACTCCCAGCATAGTTGTCTCTGTCATTGGTTATGCATTCATGCACATAAATTATTTGGTTTATCTCATCCCCCTGCCTCCCTCATCTGAGGTCTGTCAGTCTGAACCCTACTCCTTTCTATGTCTATTTTGTTCATTATATTCATTCCACAAGTAAGTTAGATCATGTGATACTTGTCTTTCCGACTGGCTTATTTCTCTCAGCATAATACTCTCCAGGTCCCTCCATGTCGTCTCAAAGGGTAAGAGATCTCTCTTACAGCTGCATAGTACTCCACTGTGTACATGTACCACAGCTTTTTTATCCATTTGTCTACTGATGGACACTTGGGCTGTTTCCAGATCTTAGCTATTGTAAATAGTGCTGCTATGAACATGGGGGTACATATATTCTTTCTGATTGGAGTTTCAGGCTTCTTAGGGTATATTCCTACAAGCGAGATCACTGGGTCAAATGGCAGTTACATTTTTAATTTTTTGAGGTAACACCATATTGTTTTCCATAGTGGCTGCACCAGTCTGCATTCCCACCAGCAGTGTACTAGAGTCCCCTTTTCTCCACATCCTCGCCAACACTTGTTGTTTGATGTTTTATTGATGGGGGCCATTCTGACAGGTGTGAGGTGATACCTCATTGTTGTTTTAATTTGCATCTCTCTGATGATTAGTGACGTTGAGCATTTTTTCCTATGTCTCTTGGCCATTTGTATGTCCTGTTTGGAGAGGTGTCTATTTAGTTCCTCTGCCCAGTTTTCAATTGGGTTCTTTGTCTTCCTTTTGTTGAGTTGTATGAGTACTCTATATATATTGAGAATTAACCCCTTATCTGATATATCATTGGCAATTATGGTCTCCCATAGAGTGGGTTCCCTTTCCATTTTGATGGTTCTTTTGCTGTGCAGAAGCTTTTTAGTTTGATGTAGTCCCATGTGTTCATTTTTTCCTTTATTTCTGTTGCTTTAGTTGATGTATCAGTGAAAATTCTGCTGCGTATGATGTCCAAAATTTTGTTGCTTACATTTTCTTCTAGGATTTTTATGGATTCACAAGTCACATTTAAGTCTTTTATCCATTTTGAGTTTATTCTTATGTATGGTGTAAGTTGGTGGTCTAGTTTTATTTTTTTGCATGTAGCTGTCCAATTTTCCCAACACCATTTATTGAAGAGACTGTCTTGACTCCACTGTATGCTCTAGCCTCCTTTGTCAAATATTAATTGAGCATAATGTCTTGCTCAATTTCCGGGTTCTCTGTTCACAGTTTGATACTTTCTACCTGTACCAACTCAGAGACAGACCACCCCGTAGGGTGGAGTTCCAAGGCTGGTGTGTCTGTCGTGTTAGAAGGATGAGGGACACTCTGGGCTTTTCACACCACTGTCCTCTCTAGTGTCTGTGATGCTCGTCATCTGTGAGTGCACCTGTGCTCTTTGGGACATTTTAACCTCATCGGTCGCGTACTTCCTGAATTTCTGACCGAGGTACACAGGTGTCTCATCCTCAGTGATCTTGTTTGTTACTTCTTTCTATGGATCAGAGCTCCCTAAGTGTGAGAACTGGGGGTTTTTAAGCTGTGCTCTGTGGAGCCCCAAAATTCCAAGTCCGTTGAAGTGGTCGACCTTGGACTTTGCTGCGCTGCTTTCCAAGGTTCTGGCCACACCCTAGTCTCCCGACTTTGGCCCAGGAAGGTTCTGGATGTGGAGGCGTCTGTGGATCCTCTTCCCCATCAGTGCCCCGCCCCACCCCAAGAGCCTGGCTCTGTAAGGAATGGGTTTCCATCCGTCTCCCAAGGGCCCACAGTGCTGCACAAATCCAAAGTGGCTCTTCTCCAAGCACAGATGGCGTTGCTCTGGGGCCCTCTGCTTGCTTGTCTGCTTTCTCAGACCAGAGTGCTGCTCCTTCTTACCTGACCGGGCATGGCAGCCCTGCAAGAGTGTCGTTTTCATGTAGGCCTCAGGTGTATTGTCTCAGTGGCAGCACTTAGACTGGGTGCAGACATGTTCCTTAACTCCGCGATGGCACGTTCTCCTATGTGACGCACGAGGACATCTGCAGCTGCTTTAGCGGTAAGTGCGCAGCTCGGGTCAGAGTCTGCAGAGACTCGGAGCCCCGTGCTCCCCAGGTCATCGCCGGAGCAGGCGCCCTGCTCACCATGTTCTCGTCACGGCTCCTGTCACCGTGCTCGCTGGCCATAGCTTTGTGGGGCAGCTCAGTCACGGGCCCAGGTTGGGAACTTGAACATGAGCCGGGTGCCCGCCGCTCTCTGTGCCATTGCAGCGAGTGTCTGCTCTCAGACGACGGAAGAAAGCAGGTTCATTCCTGACCCCGTGCCCCCGCCCGCGCTCTCCCCGGAGTGACCCCGTCAGGACGGATAGCTAACAAGATGGGGCTGCATGCCCGTGATGTCTGACCCAGGTCATGGACTGTGGGTGCTCCAGTTTTATTTAATCGCGCTTCTCGTGGGGACAGCCTTTCGCCGACTTTCCAGGGGGTGTTGACGTGGCCACCAAGGGAGGTCTCCATCTTCATGGAGACGGTTGCAGAGTTTGTCTTTACAAGCTCATTCACTGGGCTTGAGTTCAGTGTGTCACGTCTGTGGTGTCCCCAGGCATTTAGGCAGTTTAGATATGTCAAGTAAACTGTGATTTAGTTGAAGTTGAAAGGTTGCCGGAGCCCTGGCCAGTGGGACTCCGTTGGCTGAGCATCATCCTGAGCACTGGAAGGTTGCTGGTTTGATTCTGGGTCAGGGCACGTGCCCGCGTTTCCGGCTAGATCCCCTGCAGGGGTCGTGCGGGAGGCAGCTGGTCGATGTTCCCTTCTCCCTTTCTCTCTCTCAAAATCAAGACACTTGTTTTTAAAAAGAGGTTGCCAGAATCTCAGACTTCACAGGAGACCGAGTGAAAACAAGGTCAACCTGAGCAGAGCGTGGTCGTGAGAAGAGATCTAACGCTGAGGGTTTGCCTGTTCTGAGACCTGATGGGCCTGCCCCTCCTTTATCCTCAGAACAGCCTGTGCCGTGCCCTCCACACGCCCGGGCCCGGGCCCCGAGCCCAGCCACCTGTCTCCACCGCCCATCCGCTCGCCACTGTTCCTGGATCGCTAGTATTTCCCAAAATTCTAAAGTCTGTCTTTATTGTCTGACAGGTGACACGCTTTTGGCCATCCAGGCACCGTCTGGTACGCAGCTGGAGGTCCCCATCCCGGAGATGGTACGTAGGCTTGTCCCGCGGACCCGCCGGCTCAGACCGCGTGTTTTCTGTCACTGAACGCGAGCTGACTGTAAGCACCTTCAGGTTGTGTGTGCGCGGGCATCCATGCTGGGTGTGGACGTCCTCAGCGCTTCAGTAACATTGTAGGTGTGACTGAACGAATTATGTAACATCTTATTTATTTTTTTTTTTTTTTCTTTTTTTTTTTTTTAATCCTCATCCGAGGACATTTTTCCATTTTTTGTACAGACAGAGTGGGAGGGAGAGAGAGGAAGAGAGAGAGAGGGAAACATCGATGTGAAAGGGACACATCAAGTGGCTGCCACCCGCACGACCAACCAGGGCCGGGGACAAACTGCAACCGAGGTACATGCCCTTAGCGGGAACCGAACCTGGGCCTCTCCGGACCGCAGGCGGACGCTCTAACCGCTGAGCCAAACCGGCCAGGGCTGTAACATCTTATTTTTTAATTTGATTTTATAAGTCATGGTATAAGTTAGTAACCTTAAAGCACCAGCCTGACGATGTCTGTAACTGATGTACCGATCCTGACTGAGGAAAAAGTTCTATTGAAATATCAACAATAGCCCTGGCCGGTGTGGCTCAGCAGTTAGAGCGTCGGCCCGTGGACCAGAGAGACCCGGGTTCGGTTACCGCTAAGGGCACGTGCCTTGGTTACAGTTTGTCCCCAGCTGTCTCTCTCACATCGATGTTTCTCTCTCTACCCGTCTCCCTCTTGCTCTATCTGAAGATAAAATGCAAAAAACTTTCCTCAGGTGAGGATGAAAAAAATATATATATCAACAATACTATAATGCTTTAAATTGGATCTCTTTTAGAAACATGTTCTGGCTTATCGAGTCAAATATATTTATTGACTCTGGGCTGTGTATAAGTGTCACGACCTTAGTTTTGAATTCAGAGTTCCTACCACAAGCTTATTTGAAAGCGGTACCAGTGGCGGGGGGCGGGCAGGAAGAGGTGAGCGCGTCCTCCGCCCCCAGCCCCGGCCGCCCTGGAGCCTTAAGTCAGGCCCTCACTGGACTGGCTCTAGCCCAGGATACAGATCACCCTGGACCTGCAGGGACGCGACACCTGTGTCTGGGAAAAACCCTCATCTTGTGCTCTTGCCGAATGGGGAACAGTGACTTGTGAGACAGGGCCGATGGGGTGGCAGCTGATGTGGGGCCATGCCTGCGAGGACGTGAGGCGATGGTGACGTAAAACGCAGGGTTGCCAGGATTCCGCAACAGATTGAGACGGCCCGGTTTCGAGAAAAGCTTCCTTCAGGCAGGTGGTTAGAGCCTCCATATGCCAGGGTCTCCACTCTCCCTCTCGACTTCCTGCCTGTTCTGTCGTGTGGGCCGTTGGTCCCGAGAGCTGTGGCTCGTTTCTATGTTATAGTCGCCCATGTGTCTGCACCCCTCCACTCCGAAGGGTCAGAATGGACAGAAGAAGTACCAGATCAACCTGAAGAGCCCTTCGGGCCCCATCCACGTGCTGCTCATCAACAAGGAGTCCAGCTCAGCCCAGCCCGTGGTCTTCCCCGTGCCCCCACCGGACGACCTCACGCAGCCGTCCTCCCAGCCCTCGCCGCCCCGGACGCCGCACAAGCCCGGCCCAGCCCCGCGGAGCCCCGAGCCCGCCTCCGACAGGGGCCTGGGTCCCCAGCACGCGCCGGCCACGGACCCGGCTCCAGGTGGGCGCAGAGCCTTGGTCCTAGACAGCAGGGCTCTCTGGGTCTGTTGTCCCATGTGCCTGTCTGACATGGGAGGGAGACAGGAAGTTAGTTTAATCACAGGTGTTATTTAGTGTCTGTCCAGCACACGGACAGGTTTATGAGGAATATTTAGAAACAGATCCTGTCTCTTTATATTCGTGACTACCATGTTTGGTTGTAGTGACATGTATTGTCATGTAAGTATTTTAATCACGTCACTGCAGATCTGTTCCGTAAGGTACATGTGTAAACACGGTCTGGTTGCACATTCAGAACGTGCAGTGGCGGGGCCATGACGCGGGTACAGCTGCGGGATGATGGCCGCTCTGCGGGCCGGTCACAGCCTGACTGCACTTTTCGGAGGGCTCCCTCCCAGGAAGCAGCCGGTGTGGTCCTTTGCGCCATTGTGGCTGGTGCACGCTGCTCCATCTGCGCTGGCTCTGCGCACCCGTGGGACAGCTGGGCTGTGGAGCGCAGTGGCCGCCGTCTCCCTGTCCTCACCGCTGCGCGGAGGTGCTCAGGGACTGGGGTCACGCCATCTAGATAGTGCTCACCGCACAGCGGCTTCGTCTGCACTGTCGGGACCACCCTGGGGCATGGTGGGGGTCTGCTGCCCTGGTCACTCGGGCTGGGCAGGGTGAGGCTGTGAAGGGAGGTCTGACCCGCAGGGGATCGCTCGGTGTCCCGCCTGGTCCCCACCCCACTCCTGGTAGCATTTCCACCCTCGGCTGTAGAGATGGCCAACCAAGGCTGGTCCTGAGCAGCCTGTCCTCAGTTAACGTGGGGGGTGGAGGAAGCAGGCTCCGTAGGTGTAACTCAGACAGCTAGTACACTGGCTTCCCCAGGCATTAAAACAACCCAAGTAGTTCGTTCCTGGACATGATTTTGTACTGGAAAAAGCGAGGAAGGTAGTTTGGGGTGGGATTGAGGGGTCTTGACTGCGACTAAGAGGACTGGCAGGTGGCTAGCGAGAGTCTGACGGGGTGGCCGTGCAGGCGGCGGGTGCTGAGCACAGGGACGTGGCGGGGAAGGCGCCCGGGAAGCCCAGGGCAGGGGCGGCTGTGCGGCCATGAGGGCAGAGACACAGCAGGGTGGTGGCTGCAGAAGCAGAAACAGCACGTGAGAGATGCTGTGTAGGGAAAAGGAGGGCCGAGGGTCGTGTGCAACCTGGAGAGGAGCTGACAGCAGGGACAGGAAGCGCCACCGCCGCGAGGTTGGGTGACGGAGGGCCATGGCATCACTGCGTGTACACCGCAGGAGGAAGGCTTTGGGGCTACATCCTGGGTTTGGAGGTTTGAAAGCAGTCAATGGGGATGAAAATATTCTGAGTTTCCTATGCTCCGCTCGCTGCTGGGACTCAAGCTGAACTGGGACCGTGAACAGGTGGAGCTGGGCCCCAGCCAGCTGCCTTCACTCACGGAGATGCCCAAACCTGACTCGTGTGTCTCCCGCAGGCTCTGTTACTGGAGATATCATCGATGAGTTGATGTCTTCTGATGGTGAGTCGTTCAACTTTTCTGAGATTTGTCGGTGGCACGATTTATTTACTTAGTGTACTGTGACGACTCATAAACTCCTTTAACACACGTGAGTGTTGACACTGGAGGGAGGCTCTGTGAGGGACGCTCTCCCTGAGCTGTGAGCTGGCGGTGAACTCGCCCCCTCTCCCTATGAACAGGAGCGCACTGTGAGCCCGGGTGGTCAGAGACCCTGCTGAGTCTCCCCCGCCACCCAGCGGGAAGTCCCTGTACCGCTCCTACCGTGGCCCTGTCGTCGAATTGGAAATCCTTCCAAATCAACAGCCACAATTCTGTGATCACCTCCATGATCACTCGTGTGGCTCCCCCTTTCTGTAAGGTCTGGGACCGAGCCCTGGCTGCAGACAGAGGCGACCTGGGAGGGGGCAGCTGTGAGAGTGGCCAACAGACCCGGAGCCACTAGAATCGCTCCACAGTTCTGAAGTAACAGAGCAGCGCACGTTAGCCTAAGTCTCTTGCTCTGTTGTCGCAGTCCAGTTAGCAGACCAGAGAAAGTAACTGGACCGTGTTTATAAATTATGTATTTTAGCGAAAAGTTCAACCAATCTTTTAACCTGTTTCTCAAGCTTATACCTATAACCAGTGCCGTGTTTTCCACGAGACTCAGTCCACAGGGTAACACACGCTGCCGCAGGGACGGGCCTTCCCTGGTGGGGGCGGAGCTTGCACCCGGAGCCAAGCTGCGGTGCGCCTGACCGCAAGCCTGTGCTCTGCCCGCAGTGTTCCCGCTCCTGCGGCTCTCGCCCACCCCCGCGGATGACTACAGCTTCAACCTAGACGACAGCGAAGGCGTGTGTGACCTGTTCGATGTCCCGATACTGAATTACTAGAGGCCATGGGAGCTGGACTGCCACCCTCTAACTGCGGCGCTGTGGGCGTGCTGGTGACCTGAGTGAGCACAGCAAGCACAGCAGCTGCTCACCCTGATGCTTCTCTCTGACGCCACAGGCGTCACCGTGGAAGCCAAGGGCTCTTGCTTCAGGGAAAGTGATCCCGTAGCCACCCCTCCGGTAACTGCATTCTGGGACTTGGCCTTTTCTCCCAGCCCCCACTCCTCGTTTCCACTCCTGGGAGAGGCAGAAGTAGGCTTCGGGGCATCAAACCCAGACCCCGCTAAGGGCTGGTCTCTGCTCCGCCTCGACTGCCTGCTGGGCTCCCGCGAGAGGCTGTCCCTGCCCGGCCTGTGCCCACCGACGGTCGCTGCGGGGCAGCTGGTGAAGTGCCTTCCTGCTGCACTCGGGCTCCTCCGTGTGGCCGGTCCTGACTCCACGCCCTCGTCACAGGGGCTGCGCGTGTAGTTTGTGTTTAAATGTGCCAATGCCTGTACATTAACAAGATTTTTAAAAAATAAAGTTTATAAAACCTTTAATTGCTTGGTCTCTGGGGGAACTGGATGCATTGCCACCGTGTCACAGCTGAGCCATTAACCATGTGGCTTCGTCAACGTCCACAGGCTGGTTCTCCTGGCCCTTCTGCGGAGCCTGCGGAGGAGAGTGTCAGTGGGTGAAGCGTGGGCAGTGGAAGGGCACAGAAATGACATTCTGTTCACAACGTTATGAACATGCTGTACTTACTGCACAGCCACGCACACCAGAGCCAAGTGCCGAAATCACTTCCCTTAAAGGCTCTGGAAACTCGGGGTTCGCATGACCAGCCTTCGGTCCATGAGCAGCGTGACCCCTACGCAGCAGCTGCTTGTGTGGAGGCTCGAGGGAGAGGCCCGTGGAGAAGTGAGCGAGCTCCTTCTGTATGTCCACAAACGCTGCGTTCATCCTCCTGACCTTCACCTCGTTCACAATGTTTATCTTTCAAAAAGAGAAAACACTCATCCGTCATCTCAAAACCATGTTGGATAATATATTCAACCTTAATCTGACCTTATTAAACCTCAACTCTAACAAAAAGGTTCTGTTTTTAAACGAGAATTCTGTGGAATGCCCATATCCTGACTCCACTGGTTTAATTAGAGGCCAAAGGACAGCTCCCTCTTCCCAGAGGACAGCTGTCACCGTCGCCGGGGAAGCCAGGAGCCCGCATCCCACGCAGCGTCCTCACAACACCTCTCAGCCACCGCAGCCCGCCCCGCGTCTGAACCCTCCTGCAGCTCTCAAGCCACGTCTCCCATGTCTCCATCTCCCATGTCTCCGTCACAAGTCTCAGCCCCTGTGCACTTGACGCCTCGGGACCCTGCTGCCCTCCCTCTGCTGCCACCTGCCAGCTCCAGGAGGACCTGCCCCTTCATGAAAGATCTCCGACCCTGGCTCAGACTTCCCTCAGGTCTGCTCAGCATGCTCAACTCCTATGGCCTCGTCATCTCCAGGTCCTCACCTCCTGTCCTCGTACCCCGAGTCCCCTCACGGTTCTTAAATCCCACCGAAGCCTCCAATTCTGTCACATTTCACTCTCCGGCCCTTCCTTTCTCCTTCACCCGGCACAGATCCCCAACCATTACTGCACGAACCACTAACATTCCTGACTCTTCACTTCTCTCCTGCAGTCACACTGGCTGAGCAACCCAGCAAACAGCTGGCAGACTTCACTGGAGCCTGAGAAACCACACTGGGTGGGCGGCTCACTTTCAGTCCACGGTCACACACTGCAACTGACCATTTACATGGCCACCTTCCTCCACCCCCCCGCCCCAAGGCAGGCTCCTCTGTGGGAGTGCACACCTATCTGCCACCCGCCACCCTCCCTCCACCCGCCGCCCTCTCCGCCCCCCGCCCACGCCCTCCCTTCACCAGCCCCGCGAGCATGCATGCGGTGCCCAGTACTCCCCGCTAATGGAATAACGTGGGCCTTGCTGTCCTCTGCCTGGAACACACCCTGCATCATGAGCTCCTGGTCACTCAGGTCTTGGCTACAGTGTCTACTCTGAGGAAAATTCCATGTGAATTGTTGCTCCAAACCTCCACTGTATCATCTAGCTCTGCTTCCTTTACAGCATTTCCAAAGTCCTAAAACTGCTCCGCAAAAAACTGAGCTCAACTACTTCATGAAAACTGAAGAATAGATGGTCCACTTCTGTGGACTAGGACGGTCATCACCAAGCCCCAGAGAGCTGATGCCATGTACCACTTGAACAGTTTCCTGAGGAGTCGACTATATCTTGATGAAGAAATTTCCCATTTCCCAAATATTTTGAAGTAAAAACAAAAAAGATAAACTTGTCAAATTTTGCATGTGGAGAAACAATATTTTATCTTCATTTGACAGGTTCTTAACCATGTGTGAGTTCAGAGCAGTTCTGACACCACAGGCGGTTTCTGTGCTCCAGGAAAGCCATCCAACTTCTTTGCAGCCTCACACGTTTGCATTTTTTTTCTTATTGTGCATCTGTATTCAAGAAAGGGTTGTTTTTCTTGATTTTTTAAAACAGATCTTTAAAATCCCTTGTACGAAAGGCTAAGAACCTGTTTAAAATAAAACCATTCAGCTCACCAGGAGCATCACCACCATGCTTTGCTTGTAAACACTAAGGTCAGGGTGCTTAATGCTCACCTTCTTTAGATGAGTGGTAACTGGTTTTGCTTTACTTTTACCCTTAAAGTTTTTTTGGCTGGCTATGTGAAATACATTCCTGGACTTCTGCCCTCTTCGTTTGTTCTTGGCCATTGTCTAGAAGAGAAAGAACAGGAGCTCAGTTAAGCTGCCCACATTTATGACTGTCAGTCCATTTTAGTCTGAAGAGTACAGGTACCAAGGATCTGAAAATGGCAACAGAGCAAAGGGAAGTGACACAGACTGTCTCCCGGGACCAAACTGGAGTCACAACCAAAATAAAGATAAATCATTGGGTAAAACACCTGAAGAGCAGCTGGAGAGAATGCTTATAACCAGGGATGGAAAGCCAGGGATTATAACCAAATCGAGCCTGGTAGGAGGTGTGGAGGTGCAAGAGGGCTGGCTGAGTGCCCATGGGCAGCAGCTGACGGCTGTCTTAGCTGTGAGCAGTTTCCCGAGAAGTCGGGGGTTAAAACCCCAGGCCGGCTCCATAGCATAGAAGGGTGGAGCAGGAAAAGGCTCCCACATAACACCTGGGTGAGGAAATCACAAGAGCAGAGGAACTGGGAACACCAGCACTTCCCTAAAGGGGCAGGGCACAAAATCAGCTACAGCCACTCTCCCTGGGCTCCGGCAGAGGGAGGGCACACTGGACTGGAACTATGTGAGGAGAGTCAGGGGTTTATGGCACAGGGGAGACAGCTGGGAAGGACATTGGGACTTTTATGCTGGATTACTCCATAATAGGACAGAAGCCATCTTACTCAAAGAGCCCCTCCCAAAGCCCTGGGGAGAAGCAACGGCTCCTCCCTTAGGAACTTAACACCACTTGGCTGGACAAATGCAAATTGAGGCTCATTAACAGCTAGTCTTCCAGCAAGCAGAGGGGGAGAAAAAAAGAAGCCTGTTGAAATTTGGAACCAGCTCTGTGTTGTGGGTCATGGCTCTGAGGACTGAGCTGTGAAGGCTGAGGCCTGAGTTCCTATGCTGAGCCCCTCCCCCACAGCTTCACTAGCCATCTCTGTCAAGTAGCCCTGTTTTAGTCTGGGGGAGAAGCAACTGCCCCTTCCTCGGGAATTTAACACCACCCTGTGGTTCTGGGGTATGAGCTGTGAAGGCAGAGGCCAAGACCTCCATGCTGAGCCAAAAGTACACACCACAGAAACCAGTTTATCAAAGCAACTTGAACCCAGGAGAAAGTAATTGCTTCACCCACTGGAAATCCTCTTACCCTATTGACCTGAGGGATTTTTCATTCAGCAGTGGGCTACAACCTCAGGCTCATAAAGTAATTGAGATTAATATCCTGCAGGCAAAAGCTAGAGGATAACTGAATCCTTGCTTGGTCTGCGAATCTACCCAGGAAAGTAAGACTTAACAGTGGTGTTTAACATGGGTCCTCCCACACTCATCCAAATCCAGTAGAGGGGGCCACAATCAGTGGAACACCAACACCCACAGGGAAAATTTGGCAGGATCTAAAACACATTGAGACAGCCAAAATGGTGAAACAAAGAAACAAATCCCAAATGAAAGAACAAGAGAATTCTATGAAAGATGTGATAAATGAAATGGAATTAAGCAAGTTATCAGAGGTAGAATTCAGAGTAATGATTATGAGGAAGCTCAACAGCATGAGTAAAGAGCCCAACAGCAGGAGTAAAGATATAAACAATAAAAATCAACCAATTGTAAATGAAAACCTACCAAATGGAAATGAAGAATGACATAGCAGAAATAAAGAACACATTGGAGGGTATAACCAGCAGAGTAGAGGAAGCAGAATATCAGATCAGTGAATTAGAAGAGAGAGTAGAAAAAAATCACCCAATACAAGAACCAAAAAGAAAAAAAAAAAACAGGAGGAAAGTTTAAGAGAACTCTAGGACAAAATGAAACATAACAACATACACATCATAGGAGTACTTGCAGAAAAAGAAAATGAGCATGGGTTTGAGAATATATTTGAAGAAATAGTGACAGAAAACTTCCCTAACTTGGAGAAGGAAAAAGGCATACAAGTTCTAGAAGCACAGAGAGTCCCAAGTAAGAAGAAGTGAAAGAGGCCCACAGCAAGACACATACTAATTAAAATTCCAAAAGTTAAAGACAAAAAGAGAATCCTAAAGGCAGCAAGAAATAAGCAAAAGGCTACCTTACAAAGGAGCTCGCATAAGGTTATCAGCTGATTTTTCAACAGAAACATTACAGGCCAGAAGGGAATGGCATGAAGTATTCAAGGCAATAAAAAAAAAAAAAAAAAAAAAAAACAAGGATCTGAACCCAAGACTACTCCATCAGGCAAGGCTATCATTCAAAATACAAGGTGAAATAAACGAGCTTCCCAGACAAAAATAAAAGGCCAAGAGAATATATTAGCACCAAAACAACACTGCAGGGAATGTTAAAAGGACTGCTGTAATAAGCAGAAGAAATAGGGAGAGAAACATAGCCGCAATAAATAAGTACATATCAATAACAACCTTAAATGTAAATAGGTTAAATGCTCCAATCAAAAGACAGAGTAGCTGAATGTATAAGAAAGCATGACTCATATATATGTTGTTTACAGGAGAGCTACTTCAGAACAAAACACATAGGCACTCACATAGGCTGAAAGTGAACGGATGAAAAAAAAATTTCCAAGCAAATGGAAAGGAAAAAAACAACCCGGAGTAACAATTCTCAGATCTGATAAAACAGATTTCAACATGAAGGCCATAACTAGAGACAAAGAAGGCCACAATATAATATTGAAAGGATCTATCAAACAGGAAGATATGACCTTAGTAAACATATGTACAACCAATATAGGAGCACCAAAATATATTTTAAAACTTATGGAGGACTTCAAAGGAGAAACTGAAAGCAATACAATCATAGCAGGGGACTTCAATGCCCCACTGACATCACTGGATAAATCCTCTATACAAAAAAATTAACAAGGTAACAAAGACTCTAAATGATGCACTAGATCAAATGGATTTAATAGATGCCTACAGATAATTTCATCCCAAAACCGCAGAATTCACCTTCTTCTCAAGTGCACAGGGGAGATTCTCAAAGATAGACCATATGTTAGGACACAAACTAAGACTTTACAAGCTGAAGAAGACTGAAATCATATCGAGCATCTTCTCAGATCACAACGGCATGAAACTAGAAATCAATTACAATAAAAACACACAAAAACATTTAAACACATGGAGGCTAAATGGCAATGTTATTAAACAATGAATGGGTTACCAAGGAGATCAAGGAAGAAATTAAAAACTTCCTAGAAACCAATGAAAATGAACACACACCCCTGTCCAGTTTGGCTCAGTGGTTGAGCATTGGCCTGCGGACCAGAGAGTCCAGGGTTCGGTTTCTGCTAGGGGCACGTACCACAAAAAAAAAAAGAAAGAAAATGAACACACAACACAAAATCTATGGGACACAGCGAAAGCTGTCCTGAGAGAGAAGTTCATAGTACTACAGGCCTACCTGACGAAAGAAGAAAAATTTCTAATTGACTATCTACCCCTACAACTTAAAGAACTAGAAAGTAAACAAAAAGAAAAACCCAGAGCAAGTAGAAGGAAAAAAATAGTAAAGGTCAGAGCAGAAATAAACACCATAGAGACAAAAACAAAAAAAACAAAACAAAAACAATTCAAAACATCAGTGAAACAAAGAGCTGGTTCTTTGAAAAGATAAACAAGACGGATGAACCCTTAGCCAGACTCATCAACAAACAGAGGGGACCCAGATAAAATCAGAGATGAAAGAGGAAAAATAACAACTGACACTACAGAAACACAAAGGATTTAAATTTTATTTTATTTTTTTATTGATTTTGAGAGAGAGAGGAAGGGAGAGGTAGAGAGAGAAACATCAATGACAGAGAACATCAATCGGCTGCCTCCTGCATGCCCCTCACTGGGTTTCTGGCCCACAACCTGGGTATGTGCCATGACCAGGAATCGAACTGCCGACCTCTTGGTGTATCAGTCAACACTCAACCACTAAGCCACACCTGCCGAACAATACAAAGGATTTTTAAAGAATACTATGAACAATTATACGCCAACAAACTGGACAATCTAGGTGAAATGAACAAATTTCTAAAATCACAGTTTCCCAAAACTGAACTGCGAAGAGACAGAAAACTTGAACAGACCAATAACAACTAAGGAAATTGAAGATATAATTAAGAAACTCCCAGCAAACAAAAGCCCGCGCATGGCTTCACAGGGGAATTTGACTGAACATTCAAAGAAGAACATCCATTCTCCTCAAACTACTCCAAAAAATTCCAGAAAAAGGAAGACTTACAAACTCTTTTTATGAGACCAGCAAAATTCTACTTCTAAAACCAGATAAAGAAACTACAGAGAAAGAAAACTACAGGCCCAAATCCCTGATGAACATAGATGACAAAGTCCTTAACAAAACATAAGCAAAGCAAATCAATCGAATCCATCAATCCATTAAAAAAGTATTCACCATGACCAAGTGGGATTCATCCCAGGGATGCAAGGATGGTACAATATTCGCAAATCAATAAATAAACATAAACAAAACAAAATGAAAGATAAAAATCATGTGATTATATCAATAGATGCTGAAAAAGCATTTGAGAAAATCCAGCACCCATTTCTGATAAAAACGCTTAGCAATGTGAGACTAGAGGGATCATATCTTGACATGATAAAGGCCATATATGAAAAATCTACAGCCAACATCATACTCAATGGCAAAAACCAAAAGTATTTCCCTTAAAAACAGGAACACTCTTATTTGTGTCACTCTTATTTAACATAGTACTAGAAGTCTTAGCCACAGCAATTAGACATGAAGAAAAATAAAAAGGATCCAAATTGAAAAGATGGAAGTGAAACTGTCACTATTAGCTGATGACATGATATTGTACATAGAAAACCCTAAAGACTCCATCAAAAATCTATTAGATTTAGTAAATGAATTTGGCAAAGTAGCAAGATACAAAATTAACATCCAGAAATCAATGGCATTCTTATACACCAATAATGAACACTAAGAAACAGAAACTAAAAAAAATTGCCATTTACCACTGCAACATAAAAAAATAAAATACCTAGGAATACATTTAACCAAGGAGGTAAAAGACTTGTTCTCAGTAAACTACAGGACATTGAAAAAAGAAATAGAGGAAGAAATAAAAAAATGGACACATATACCATGATCACAGATTGCAAAAATCTACATCATTAAAATATCCATAGTACCCCAAAGCAATCTACAGATTCAATGCAATCCCTAGTAAAGTACCAATGGCATATTTCAGAGATCTAGAACAAACACTCCAAAACTTTATATGGAACCATAAAAGACCACAAATAGCCACAGCAATTTTGAAAAAGAAGAACTAAGTGGGAGGGATCACAATACCAGATACCAAGTTATACTACAAAGCCACTGTAATCAAAACAGCCTGGTACTGGCAGAAGAACAAACACATAGATCAATGAAACAGAACAGAGAACCCACATATCGACCCAAGACAGTATGCTCAATTAATATTTGACAAAGGAGGCCAGAGCATACAATAGAGAAAAGACAGTCTCTTCAATAAATGGTGTTGGGAAAATTGGACCACTATATGCAAAAAAATGAAACTAGACCACCAACTTACACTATACACAAGAATAAACTCAAAATGGGTAAAAGACTAAAATATAACCCATGAAACAATACAAATCCTAGAAGAAAATGCAAGCAGAAAAATTTGAGACATCATATGTAGTGGAATTTTCAATGATACATCACCTAGGGCAAGAGAAAAAAGGGAAAATATTAATAAATGAAGACTACATCAAATTTAAAAGTTCTGCACAGCAAAAGGAACAAGCATCAAAATGAAAAGTGAACCGACTCTCCAGGAGAACATATTTGCCAATGATACATCGCATAAGGTTAATATCCAAAATATAGAGAGTTCTCATGCAACTCAACAAAAGGAAGACAAACAGCAGGTGTGGCTCTGTTTTTGAGTATCGAACCATGTACCAAGAGGTCGCCAGTGCAATTTCTGGTCAGGGCACATGCCCTGGTTGTGGGCCAAATCCCCAGTGAAGGGCATGCAGGAGGTGGACAAGCAATGTTCTCTTCCATCAATGTTTCTCTCTCTCTCTCTCTCTCCCTCTCCCTTCCTTTCTCTCTAAAATCAATAAAGAAAAAATTTTTTTTTAAAAGAAAGACAATCCAATTTAAAAATGGGCAGAAGACCTGAATAGACACTTCTCCAAACAAGACATACAAAAAGCCAGGAGATATATGAAAAAATGCTTATCATCTCTAATCATCAGAGAGATACAAATTAAAACAACTAGGAAATATCACCTCACACTTGCCAGAATGGCTGCCATCAACAAATCAAACAAGTGCTGGCGAGGGTGTGGAGAAAAGGGGACTCTAGTACACTGCTGGTGGAAATGCAGACTGGTACAGACACTATGGAAAACAATATGATGTTTCCTCAAAAATTTAAAAATAGAACTGCCATTTGACCCAGTGATCCCACTTCTTGGAATATATCCTAAGAAGCCTGAAACACCAATCAGAAAGAATATATATATGTACCCCTATGTCCATAGCAGCACTATTTATAATAGCTAAGATCTGGAAACAGCCCAAGTGTCCATCAGTAGATGAGTGGATAAAAACGCTGTGGTACATTTACACAATGGATACTATGCAGCTGTAAGAAAGATCTCTTACCCTTAGAGATGACATGGAGGGACCTGGAGAGTATTATGCTGAGTGAAATAAGCCAGTCAGAGAAAGACAAATACCACATGATCTCACTTATTTGTGGAACATAATGAACAAAACAAGCTGTTGATCAAAAGAGATCCAGAATCATGGAAGTGGGGAACAGAATGACAAACCTCAGAGGGATGGCAGGGGTAAACCAAAGAACTTATCTGCATATAAGCACATCCAATCCACAGGGACACTAGGCTGGGGAAGGTAGGAGGGTTGTGGGAGGAAGAAGGAGGGGGTCAATGGGGAAAAAAGGGGTACATCTGTAATACTTTCAACAATAACAAGAACAATCTTACTGCTGGTTATTTTTAAAGTTGCTGCACGTATTAAATTATTTCCTTGTCTTTTTGCCCCCTTTAGATTTTCTACTGTTGGAGTGCAGAATAGGTAAGTCTTTTCTGCATTTCCAGCACCTGACCCATAGGAGGCACCACATTCACTTCTGCTAGTTGAATCGTTAATAACACAGTTGCTTTTTCAGCTCCCTGCAGTATCCCACCAAGTTAACCATCACCCCCCTATTCTGCTAGTTCACATGCTACTGTGCCACTCTGGTGCCCATCACACCCTAGGGCTGACTCCCTTCTTTTCATTCCTGTCTACTTGCCCCACTTCCTCTCCTGTGTGCCCCGCCTCAAAATCAGATTTTAATCCTGCACTTCCTGCCTCCCTCCTCCCTTAACTTACTTTCAAGTCACCTCTCTGTTCATGGCTCTTGCCTTAAAACTTCATATAGTCTTTGTTCTATAGCTAAACACACACTACCCCTGAACATTCTACCTTGAACATATCTCTCCAGTCTGTCTTTAACAATACATGTGAGGAACAATGTCTAAATATTAACCGATAAGATTCATTGAGCTTTTACTATGTGTACCAGTACTATGCTTACATTTTATGTGCTTTGAGTAATTTACTCACCACATTTTGTGGGAGGTACTATCTATCCCCATTTTACAGATTTAAAAACAAAAAAAAACTGATGCAAAGGGAAGTGAATATGCCCACTGCCACCCTGGCAGTCATTAGGGAATGCCTAGATTCAAAGCCAGATCTAGTTGTGGGATATGGCCTCTCCTATAAAGGGTGGGGTAAAAGTAGCTTTACAATTGTGAGTATGTGAAAGTTTATTCTTGTATTATTATTAATCAATTATTGTATTATTTTCCATGCAGGCAATTGCAAAACTACTTTTGCCTGAACCTGTATACATAAAAATGCAATACGAAAATATGACAATATTTATTGGGTGACTGCTACAGTCCCTAGGTCTATTTGGATAGACCATGGGCTTGGGCAGACTATGCCTAAGGACCAAATCAGTTCAGGCACCTCTCTTTCTAAATAAAGTTTTATTAGAACACAACTTTATCCATTCGAGTATGTACTGTCTTATGGATGCTTTTCTAAAGTATTTACTATCTGGTGCACTGAACCTTCCAATGTCAAAGGCTCCTCCAAGGCACAAGGAGCAATATGCCCAGCCCTTGCTGCTGGAATACATCTGCCACTCTCCTGCTAGTCTCCACTGGCACCCACCCGCTCAGCCTGTTGTCTCTGAAGACACGTGCCCGTGCCGGCTGCCTTCCCTGTGCTCCCACTGTACCTCTCCCCTGAAGCACATCCTCCACGTCGGGCCTCAGGAAAGTACGTCACACCAACCCTTTCGACCCCAGCAGTACTTAATACTTAAAAATAACGAACACGATGGAAAAGAAATTATTATGGAAGAAAACGCACATAATAAATCCCGCCAAGTTAAATGATCTAAAATCCAACAGTAACCAAAATCCAACCACTCATTAATCAATTACCACTATGCTCCAGGTGTGGCCCAGAAGTGCCGTACGCGTGATACATACAGACACATAGTCACAGGTCCCCTCACAGGCAGGTTCCTGGAGAGGTAATACCCTAGTTGAGGGTACAGGGAATACCCCTGACAGCCACGTGGAAACCATGACAACAGACGCGACCACAACCTGGCCCCGGCCCAAGGCCCACCGGCCGGAGAGTGCACAGCGGACGCGGACCGCCCGCAGCAGCAGCGCGAGCCCCGCCAGCCCTGCCCCGGCCCCGAAAAGTTCACCGACCTCTCCCCAGGCGCACCTCTGACACCCTCACGCAGTCGCTTCTGCTCTAGGACACGCCACAGGCCGGCGTAGGACCCAGGAAGTTCCGGAGGAAGCAGCCAATTAAACTTCTCCCCTAGGTCGTGGTTCCGCCCACCGAGCGGAGTCCCTCCCACAATGCGAAGTCTCGTTGGTGACTCGGCCTGATGACAGACAAGCCCCGCCCACCGGCCGTAGCCCCTACACACTGCGCGGAGTCCCTGCCTCGGAGGCTGGTGGTACTCAAGCCCGCCCACTTAACGTAATGCACGTAATTCCGCCCCCTGACGTAGTCCCGCCCACAGAGCCCACTCTATAGCTTGGGGCATCGCCACTGAGACAGTGACGACCCGCCCCCAGGGCAAAACCCAGCCGGGCGTTTGGCCGCTGCTCTTGGGCCCGGGAGAGGGCGCTCGCAGCCCGGGGCCGTCCACGTGCGGGGAGTCGGAGCGCCTTTTCCAGGCTATTTCCTTGCTTCAAGCCACGTGTGGGACGACAGGCACGCAGGGCCCTAAAAGGTGTCCACCGTAGCCCGAGCTTCCGAGCGCGGAGGAGCGAGCCTCGCGGTGTGAGTCTGCGCGCGCACGTCCCGGTTCTGCCTTCCGGGCCCAGGTCCAGAAAGGGGCCTGCGCTTCCCGGGCCTCCGCGCCGAGGTGAGCAGTCACGTGCTTCGCCACGGCCTTCGCGGACCTCCTAGAGGAGTCGGGGTCGGCCCCGCCCGCGCACTGCCGCGTGGGAGGCGGGGACCCTCCAGGGAAGGGGCGTGACTCGCGGGCCAGTCGCAGGTGCACCTGTGCTCGCTGCGTTTTCTGCAGTTCCCACGGTTCACGCCGTGCGGCCTCTGGTCTGCAGTCGTCCCCGCCCCACGCCGGTCCTGACTCGCCTGTGTCCCACCCAGTCCGCATTCCCATTCATGTGCACGGGCCCTGCGACCTCAGGAGTAGCCAGGATTGGAGCCCCAGAAACCGACTCTGAAGCTGAGTCATCGTGACGACACACCTGCGGGAACACTTCTGTTGTCTCTGCTCCACAAACATGTTTTCAGTGCAAGAAAGCCGGTTTCATCCAGAGTGCTCTCCTGGCCAGATGCCTGGACATTCCAGACCCGAACATAGCAAATGCTGAAGGTTGAGACCGGTCAGATGCCTATCACAGGGGCCATAAAAATGCCCAAAGGGAACCTGAAATCCTTTCGCGTTTGTTAGGGTGCCTGATTGAAATGGGAGTCACGGTTTAAAATGACAGGAATTGTGAAACAGTGGGCAGGGGCATGTTTGAAACCCAGAAAACTGGCCAGGGCAAAGAAGGACGTGTGTTGGTAAATTAGCATCTGACACTCTGGACCCCAGCAGTGTTTAAAGAAAAAGAAAATGAAAAGACACTTTGCATTGTAATTATCAAGTTTAGCTGACAACAATCACACTGTCTAACGCTCAGCAGTGATTTCCTTTTTCAGTTGAAATTATATCTGCACAGACCCAAGTCAACAGTTTGTGACAGTCAGTGTTGTTTGAGAACAACCCCAGGGTGCTGGAATTTTGCTAAGAATTGCATGGGTGTCTGTATTATGATAAATACAAGCAAAAAACAAACGTTTGCTCCTTGCAGACTTCCTCCTCCTAGACGAGAACAATCATGAAGGGTCCTTGTGGGAATTTGGAAAACAAAAGCATGGAGAGGAAGCGCACCACCAGCAATGACTGGGTTCTGGCCTAGCTCCCCATCGTCTTTGTCTCACCTGGACAAGGCAGTAGGTTCCCCTGCTTTCATCTCCACCCAGCCCAGCAGCCAGAGGAATCCTGCTGAAGGTGATCAGATCACGTCATCCCTCAACTCCAGACTTCCGATGTTCCCACATCACCCAGAGTAAAAGCCAGAGCAGTTACAAGGGCCTGTGCCTGCTCTGTGGCCCCTTCTGACCCCCACCCCCACTGCTTTCTCCCTGTCCTGTAATCATGGCCCCTGAGTGTCTGCAAGGCTCCTCCCTTACCTCTCAGGTCTTATTTCAAAGGGCACCTCTGTACAGTCCGGGTCCTCCTGGCCCTCTGCCCCTTCTCTGCCGTGCCATTATCACCATGTACTATATCACTTATTTTGCCTATTATTTGTCTTCTCCATAAAGACAGCTTTTTTTTTTTTTTATTCCTCACCCAAGGATACTTTTCTATTTATCATCAGATAGAGTGGGAGGGAGGGAGAGGGAGACACAGAGAAACATCGATGTGATAGAGCCACATCGACTGGTTGCCTCCCGCATGACCTGACCAGGGCCAGGGATGAACTGCAACCGAAGTACGTACCCTTGGTCAAAATCGAACCTGCAACTCATTGGTCAGCAGGCTGACACTCTAACCAAAGTCAAACTGGCCAGGGCCAGGCAGAGCTTTTTATCTGGTTTTGTTTGCTTCTGTCTGTTTTCTCAAGCATAACAAATCACCCCAAGATTTAGTTGCTCAAAACAAGTCATCTTTTAGTATCTCACTGGGGGATGAACTTTGGTAGGGGCTTGGCTGGACACATCTGGCTCAGGTCTTTCATGAGGTTTCAGTTTGATGGTGGCTGGGCTGCAGTCACCTGAAGGTTTAGCTGGGGCTGAGGGCTGCTGCCAGGCACCTTGACCCTGGGCTTTAGCTGGTGCTGGCCAGGTGCCCCGAATCCTCTCCAGGAGGACCTCTCTGCAGGGCTGTGTCCCCATGATATGAAAGCTGGTGGCCCCCAGGCCAAGAGATCCAAGAGAAAGGGAGACATTGCAATGTCTCTTGTGACCTGGACTCAGAAGTCACACTGTTGCTTTGCCAGTTTGATTCAGTGAGGAAGGAGACTCACCAGGGGCCGGCTATGCAACTGCTCCGACCCTGTGACCAAAACGATCCACATAAAGAGAACCCCACAAGTATTTTTAAACAATAAATAGATTCCACCATGCAGATTTTTAAAAATATTTGCAGCCTTTTTTCTAAGCAAATAAGCTATGTTGTTAATTAAAAATCAGACTATCTCTCTAGATTAAAATTTATAATCACCCTGGCTGATTTGGCTCAGTGGTTAGAGCCTTGGCCCACAAACCAAAGAGTAGTGGCTTCGATTCAGGCCAAGGGCACGTACCTCTGTTGCAGTTTGTCTCCGGCCCGGCCCTGGTCAGGGTTGTGCTGGAGGCAACCAGTTGATGTGTCCCTCTCACGTCGATGTTTGTCTCTCTCTCTCTCCCCTGCTTCCTCCCACTCAATCTGAAGATAAACAGAAAAATATCCTCAGGTGAGGATTAAAAAAAAATTCGTAATCTATAAATGTAAACAAATAATTGTTAAGTATATTTTTAAATGTAATGTCTAATGTCTTTCTAAAGTTACGTCTTTTGGATATACAAAAAGTTATTTCCACTCTCTCCTTATCATTAGCATTTCTGTTCCTATATTTCTATAAATACATTGTGATGAACATCCTTTTACATAAATCTTTGAGGGCATCCACTAATGTTTTTTGGGGAGCATGCCTAACAATAGACTTACGCTTACGGACGCTTACAGTATTCGCTTACAGGCCAAGGAACCAGTCTCCGTTCTGGCACAGCTGGGTTGTTTTGATCTGAATAATCCGGACTTTTACTTATTTTTATTATTATTTTTTTAAATCCTCACCTGAGGATATTTTTCCATTTTTGTTCAGATAGAGTAGAAGGGAGAGAGAGAGAAACATTGATGTGAGAGAGACACATCAACTGGTTGCTTCCCGCATGACCCGACCAGGGCCCAGGACTGAACTGCAACCGAGGTACGTGCCCTTGACTGGAGTTGAACCCGAGACTCATTGGTCCTTAGGCCAAAGCTCTAACCGCTGAGCCAAACCAGCCAGGGCTATCTGGACATTTAAACATTGATCTGACTGATATCTATACAACTTCACTTCCTTTTAAATAATCTTAGCTCCCTTTTTATATACTTCACTTTTGTGATATGCTCAGATAAGATATGAGACTCTCAAAATAGGGTGTGGGTAAATTATTAGAAAACTGTATGAGAGGAAACAGAAGAACAGAACTGTACAATGTAGGGTTTTAGCAATGTATCCTTTTCTGACAAAAGAGGACAAAACGTTTGTCTCCAGTTTCGGAAAGCTGGAATCTGAGCAGTGACTTGAGTCGTGATTCACTGGAGAATTCTCCTGGCATGAAACCTGGGTCACGAGCAAGTTCTTCAGCCGCTTGGGCTTACCTGCAGTCTCCCGGGGGGTCTCTCAGGCACCTTTGCTTATGCACCGCACACCGTAAGGTAACCATAGGAATGGGAGGTAAAGAAATCAAAAGTCCATACAGTGTCAACTCCATAAAATCAACACTCTGCACAAAGATAGCAAATGATAAGACATTCCTGTGGTTAATAAGACTAGCTGTGCGAATCACAGGACCGATGAAGGCGGGGAACGGGCACTGCGGGAGAACACCCCGGACTTGGGACTCTGCAGAGGGGCTGTGTCCCGCTGTGCCGCTGGCCTCCGGGTAATGAAGAATCTTGCTCCTTGCTTTCCTGCTTGGAAAACTCAGATGAAAAAGGCCACACGGTTTCACGTTTCAGCTTTCTAAGAATAATACTTTGGAAAATGTGCGTCTCAGAGAGAATCTGTGCATACACTCTAATAACACAGTGTCCATTCCTTCAGTATCGACATCACTGATGTTCCCTTCATGTGTCCCTGCACTTCAGGAAATGGCTTTACTGCTACAGTTATAACGCACAAGTACTGCTTGGAGTGTATGTCGTCAGCCACCTTGAAGAGCCCACTAAGCTTGCTTGCTGCAGGGAAGGCTGGGCTGGATCCAGTCCATTCGAAAGTGAAGTGCAGATGATGACCGTGGCCTCGGTCAGGACGCCTGGGTTCTCCGGTCAAAGTTAATATTTTACTTGCTCGTACTTGATGGTTGTGAACCTGGAGACAGAGGCTCTTTGTTAAGGCAGAAATCCACAAATAGTTATAAAGGGTTATTTAGCAAGTTAATGGGTTCATTGACTCCAGATTTTTGGAAAAAATTGAACATGTACAGAAAAATGGTAAGACTAGTCTCATGAGCACCCAAACATCCTTCTGCTGGGTCCACCAGTTACTGACCGAGACACAGGGTCAGTTGCAGGCAAGGTGTCAGGGCACTCAGCTCCAGGGCTTCATCTGCAGCCTTCCCAGCACGTCGCCGCACCTACGAAAGTGACCATCCATTCCGTGGGGTCACCCTCACGCTGTCATGGCAGCATTTCTCCAGCTGACCCAAAGCATCTGTTTCATTTGCTTTTCCCGAAGTAGGACCTAACTGAGACTCACACATTGTGTTGAGTTTTTACATATCTTTTGTCTCTGGATGCTAGACTGTATAAATACCCTGTCCCCCATAACCTTTGGTCCAGAAATTTCAGCTCCCATGACCGACCCTTACCTGAACCAGACATTACACTGGCCTTGTGAAAATGGTGGTTTTAAAATTATGTCCTTCCGTCTGTATTCGATAGCTGGCATTCTTTCTCTCTCGCTCTTTCTCTCTCCTCATGGATATTTTGGGAGCAGGAGATTATAATCTATTACCATCATTAGTCTTTTTGATGGCCTATGGTCCCAGATTTGGAATGGTACCTCCTACAAGCCAGCTCCTGTGGGTGTTGTGTATTTTACATGATCCTGTTAGTTTTTGTGCATTTACTTTGTTTTTTCTTAAATCTTTATTTTTTAACAGTAACTTTAAATTCACAGCAAAATTGAGAGGAAAGTACAGGGATTTCCCATATACCTCCTGCCCTTACAAATGCAGAGCCTCCTCAATTACCAACACTCACAAAAGGGTAACATTTGTTACAAGTGATGAACCTACATTGGCCCCTCATTATCAACCAAAGTCCATAGTTTACCTTAGGGTTCACGCTCCATGTTGTACATTCTGTGGGTCTGGAGAATGTATAATGACATGCATCCATCTTTATAGTAATACAGAGTATTTTCTCTGCCCTAAAAATCCTCCATGCTCATCTATCCCTGACCTTCCCAGTCCCTGACAACCATGTTTTACTGTCTCCGTAGTTTTGCCTTTTACAGAATGTCACAGAGTTGGAATCCTATAGTACATAGACCTCTCGGATCGGCTTCTTTCACTTAGCAATGCATGTCTTTTCAGGGCTTGGTAGCTAATTTCTTTTTAGTTCTGGATAACATTCCATTGTCTGGATGGACCACAGTTCATCCATTCTCCTACTGAAGGACAGCTTGATTGTTTCCAAGTTTTGGCAAATACCAATAAAACTACTGTAAACATCCATGTGCAGGTTTTTGTGTGGACATAAGTTTTCAGCTCATCTGAGTAAATACTAAGGAGTGTGATTGCTGGGTCATATGGTAAGAGTATGTTTAGTTGTGTAAGAAAAACCTCCAAGCTGTCTTCTGAAGTGTCTGTACCATGTTTCGCTACCACCAGGGACGAGTGAGATTCCTGTTGCTCCACATCCTCGTCAGCACGTGGTGCTGTCTGTGTCCCCGATTTCCACCACTCCAGTGGGTGTGCAGTGGCGTCATTTTAATTAGTGCTCCTCTGATGACATGCTGTGAAGCATCTTTTTACGTGCTGATTTTTCATCTGTACATCTTTGATGAGTGTTTTACCCATTTTAAATTCAGGTTGTTTGTATTCTTATTGATGAGTTTTAAAAGTTTTTTTTCTATATTTTGTATAATAGTTTTTTTTAATATGTGTGTATTTAAATACAAATATATATATATACATATACATTGTATATATGTACATTATCTTCTGTGATGAAAGTGAATATAGATCAGATATGTTCTTAAAAGTTTGGCTCCTGATTAGAACAAATGAATCCAAATGTGCCACAGACCGTGGATGGGGAAGCCAGGCTTCCTCTAGGTGCAGGAGAGCCCCCCCCCCCCCCCCGCAACCCCCTGAGCACAGTGGGAGCAGAGGAGCCAGGCTGCACTAGGGGTGTTCAGGTGAGGTCTAAAGAGCATTTCAAAGCCATGCTTATTCGTGGCTCCTGAACAACCCAGGGGTTGACCAGAAGAGGGGCCTGGGGTGAGCAGGCAGCACACGGCAGCTGCTGGGTGAGGGCAGGAGGAAAGGGAAGGATATTCGAGCAGCCACTCTTCAGTCTTTATGGAAGTTTCCTGCCATCAAGAGCTCTTTGCGCTACTTTGCCTTTAGTGACACTGCCCACTTCAGTTTGAAATTTCAAATGGACCCAACTCAAAGCCTTGGGCAACTGAGACAGTGATTCCAGTCCTGCCAGGTCACAGGTGTCTCTGTTTTTCACTGGAGCCCAGCACAGTCACCCTTCCAGGACAGAAAGTCAGCCTGCTTGGATCCCAAGCAGAAAGGCCCAGAGCATCCAGGATGGGACTCACACCCTGATCCTGCAGGGTACAAAGGGTTGCAGAACTTGGGGACCAAGGCACCTGGGCCACCGCATGCGGAGGATGTCAGAGAGCCGGGATGAGGGGCAGGAGGGACCTGCAGGCCCAGTGTGGGGTCTGCCAGGGGAGGTCACTGACCCTTCTTTGGACTCTGGGGAACTTGGAGCATCCTCCTCAGTGTAGTGCTGGAAGGACCTCCTGGGAAATGGGAGTAAACACAAGGGTCTGGCGGGGCTGCCCCTCGCCAGCTTGGTTCAGTCCCTGTAGGCTTTGCAGTGGTCCTAGTTGTTCTGGGCTTGCAGTCTCCGCTACCAGGGCCACCCGGTCTCTGGCCGCACCGGCTCCCCGCAGCCTTAGCCGCACCCCCACCCCCACCCCCACCCCGGCCGGCCGGGTGACTCACTGTCCTGGGACAGCCCATAGGCAGCGCGTCCTTCTCCGGGAACTCGTGCATCAGGCGGGAAGCCCCTGCCTCCCTCCTTCCTTAATCTCCTCCCCACCACCCACTGTTTTCTGGGTTCAGAGCAGGGGTACCTGCACCCCTGACTCGGCCTAGCTCCGCGCGCCCCCTTGTGCCAGCCGAGCGCCCCGAAGACTCCGGGCCCCAGTGCGCGCGCCAATCCAACTAGTGCAGCGGCCGCCAGAGTTCTCTGTGGTCCCTCCCTCCCTCCCTCCCTCCTGGGGAACATGTCGCGGCTCAGCTGGGGATACGCCGAGCACAATGGTGAGTGCCCAGGGGACGGACAGACTTGGGGAGACAAGGGATGGGGGGGTGTCCAGGGACGGTCCCGCCGCGCCCTCGGACGCCTGGACTCCTGGGACCCCGCCCTGGGGCTGTCGGGTACTACTTGGGGGCCGCCCTTGGGGCCAGGGTGCCCGGGACCCCAGACTTCATGTCTGGCCTGCACTGCCCTTGGGAAGCCGGGGGAGGGGCGGACTTGCCCTGCTGACAGTGCTGGTCAGTTAAAGGCAGTCCCAGGACACGGGAATGCGGGAGGACAACCTCCCTCTGTCTGGTAAGTTCGCTATTCACGCCGGGGAAGAAATCGTGGAACACGCACGAACACAAGTTTGAGACATGTGGATAACTTGAATCGCAGCTCTGAAAATGCAGGTTTTCCAGTGACGGTGACACGTGCCACCGCCCCGCGCCCCTGCCTGGCCCCACCCGGCTGAGGTTCTTTCTGGAAGGTGAAGTCGATTCCGGCTGCCCTCCAGCCTGACCCGCTGCTCCCGCAGGCACCCCCGACACCCAGGGTGCCCAAGGACTACCGAAATGAGAGCTCGTGGGCAGAGCCAGTTACTGGTGGGTGCTGCAGAAATGCCGCCCAAACTTCTCCTCTCTCTGTCCTCACCATCAGAGTAAACCCATCTTATTTTCCACCGTGAACTGAACTCATTCTTGCAAATACTGAGTATCTGAACCAATTGCAAAGAGACACCAAGAAAGCCTTATAGTGAGTCAGCATCAAAATTATGCCAATGAATAATAATTATTATTATTGGACTAACATATATTATTGAACAGTACTGGATGGTCGAATTTTATAGAAACCTTACTTTCACAAAGCAATAGTTTTCACTTCTAACTGTAGCCTTTTGAAGCTGTGATCAATTTGCCAGTTTGAAAAAATGGTAGCAAGTCAAGTTTAGGACTTTAAAAATGAAAGGGGTATGTTGGGTGGATTTCTTCCTGGTGGAGGCTATAATTATAAACTTATATTTTGCTAATTTCCCATTTTTGTTTAGCAAAAACCCACAAAATCTGTTTCATTTCATTTCCTTCTCTGCTGGAAAAATTTTATTTTTGTTGATGAATAGTTATTGTGTGCCCTAACTATGCTTAGGGAGAATGATGTTTTCGACCAGTGAGTTTTGATTACTCTATAATATATGAGAAAACACTGAAGCTGTCTTCAGAAATTTTTAAATCCTTCTTAGGCAAGCCATTAGCAAGGAGTGATTTCCTAGTTCTCTAAGAGTGAGGGAGGGGCGTACCTGCCCTGCTTCAGACACAGCACTCTGGGGAGACACCTGTAAGTGGATCACCTGTGGCAGGGCCCCCTGGGAGTGGTGTGTGGCTGGTAGACTGGCCAAGGCTGTGAATGAGGCGGCTGGTTGGGGGGCAGGGGTTGGGGGGCAGGGGGCACCTTCACAAATGGCTTAGAACTTCTTCCTAACCTTTCACCCTTCCACAGTTTTATTGGCTCAGTTTAGAAAGCGTGACAGTCACCAAGAACTTAGTGTCCGTATGCATATTCAGAATCAGTGGAAGGAACACCACTGCTCTCCATAGCACAGTGCTTAAATGGGGGGGGGGGGGGGGTTCTTAAGAGGCAGGAAAATGAACCCACCCTAGTAGTTAATATTTAATATTGAGTCTTTCAAAATGGTCTGGTTATAAGAACTGGGAGCAGGAGAGTAAGCATGAGAAGGAAGGAAGTCAGCAGCATGTCGAAACACACCCTTGCCTATCAGGAGCCTGATCTCTCCAGGTTCAGTCAGGCCTGGTGGCCCTGAAATAGAAAACAAGGACTAGATTGTGAGAGCACCAGAAAGGTAAGTGACAGGACCTAATAAATAAGGAAATGAAGTGCTTTTTCTATAATAAGTTGTAAGTAAGGACTTCTTTTTTACAGTGTAACTTTTTTTTTAATCCTCACTCGAGGACATTTTTGCATTTATTTTCAGACAGAGCAGGAGGGAGAGAGGGAGGAAGAGAGAGAAAAACATCGATGTGGTTGTCACCCACACGACCCCAACCGGGGCCTGGGGACAAACTGCAACCGAGGTACATGCCCTTAGCGGGAACCGAACCCAGGACTTTCTGGTCTGCGGGCTGATGCCTCAACCACTAAGCCAAACCAGCCAGGGCTACAGTGTAACAGTTTTATATTTAGAGTGAACCAGGTGGACTCAGGTTAGATGATCCCAGTGTTGTCGGCAACCTCTGAAGCATCAGTGTCAGGGGCCAGCAGAGCCTGTGCCTTCCTCTCTCCATCAGGCCTGAGCAGGGTGCTGACCTTGGCCACGTCAATGTCATAGAGCTTCTTCACGGCCCGTTTGATCTGGTGCTTGCTGGCCTGCCGTCCGCAGTGAGCACAAGGGTGCCGTTGTCTTCTGTCTTCTTCGTGGCTGACTCGGTAGGCGGGGGAGCTTGGTGACAGCCCATGGTCAAGCTTGTTTCTCCTGGGCGGCTGCCCTCAAGCCACAGTGTCTTAGGCTGACGGAAGGAGGTGACGTGCGGCTGTGGACGCCCTTCAGCTCCGTTTTCACTGCCTTCACAGCCTGGCCTGGCTTCGGGAGCGGACGAAGCTTCCTTCTCCGTTGTCGGCACCCTCTTTGTAAGAGGCTGTAAGCAAGGACTTCCGACGGTCAAGTTGATTAGTCCAAAGCATCAGACTCATGAGAAAACAGCTTCTGAGTTGTGTGTGAGGTGTGCATTCATGCTGTGATGTCTTCCACCTGGAGCTTATGTGAAGGAAGACACACTTTTTTTTTTTTTTTTTGTCAAAATGAGTAATCGAGCATGCGAGTTAGAGATCGAAGCTGTTCTCAGTTGTGACATACCTGCATTTCTTCAAACTCTATTCTAAATCTTATCTTTGAAAATACCTATGTTGTTAGTCACCGTACAGTTCATCGTCATGCTGTGTCATTTGTACAAGTACTTGCGTTTGGGAGAAACCAGGTCAGTGGTTGGTGAGGTGGGCGGGAAGAGCTTCCTCAGTGGTGCTGAGTTCTCAGCTGGTGGCGGCTGTGCCAGCTGCAGGAACAACGGCAGCGATGACAGCGTCTGAGCCAGAAGGAATCAAGGTCTGTCTGTGGACAAGGCACCTACCTGGAGCCGCCACCTGGCCCTTGGTTTTGAGGCAGAACTCGAATCGAGACCCCCAGAGGAGCACAGAGACTACACAAGGGAACTGTGGGCTGTGGGCTCACATTAATTTACCAACTTAGGTCTGATTGAGGGACTTGATGCAGTTGGGGCTTTTTGAGTAGAGAGAGGGTCAGGGTTACCAGTGGCCCTTGCTTTGGAGTTCAAATGTAGCATTGGCGAAATAACCACAGAAGGACTTCCTGAAACGTAGAAAGAGAAATAAAATGTCGTCTGAGTCCACAGCAGGTAATCCATGATATTACATTTCCCGACATGGGGTAGCCATCGCCTTTGAATCATCCCATGTGAGAATCTGCAGATGACTGGCTGCATATTCCAGGACATTGCGTGAGGCCTGGGTGACTCCCGAAGGTACCATCGAGTGATGGAAGGGCGAAGGGGGCACTCTTAACTACGCCCTTGTGTGCTGCAGCCTTGCAGCTCCTGTCGTTCTCTCAGCCGAAAACGGGGCGAGCGCTGCAGCTGCCACCGCTCTTCTTGGAGCTGACACTGGATCTCCTCGTTCTCGGTGATGAATTGTGCCACTGTTTTTAGTTTGGCAGACCGGTACCTTTGGAAAGCACCTTATAAAACATACGTGCTCTTTTGTCTACAAGGGTTCGTTTAATTCTGAAAATGAATGAAGGCAAACCAGGACATTTCCACACCTATACTTAGAGCGTGTCAACACACAACAGGACGCGAAGGTCCTGAGGACGACGGCCGTACTTCATTAGCCCTGATCCCTCCTCATTCTCAGCACAGGGCCTCGCACTCAGTGAGGATTTGTTGTGTGAAATCACTTGTTTAGTCCTTTTTTTGGTTCTGTGTGTTCAAGGTCCTGCTCACTGGAATGAACTTTTCCCCATCGCTGATGGGGACCAGCAATCCCCGATTGAGATTAAAGCCAAAGAAGCAAAGTTTGACTCTTCCCTCCGCCCTCTTCGCATCAAATACGACGCTAGTTCTGCGAAGATCATCAGTAACAGTGGCCATTCCTTCAGCGTGGACTTCGATGACACGGAGGACAAGTCAGGTGGGCGCTGGGGGGCATGGGCTCGGACGCCTGGACGGTCCTTCTTTCCTCCCTTTCCTGCACAGTAGACACGCGCTGTCACCTTCGCAGGTGGGAACACTCAGTGCAAACCCTGGCTGTGGAGCCCGGCTAGGCCTCAAGGGGGCAGAGCTGTGCTGATCCGAGTTTACAGCCTGGATTCGGAGCAGGCTTTCCAGAGCTCGGCCAGGATCCTCGGACGTCTCCCTGTTGACATATGCCCGTGGGCGTCATGGCCTTTTTCCTGGCCAGCGAGCGGGCGTCTCCTCTCTGTCAGTGGTGGGCAGACTCCTCGAGCCCTCCGTCTGCGTTGTAGGTGTGGAAGGATCACTTGCAGTCGCTGTGGGAGGTTCTCGCCCCTCTTGTCGTTCTCAGAGGGCTCGGACAATAGCCACCTTTACTTCCCGTGGAGAAGCCCGGGTCCCAGTGCGTCTAAAGGACCTCTGACCATTCAGCCTTCCAAAGATTTTATTACACATGCTTCCCAATTTTTCCCTCGGCAGGTTTGAGGATTAGAAGGGAAGGGCACCCAGTCCACCTCCCGTTTAAAACTGGAGAAACAAACCCAGATGGAGGCACGCAGCTGAAGCCCACAGAGGCTTGGGTGCGTTTGGGGAGAGGGCATCACTTTGCAGCTGAGCAGGGACTATTCCCAGGTCTGCTGATCGAACGTGCCCACGCGGGGACAAAGGTGTCCCCAGTGCTGGCTGATGCACAGAGGTCTGGACTCACCGTCCACAGCCTGGCTGGGGAGGTTCTGCGCCGGCAGCCCACCAGCTTTCCCTTTTGTTTCTTGGTGTTTGTAGAAAACAGCACATGAACCTCTTAACATTGTTCCTTCTTATATAAGGTGGGTCATTCTTGACACATTTTGCAACTATTCCTATAATCATGTGCATGTAAACATCTAATGAGGAGGGTGATCAAGACCCAGCTCTTGTTAAGGCTGCACCTGGCCCGTCAGCTTCGCACTGTTGGTGTTCATGGAGATCCGTCCTGTTAGTGGTGGGTGGTGGGTGCCTCTGGGCCTCTGGACCCTTTAGGTCCTGCCCAGTAGAGATTCATTGGCAGGAGACACGTTAGGAAGATTTTCTTTTCTTTATTGATTTGAGAGAGAGAGGGTAAAGGAGAGAGAGAGAGAAACATGGATGAGAGGGAACATGGATTGGCCGCCTCCTGCATGCCCCCCACTGGGTATCGGGCCTACAGCCTGGGCATGTGCCCCGACCCGGAATCGAAACAGTGACCTCTTGGTGCAGGGTTGATGCTCACCCACTGAGCCACACTGGCCGGGCAGGACTATTTTCTATTAAGAAGTTTTCCTGTCCACTTACCATCTGATTCCGTTGCCAGTTTTGGGGAGCATGTCTGTGAGGCAAAGTGCTGAAGTACACTCTGCCCGAGGGGCAGCATCCGGTGGACTTTTACAGAGAGTTCCTTGTGTCCCGTGTTTCCTGCTTCTGAGCAGACAGGATCCAGCATGGACACTGTGCTCACTTCGCCTGTCTTTGCAGAAACCACAGTCACAGCAATCCCAGCTCCCGGGCCCAGCGAGCTGCGTGCTGAGGCAGGCTGAGGGCTGTGTGCGCAGGTTTCTCCTTTGCCCCAAGCACTGGGAGGGGACACGGGACTCTAAGGTCTCGGACCTGACAGCTGGGGCTTCAAGGTTAGAGTTTGTGCAAGGTCATGGGTGGTCAAGTGAGTCCGAGCCCAGGGCTTCCAAATGCTGAAGGCTCTTCTCCCAGGCTGCTCCCCAGTTCAGGGTGGACCTCCACACGTCAGGTCCTCGTCCTCGGGGCAGCGTGACCTCGAGTGACTCCCTTTTGCACTCCAGCCAGAGTCTGCCGGGACCTTCATGTGCTCCTGCAAACCCGCCTGCGGACTCTCGCCGTCTCAGATGTTTGCTTTCGCTCCCCACACACCCGAAAGCTCCATTCCTGCTGGCGCACATTCCTCGGGGACACGACACGCCGAGCAGGAGGCAGGTGTGGGTGGGGCCGCACGCGGACACACTTTTCCACTTTTCCTTGCTAACAACTCGAAATGTGTTGCCGTTCAGTCCTGCACGGGGGTCCGCTCACCGGAAGGTACAGGTTGCGACAGTTTCATCTGCACTGGGGGTCGGCCGACGACCACGGCTCGGAGCACGTGGTGGACGGAGTGCGGTACGCCGCCGAGGTAAGCCCCCACGCAGCTCCCCTCGCGCTGTCCTCTGGTGGGAGGGAAGGGGCGCGGGGGAGACTTCCTTGACTTCCCGGGTCCGAGCGGGCTGGGGAGCAGCCTGTGCTGTGACCTCATTTTGTGGTGAGTCTGTCAGCGCAGGAGCTGCAGGTGGCCCTGAGCCTGGGCGCGAGGGTGCCACGCCCGCCGCAGGAATGGGCACCTGGGGAGACGGAGCGACTGCTCTGGGAGCACCGGGAGCACAGGGCTGCGCGTACCAGTCACAGACGCTCTGCAGCCTCTGTCCCACTTCCCGAAGGGCCCGTGAGGAGGGACAGGAGAAGCCCTGGCTGTAGGCCCAGCTGTGTGCGTACTTGGTCCCGACACAGGTACGCACCAATGTCATGTCGAGTCCACGTGACAGAGGAGAGAAAGAAGGGCAGAGGCCCAAGTGGGGAGGGAGACACACTCTCCTGCTCCTTCCGTGGCTGTCCATCCACAGCCGTGGGCTGGTTTCTGTTACTCACTGAGTCGCTGGTGTGCAGAACACAGTCAAGTCTGATTTCTGTTTCGCCGGAGAGTTGCTCCTTCTCTCTCTGATTCGATTCCCTAAGAATACTCGGCTCCTTCTGACCCTCTGGCTAAAGGACGCAGCATAATGCGGGTAAAGCCTGCAGCTGGCCGTGACATGGAAGGATTAGCACAGGACGTGGCCAAAGCTACTGTGGCGAGAACAGCGTGGCCGAGAGCCGTCTGGGCAGACGGAGCATGTCCCCGTCGGGCTCCAGGTCCTTCACTTCCTCAGGGTCACTGAGCGGGGAGTTAGACCCTCCCATAGCCGCACTGTTCAGAGAAGCCAGCACACAGCAACCGACTTCCTTCTCGTTTTATTCTCCCACCACTGATGCACCTGCCGTCTGGGGCCGTGAACCCAAAGGTCATTTGCTCCCTGAGGCACTTGTCCCAGGCCAGGGGCTCCCAGAGTGGGAGCTGCTCCGTGACAGCAGGCGGAGATGCCCGGGCTGTGGCAGGCGAGGCCTCAAGTCAGTGCGGTGCCTCGGTTTATATCGTCGAGTAGTTGTCACGTTTGCTTAGTTTTGTGTGTAAACTTGGCCCGTTCGGACTCTCAGAAGCTCTGTGGGATGGAGAGCTGGCTTGTCACTTTCTGAAGCCGCTTGGGAAATGTGGCCCCCGTCTGCACACCAAGTGTAGCCCCCCGGGAGGTTGTTCTGCGTTGGCGAGCGGCCTCCCGAGAAGGACCCGGTCCTGGAATGTGCCGGAGGCGCGGAGCTGCGCCCTGCAAGGCTCCCTGTAGACCGTCCTTCTCGAAGTGGGCGGGGCTTCACTGGCATGCGGCTGAGTAGAGGGTCCTCGTCTCCTCAGGTCATTTGTCCCCGAACTCCTGCGTCCGTCCTCCATGCACCCTAAGGACATGTTGGGGTCCCACCTCATCCTCCACCTTTGCCCGGCTTACTGTGCTCGGCCCACAGGAGTGCTGGGCGGGTGGGATGGTCAGGGGATGTGTCCCTGTGGGGGAGCAGGTGTGAGCCAAGGAGCAGGCCGGGACAGCGTGGGCCCCCAGATCCACGCGTGGGGCTTGGGGTGAGAGAGCCCACACCCGGGAAGAAGAGAATGGCAGCACGACTGGAGTGTGGACGAGGGGTGGGGCTGGCAGGAGCTGGCAGGGCCATGAACTGTCCTTGAAGAGCAAGGACGCCGACTGGCTTTGAATTGGAAAGTGATCCTTTTAGTATTTAAAAAGTGTCATTCAAGCTGTTACTAGAGGAGTGATTGGGGTGAAGCAGGAGTGGATAAGGGGGTCAGTGAGGAGGCTCTAGGGGAGACCAGGTGGCCTGGTTGATAGTGTTCGAGGGTGAGGAGGGGAGGGGCAGGTGTCTTCTGTGATACCGGGATTCTGCTGGAGAGAGAAGTCTGGCTTTCCAGTGTGCGGGTGTCCCAGGTGGGCAGTAACCACACAAACAAATGGGACCCATGACAGGAGCTTTGCCACGTGGTCACATCGAGTGGCCGAGTGGTCAGCAAGGGCCCCTTGAATGACCAGAAGCCATCGAGAGAAAACCCAGAGAGAGCTTTCTGAGAAGCGGGCTCAGCGGGAGCAGCAGCCGCAGGCAGGAACGAGGTCGGCAGGTTCGCGTTGAGAGGACAGAGACGCTGGCTTCCAGGATTGGAATTAGTGAGACACGTCACAGCCACGTCCTGGAGAAGCGGTGGGGCCAGGCCGCGGGCGTCTGGGTGGGCAGGAGGTGCATCCGAGGGGGCAGGACGAGCGCGGCGGGTGGTCTGAGCAGGGGTGCCGAGCATGCTGCATGTTTTACAGAGCTCGGCGCCCCCTGTGGGCACAGGGAAGCTGGAGACAGGTCAGAAGGCCTGGAGGTGGTTTTCCTGCTACTTTGTACCTGATTTCAGGACCATCGTCACGTTGCGTCCTCTTAATAAATAAAAAGAAGTAGGAAAAAATGAAAGGAAAAAGCCATTTAGAGCTGTAACATATGAAATTTAATTTGGGGCTAAATCTGATGACTCATGATAGTCCAGACAGAAGGACAGGCTGTGAATTGTGAAGGCTTCATCTCAGGAGCTACCCAGCTGCAACCAGCAGCTGATGGATGCCCACATGTGGGGGTATCTGACTGCAGTTTATGCCATACATACATATATATGTGTGTGTGTATGTGTGTGTGTGTGTGTGTATGTGTATGTGTGTGTATATATGTGTATGTGTGTGTATATGTGTATGTGTGTATATGTGTATGTGTATATATGTGTGTGTATGTGTATGTGTATGTGTGTATATGTGTATGTGTGTATATGTGTGTATGTGTGTATGTATGTGTGTGTATATGTGTGTGTATTTTTGTGTGTATATGTGTGTGTATATACGTATATGTGTGTATATACGTATGTGTGTGTATACATGTGTGTATATATGTATATGTATGTGTATATATGTATGTGTGTGTATATATATATGAGCTTATTAACTATGTAGTTGATTGTAAAATTATGATTTAATATTAGATTTTTGGCACACTAGGTGTATTTTACATATCAATAGTATACAGTTTAAAAATACCTGTTAGCCCTAGTCGGTTTGGCTCAGCAGTTTGAGCGTTGGCCTGTGGACCAGAGAGTTCTGGGTTCAGTTCCCGTGAAGGGCATGTACCTCGGTTGCAGTTTGTCCCTGGCCCCTGTTGGGGTCGTGTGGGTGGTGACCAGTCAATGTGCCTCTCTCACATCGATGTTTCTCTCTCTCTCTTCCTCCCTCACTGCCTCCTGCCCTATCTGAAGATACATGCAAAAATGTCCTCGGGGGAGGATAAAGAAATAAAAATACCCAAGTTGAATAACACCCTTATTCAGCAGTTGTTTCCCAGTGGGGAGAACCCCATCGTTTCTGTTTTCTCCGGGGCTGTAATCACATCTTGCCACAGCTCAGATCACGGCACAGCTCAGTGCTTGTCGGGAAGCGTGGCTTTGCCCTCGGCTCACACGCAAATGCCACGGGGGAGGCCAGCTCCAGGGAAGGGGCAGCAGCCAGTGCCAGGGGTGTGTGGGGGAGGGGCGCGTGTAGACAGACCGAAGACGTGCTCTGCTGCCTGCAGGGCCCGGTCACTGCTCTTGACCCAGCGCAGGACACAGACTCCTCTCTTCACTTCCACATTTGTTTCTGACCCGTGGTGCCGTGAGCCTGCGGAGTCATCTCCCGTGTTTCTGTCTATGGGTGGTCTCCCACCAGGCGCGCGGCGTGTGGGCATCGGGCGTGAACAAGCTGCGGTCCTTCCCGCCCTCCCAGTGCAGCACCGTCCGTCCGTGAGCCGAGGGGTGTTCCTTCACCCGTGTCTAAGGGTCCTGCCTCGCCTTCTCACATGGCCTGGGCCCTGCTCCCTCCCGGCTGCACTGTCTCAGGGTGTAGAGGTCACTGCTTACGGTCACCCTTCTTCATCCAGAAAGCCTCCGTAGTCGTTGTCTGCGACGTGGAGCTACCTGGAAAGGACCGGATACAAGCATGTGTCCGAGCAGACTAGGCCCACGGACAGACCCCTGCAGGAGGGCGACGTGTGCGTGGTCCCTCGGGTCCTCCCTGGGGACAGGGTCCCTCGAAGGAGGTCCCATGGGAAGCCATCTCCCTCACAGGCCCTGTGGCTTCCGTTTCGGTCTGTCCTTCCCTCAGCAGGAACGGGACCCTCCAGGACTGGCTTCTGCCACTTGCCCGTGTGTTTAGGACACGGTGCCATGTGTGGTGGTGGGACGCCTGGCCACCGCCTGGCCACCTTTGGGTTTGTCAGAGGCCGGATGCCTGTGGGCAGAGTGGGGGAGTTAGTGAAGCTGCTTTCCAGCGTTCCGGGCCCTCCGCTCCTCCGCCCCTCGCCTTCTCCCTCTGACGCCCCTGCCTCCAGGACCAGCCTCTGCGCCCGGCTAACGCGAGGCTCTGGGCCCAGAAGGTGTGGGTGCGTGAGCACTGCGTCCAGCAGTGGCTCCTGAGGAGAATCCGCAGCTCACGCCACACAGCCTTCAGCCAGGGCCCACGACGTCCTCCCCGCAGGGTCGTCCTGGGCACCACGGACTCCCTACCCGCCTCAGCCTGGATGCGGCCACGGGCTGGGATCTGACCTCAGGCTGCCCAGTGGCCGTCCCCAGGGTGGGAGACAAGGGGCCCTTGTCACCTGGGAACAGTGGCTGAGGTGGTTTGGATGCGGGCGGGTGGCAGGGTGCTCGGGCGCCTGTGAGGGAGCAGTGGGTCGGGGGTGCGTGATGTATCATGACACACGTGCATGGCCCCAGAACCCCTGGGCATGCAGGTGCTGTGCCGTGTCCCCCCTGCAGCTCCACATGGTCCACTGGAACGCAGACAAGTACCCCAGCTTCGTGGAGGCGGCGCATGAGCCTGATGGACTGGCGGTGCTGGGGGTGTTCCTGCAGGTGAGAGCCGCCCGTCCCATCGGGACCGGCTACTCGGCTGGGTGCAGTGTCGGTCTCAGAGCGGACATTCCGCCTTGTTTTTTATTAGTTTATTGCTTTTGGGAGAGAGGGAGAGAGAGAGACTTCAATGAGAGAATGCAACATCGACTGGCCGCCCCCTGTACGCTCCCCACCGGGGGACAAAGCCCGCAGCCTGGGCATGTGCCCGACTGGGGATCGAACCGGCGACCTTTCAGTACACGGGACGACGCCCAGCCTGCTGAGCCACTCGGCCAGGGCCTACCGTTTCTAAGTAGTAAACTAGTCCTAGGTTCCATGTTTTCCCTTGAAATGGATGTCAGATTCTCTGGTTATGGTTCCTCTCAGGGCCCAGAGCTGCCCTGGGAGCTTTGTCTTCCAGCCTCTCCTGTTGCCTGTTGATCATTCTTACTGATTAGCAACAACAGTTGCCGAAGTGACAAGTGAGGCCCCGAGAAGAACGCCTTTGTCCTGGGCTCTCCATGACCGCACGGTATCAGGGCAGACGAGTCTGCCTCCCGACTCCTGAAGCACTGGTTGGACCACACTGGTTTGTTGTCCCGAATGCACCGACCATTTTCTGTTGCTGTATTTTTTGTCTTATTCACAAGTGGTCAGACAGGTATCACTGGGGCCCACCTGCGTGTGGGCGGGGCTGCTCCACGCCCACTGGGACCACATTCTTGCAGGGCAGTGCTCTCTGTCACAGCATCTGCGGGCACGGGGAAGAGGCGCCCACATCCCGAGGAATTCTGCTCAGGGTGACACGGGGCCTTGATCCGGGGCCTCGGCCAGGTTAGGCTGAGCCGCCGTCACGGTGGTCCGTGTGGCCGGTCTGGCCGGCAGGCCTGGTCTCGGAGTGCCGGTGTGATGCGAGCTCCCTGAGCCAGGTTTCTCGCTGGCTCGCCTGCGTCTAAAAGCTGCAGAGACAGCGAACCGTTGCCGCCAGTTTCGGGGTCACACTTACAGTTTTCCCAAGGAGCCTGTGACGACCTTGTTCAGATTCTGTGAGCATGATAAGGCCAAGGGGGCTGCATCCAGCAATGACAGTTTGATCTGGGCTGGCTTGGGTGTTTTCTTTTTTAAAAATAATTTAAAATCAGGACTGAAATGGAGTGGTTCAGACCTGATCTCCAGCAGTAACCACTTCTCATGAAATGTCATGTTTTCAGATTGGTGAAGTCAATCCCCAGCTGCAAAAGATTACTGACATTTTGGATTCCATCAAAGAAAAGGTAAAATTAACTCTCATTCACTGATGACTAATACAGTCCTTGTTTTCTGCTGAATTCTCTGATCTTCTTTTAAAAACAGACCCGATTCAGAGCCTGTGAGTTGCCCCCCTCGAAGCAGGGCCGGGTGTCCTTGACCCGTAGAGCAGAAGTAACGTGTCGCGTATCTCCTGAATTTACGAGGGAGCCTTCAACCTAAAATACTCTCATCAATCTATTTACGCATAACTGGTTTCTATCACAGAACTTTACAGAACAAGCCTTTGGCTGCAACACAGTTTAAACACGATTCATATGAAAACAAATCGTGTCCTTTCAAATACAGCTCAGCGATGCCCAACTTCCTCTAAAATGTCGAGATGAAAGCAGATATGAAAGAAATGCATTTTTCATTTTAAATCCTCACTGGAGGATATATTTCTATTTATCCTCAGAGAGAGAGAGAGAAACGTCGATGCAAAAGAGACACATCGACAAGTTGCTTCCCGCACGACCCGACCAGGGCCGGGACAAACCACACCCGAGGTACGTGCCCTTGGCCGGAATCGAACCCGTGACTGTTGGTCCGCTGGCTGATGCTCTAACCACTGAGCAAAACCAGCCAGGGCTGGATATTCTTTTTCAAATACAAAAGGCAGATACTAACTAATTCCGTGAATGGGTAGATCCCAGTGAAGTCCTGTTTCGTGGGGCGTGTGTTTCTGAGGTCTGTGGAAAGTTCCCCGTTGCATCTGTGGTGTTCTGTTTTCTGGCCCAGGGCAAACAGACTCGGTTCACAAACTTCGACCCCTTGTCTCTGCTCCCTCCATCCTGGGACTACTGGACGTACCCTGGGTCTCTCACAGTCCCGCCTCTTCTCGAGAGTGTCACGTGGATCATTCTGAAACAGCCTATCAGCATCAGCTCTCAACAGGTACGGCGCTGCTCCAGGTTCATCCCGGTCCGTGAAGGAAACGGGCTGTGTTTCTTTCAAACCCTCTCTGGTGTCTGCTCCCCTCGCTGGTCACACGGGTGGTTGGACCAGACGGGATTTCTGTCCCTAACTGGACCTTCTGTGATGCAGTGATTTCTTCCCCACCTGTCAGACACACGGACACACGGACACCCGGGTATGGCAGACCGTTCCATTCTGTTTCCTTTTTGGTCTGAGACACAAGGGGCTGGGATACCGATGGGACCAGGAGGCCGCTCTCAAAGGCAGAGTTCTTCTCCACCCCGGCCCTAGACTTCACCTCTCGCAGGTTTCACAGTCAGAAATCGGACAGGGAGCTCCGGACCCTCACCTGCTGACTTGGAGAAACCTGGGTGGCCTTTGGCTTTTGCTGATGGACCTTACGTGGGGCGCCTGAAGGGCTGTAAGTTAGACGTGAGGCGGCCTCTTCCCTCTCCTCCTCCTAAGTCTGTGGCCTGGGGGGGTCTTTGCCCAGAAACTCTGCGGGGGGGCCAGGAACCTGCACCCCAGTTTTCCAGCACCCCAGTGCCCCAGCGTCTGCCAGATGGACACTGTGTGTCCTGGGAGGCTGGTCTTAGTGGGCCTTGTTTTTTCTTTTTCAATTATATATGGCAAAACCTCAGCAAGGATGTGGTCTAATACTTTTGCAGCTGATGGAGCACTTCTGTTCGGAGCTGGCCCACCTGCCTAGCTGTTTATTTTTCCCCGTCAAAGCCTTTAGCAGCTCATGTCAGGGAACCTCTCCCCTGGCTGTGAGGAACACATTGACCTTGTCTTTAGGGGGAAGGACAAATAATACCAGGGGCATTCTTATGCAGAGCTTGCCTGATGAAAATTGCTGGGAATGCCTTTGCATCAGATCTAAGGTGCGTTGTGTCATGAGGATAATGACCTGTGACTGTCAGTGCCTCACTGGTGGCTTCCGTTCCCCTTCCTGTGCTGACGTGTTTACGTCCACAGTTCCTGTGAAATTCGAACAGAGAAACAGTACGTGTTAACACATCATAACGTCAAGAAAGCAATGAGAAGGGGTCGTGTTTTACCTAAGATTTCAAGGGTATCTTTATTCCTTAAAGTCGTATAGAAAGTAACTTTTAAAAAATCCACCTGTGGTTTGGAAGAGAAAGTATCAAAATATATATTAGTTCCTTAAAATGCATCAAGTTAACCCAATCGAGACAACTTTCTGCAAGTTTTGGGATTATGACTGCCTAGCTGTGAATTCACTGCTATATCGTATTTGAGGCTCAATTAATTATTGTTAATTATGAGCTCGATTTTTGTGCAGTAGAGTGTATGAAATGAGAGCTGAGTTTTAGAGTGTTAGTGTGACTAGTGATTCACTTTGAAGTGTTCGCTTAAACCCACAGCACTGGGAACACTTACAGACATTTTCTTGTTGTTCATCCTCACCCAAGGATATTGTTTCCCATTGATTTTTAAAGAGAGTGGAAGGGAGGGCGGGGAGAGGGAGAGAGAGAAACATCGATGTGAGAGAGACATTGATTGGTTGCCTCCCGCACGGCCCAACCAGAGCCAGGGATCAAACCTGCAACCCAGGTACATGCCCTCGACTGGGAATCAAACCCGAGACCCTTCAGTCCAAGGGCCAATGCTCTAATGCCAGACATTTTTATTTGCAACCATATTGAAGTCATTACCTGAGTAATAATTCAAATTATTATATTATGGCATTATAGTGATTTTAAGACTTAAGAATGTAGCAAACAATATTTTAAAAGTCCAATCCAAGTTTTAACCATGAGAAAAACATCAGACAAAGCCCATTTAAGGGACATCCTGCAAAATACCTGATCAGTACTCCTCAAAACTACCAATGACATCACAAAACAAGGGGAGCCTGGGAAATTATCATGAGCAGGAAATGGAGATGTAACTAAGTGTAGCACTGTTTCCTGGTGGGATCCCAGAGCAGAGAAGACTCTAGATAGAAACAAAGGAGATCTGGGTAGAGGATGGACTGCAGTTAAGGATGACATGAGTATTGGTGCATTAACTGTGAAAATGTACCGACGTAAGACGACAATCGTAGGAGAAGCTGCGTGTGGGGCAGACAACAACCCTGCGTACTGTCTTTGCAATAATTCCGTAAATCTAAACTGTTCTAGAATAAAAAGTTTATTAAAAAACTCAAAATACGATGCCCTGGCCAGTTTTGCTCAGTGGTTAGAGCGTCAGCTCGAGGATCAAAGAGTCTCGGGTTCGATTCCTGTCAAGGGCACGTACTTTGGTTGCAGTTCGATCCCCAGCCCTGGTCAGGGTCCTGCAGGAGGCAACCAATCAATGTGTCCCTCTCACACTGATGTTTCTCTCTCTCTCTCTCTGCCTCACACTCTATCTGAAGATAAATGGAAAAATATCCTCGGTGAGGATTTAAAACAAAAACAAAAACAAAAAACCAAAACACGAGAGGGTTGGTAAGATCCTCAGTTGCTTAGTTCTTTTACACATAGTGAAATGAAAATGTCCATTGTGTATGCCGCTGACTTAAGGATCGCTTCCTAGATGCTTTTCCCTCTCAGTGAGGACACTCTTTATTTTTGAAGTTGCGGGAGCGTTCCATTGACTTTGCGACCCCACCGTGAGTCCTCTTTGCAGCCCCGCGGCCAGTCGTGCCCACCGCCCTTTCTGCCAAGTCCCTGTTCGACCTAAAGGGCGGATCAGAGGGTTTTCGTGTTCTTTTTCTTGACTCAAGTGCATGCTCTCCCCAGAGTCACTTCCTGAGATGTGGGTTTAAGTGCCAGGCCAGGAGCAGACGCTCTGCTGTCCGGCCCGCCGCTGCCCTGGCGGCTGGCCGTCCTCGCCAAGCCCCGGCTGTGCGGCGCTATCCACATCGGCTTGCTCACCTGCCGCAACCCACCGTGCGCGCACTGCCTTTGATTCTAGGCTCTTTAAAACTTCTCCTCTTTCCTTTGTTAAGCTGTTATTTGCATACAGTCACACTCGGACCTCGGGGTGCCACAGCTCTGTCTTTGTACAACCCGGCAGTGAAGCGGACCCTGCATCGCGGAGGCCAGAGGCCGACCCTGGCCCCGGACGGCCTCGGCCCTCTGCACGCCATTCACCCACGGCCTCGGGACACACTGGCTCTGTCACTAGGCTTTGTTCAAGTGGAATTACACAGACATACACTTATGTTTGGTCTCTTGCTCAGCATAATGTTTTAAAGAGGCACCCCCCCCCCCTTTTTTCTTCATTAATTTAGAGAGAGAGGAAGGGAGAGGGAGAGAGAGATGGAAACATCGATGAGAGAGAACTTCGATTGGCTGCCTCCTGCACGCCCCCCTCTGGGGATCAGGCCCACAACCTGGGCATGTGCCCTGACTGGGAATTAAACCGCCGACCTCCCAGTGCATGGTTGACGCTCAACCACTGAGGCACACCGGCCAGGCGAGAGGCATCCCTTTTATTTATTTTAGTTACTGAGTAATATTCTGTGGTATGGATATATCACTATTTTTTTAAATCTCTTTACCCATGGGCTGCTTCTCGTTTGGAGATGCTATGAATGTAGCTATCCATACCTGGATGCTCGGAACTCGGAATAATTGACGTATACACTTTTCTGCGGACAAGTTTTTGTGCCTCGTGGAAATGCCTAAGACTGCATTTCGAGGTCGAGGGGTAAACTCTTGTTTAGTTTTATAAGGAACTGCCATGTTGCTTCCAAAGGGCTAACCTATTCTCAGCAATAACGAGCTTTCCTGTTGTCCCACGTTCTCGTCAGCACTTGGTGTTGCCTGTCTTAACTTTAGCCATTCTAGTGGGTGGGTGTGATTTTTTATTTATTTTTTTATTCTTTTCTTATCCTCACCTGAGGACATTTTTCCATTTTTTGTTCAGATAGAGTGGGAGGGTGAGAGAGTAAGAGAGAGAAACATCGACGTGAAAGGGACACATCGAGTGGCTGCCTCCTGCACGACCCAACCAGGGCCGGGGACAAACCACAACCGAGGCACATGCCCTTAGCGGGAACTGCACTCAGGTCTCCCTGAACTGCAGGCCGATGCTCTAACCGCTGAGCAAAACCAGCCAGGGCTGGGTGGGCGTGATTTTGATATGCATTGATCTGAGCAGTGATGTTGAGCATTTTTTCCTATGCTTACTGGCTATGCATGTATCTTCTGTGAAGTATCTGTTTACATCATTTGCCCATTTTAAAGTTGGGTTGTGTCTTACTATTGAGTTGCAGGAATTGTTTGTATAATCTAGATAAAAGTGCTCTTCCAATACTTGTTTCTGTAAAAGTTTTCTCCCAGTCTGTGTTTGTTTTTTGTTTTGTTTTTTTTTCACTCGGTCTTTGGAGAAGAAAAAGTTCTTGATTTTAACCAACTCCATTTTATCAATTTATCTTTTATAGTTTGTGCAAAAGAAAACTGTTGAAGAAATCTTTGCCTAACTATATGCCACAAAATATTTTGTTCTGCTTTAATAGTTTTAGCTGTTACATTTAAGTTTTTGATTCCTTGTGAGTTAAATTTGACGTATGCTGCGCCTCACCCTCTCTTCGCTTCCTTCGGGTGTTCTAATCGCACGTACTCTGGGCCGCGGCGGAACCAGGGACTTGGCTCAGAAAGCCAGTGCCGGTTCCAGGGTCCCATTTTGCCTTTGAGGCGACACTCTGATTTCTGACTCTGTACTCTTTTTAATATTTTTTCTTTATTAATGTTTTGTTTTTGTGAGAGAGAAAGGGAGAGGGAGAGAGAGATAGAAACACAGATGAGAGAGAACATCGACTGACCGCCCCCTGCACGCCCCCACTGGGGACGGGCCCACAACCTGGGCGTGTGCCCTGACTGGGAATCGAACCGGCGACCTCTGGGTGCAGGACGACGCTCAGCCTCGGAGCCACACTGTCTGGGCTGGCTCTGTGCTCGTTTAACCTCCCCCCACATGCTCCTTCCTCTCGAGACTTGGCCCGGTCGAACGAAGAACGCCAGCGCGTTTGCGGGCGTGAGCGTCCAGCAGAAGAGCTGCTTTGCCCGCGTGACCCGCAGCGTCCCGTTCCTGGCAGGGGAGGGTCTGTGTTTCTCAGCTGTCCAGGCGGGCAGCTGGCCGCCCCGGACACCGTGCACCTGACGCTGTCTCCCTCCCCCGCAGCTGGCCGCCTTCCGCTCGCTCCTGTGCACCGCGCAGGGCCAGCCGGCCGCCTTCCTGCTGAGCAACCACCGCCCGCCGCAGCCTCTGAAGGGCCGCCAAGTGCGGGCCTCGTTCCACTGACAGCTGAACCTGGACCACCCCGATGTGCCCTCGGAGAGATGACAGCACCACCAGGACACAAAGTCCCTCCTGACGCTCCTCCCTAGGCTTCTGGTCTGCGGTACCGGGTACCGGGTACCGTCCGCCCAGCAGCACCAGGAACCTCTGCTCCCGGCCATCGGACTGCTGTCCAGGTGTGGTGCCCGGTCTCCGAGCAGGAAGCACTGGGCCACACGTGTGAACACCCATGGGATGTGCCCCTCCCCCGTGCGGAGACGGCCGGCCATCCCCAGCTCAGCCCGCCTCCAACTCCTCCCCCGCTGTGGAGACCGCACCAGTCAGCTGGCCAGGGCGTGGGCGAGAAGTTCGATTCTAGACCTTTTTCTAAAGCGGTCATTCTGCTCAACGTCTTGCTAGTATTCCAGTTCACAGAGTTGGCAGTTTCCAGTTCTGCAGTGGAGGTTGGTTTTAGGTTGCTGATGCTTTTGATGAATGGCCAGGAGGAGGGCTGGTGGTGGCGGCCCAGAAACAACCCACACAGATTGGGTGACAGTCCTCGGATAGAAGACTTCAGACTCCTGTGAGTGGTACTGTACATCACACGCACTGATGGCATCAGTGAACTGGCTAGTGGTCAGTCAGATGTGTGCCGGTCAACTTGCCCATTACGGTCCTTTGACGCGAACAGCTCAGGAGGCACCGTGCCAGGGCTTGGTGAAGCTGGGCCCACTTCTCCCTGCATTTTGGCAACAGAGCAGGGACAGTCCTGTGCTGCTCCTTCTGTCAATGGGTGGAAAAAGTCACCTGAGTCTCAGATAAATGTACAAGCTGTCCATGAACCCCCATTTCCAGGGCACAGCCACCTCTCCTTAACCTTGTCCCTAAGTAATCTTGTCAGGTGGCTCTTGATATTCACTCGAACCTATTACTCTGGTGTGTTTGTATTTGTGTTTGGTGAAGGGGGATGGGTTGGGGGTCCTTTGCTGTTTCTGGTACAAGGAGAGACACTATGCATTAAAGAATCAACTATCCCCTTCTCAGAGAAGGTTGCCCGAGTCTCCTCGAGTCCGACGGTTTGTTCAGGGCCCCTGTGTTCCTCTGGGTGTAGATGTCGTAGTTGAAATGACTCTGGGGGGTCTTCATGGGGTAACTGGGTGTCAGAGCTGGGTGATAATTATTTCCGTGGTGGCAGGAGACGGGCTCCTGGGCCTCGGGCTCACAGCTGGTCAGTGTGGTCCCCCAGGACCCAGCTTGGGGCCTGGCAGGAGGTTCATGCTTAGTAAATAGCTACTGAATCAAATCTTTAACAAGTTTTATTACATCTTTAGCAACTATCTTGCTGCTGAGGATCAAATGCACCTGAAGTTAATGTAACAAGTAAAATGTAAGTTATCTCTGGCAAGTGGTTTCTTCTTGAAGGAACATGATTAACTCCACCTGGGGTAGACATTCTAATGGTGTCAAGAACACCCATGGGAAGGCAATTCCTGAGTTTGGAAAGACACGTTGTGAGATACCTTAGCCCGAAAAAGGAGTGTGTTTCACACTCGGAGGACAGTTGCTGTACCTGGGGGGCATGTAGGGTGGGGATTCTGACTGCCAGGTGAAGGGGTCTCCTTGGTAACACGTGGCTTCCGCAACAGTACTGGTTCGTTCCCTGCTACACATTGGACTTTCTGTGGACTGAAAATGTTTACACAATACCGACTTTCTTGAAGATTGTCTGCTAATTTATTTCTCTCAGAGGTGGATGCTCTCAGTGTGTGTTCAAGATGTCATCTCCTGGAAATATTAGAGTTCTACACTCTAGCAGAGGTCTCTGGTTTCCCACAACACATATCAGACATATGCTTGTTAGGCATTGTGGATTTTAATTTAAATTGGATTCAACCACAATAAAGAAAATGAGACAAACCTCGAATCACCTTGGGGACCTGGGGATGAGATCATGGCAGCCCTGGGCTGAGAGTCTGGCTCTGTCGCCGCCCCGCGGTCATGCCCCTCTGCTGCTGGACGGCTGCCCTCACCCCTCCTCTTGCTGGAACGAGAGCTTCGTGGGCCGTCATCTGAAGACGGGGACAGTTAGGGCCAGCTCCAGAATTTCATGGGGCCATAACGATGTCCCTGAGAAAGGATAACAGAAGAATCTATTTCTGTTTTAAAATGAGCATAATGGAACGAGATGACATTCTTACACTTATTTAGAGAATAATTTCAGACTCAGGAAAACTGCCAACAGAGCAGAAAGCATTTTTGTTCTGAGTTATCAGAGCGTACGTCACCATCCTGCTGCTATGGACTTGGGTGTGTATGTCCTGTGAGCTGGGACAGTGCCTTGCATGGCGTGACCTGGCCTGTCCCAACTCCCTCCCCGGAGACTGGGCTCCGCTCCCTGTCTGCCTTTGCTTTGCTTTTTATTTTATTTTATTTATTTATTTATCCTCACCCGAGGACATTTTTCCATTTTTTGTACAGATAGAGTGAGAGGGAGAGAGAGGAAGAGAGAGAGAGAGGGAAACATCGACGTGAAAGGGACACATCGAGTGGCTGCCACCCACACGACCAACCAGGGCGGGGGACAAACTGCAACCGAGGTACATGCCCTTAGCGGAAACCGAACCCGGGTCTCTCCAGACCACAGGTGGATGCTCCAACCGCTGAGCCAAACTGGCCAGGGCTGCTTTGCTTTTAAAAAATCCTCACCCAAGGATATTTTTCCATTGATTTCTAGATAGAGTGAAAGAGAGAGAGAGAAATATCGATGCGAGAGAGACACATCAATTGTTTGCCTTCCTCACAACCCCAACCAGGGCTGGGCATCAAACCTGCAACCCAGGTGCATGCCCTTGCCCAGAATGGAACCCGTGACCCTTCGGTCCGCAGGCTGACGCTCTCCCGGCTGAGCCAAACCAGCAGGGCCTGCCTTGGCTTTTCGTGGCCTTACTCTACAGCAGGCACAGGTCAGTGATTTCACAGCAGGGCTCAGTCCGGGTCTGCCCCTGGGTCCTTGTGACTGGATGCGGATCACGCGTGGTTGGCGCCCTGGCTGCTGCGTGGGAACAGGGGCTGCTTTGACCCCTCTTCCAAGCACCTTCTCCCCAAGCCGCCTGCTGGGCTGCTGCGAGGCAGGGCCCTCTGTCCTTTGTCGGGACGCGGCGTGCGTGTGGAGACCGCGTCAACATCCCGTTCCTTGTTCCACGTCTACTGCATTCCCTGATTTCCTAGATGGACTTAGCAGTTTCCACCTCATTCGGGGGCGCTCATCTGTTGTCATTATCGCTGTGTTCTCACAGGCAAACTTCTGCTTTGGCGAGTAGGGGCCTTCAAGCTGGCCCGTGTCCCACATGTCCCCACGTCTTTGCTTTCTGCCAGCCACTTGCTATGAAAGGGTGACTCACAGTCACATCAGCTCACACCAGCTCAGACTGCGGGGTCACCCCTCCTCTGTGGCCCTCCCGCACGGGCCCTCGACTCCCGACATCCTGCTTCGGCCGGAGGAACGGTGTTATTTTCTCTAAGTTTGGTTTAAAGCCTTGAATGTCAGCCCAAACTACTTACTGTGGTCACTGGAGCTCCTGGCCAAGCAGTTCCCTGGGTTCTGCCAACGGAAATGCCCCACCGACTGTCGGCTTCTGGCAAACCGTCCTCCTTCTGTTGCAGTCACTCGGGTTTGGAAAATTCCTTCCCAGCCCATTATCTTTTTCTGATGGTGGATTTCCGAACGGGCCGACCGTGAACTGACTCCACGTTTCTCTGCCCTGTGCTTCCCCCATCTCACCTCTTACTGTGTTGCCCTCCCCTCCTCCCTCCCCTGCCCTCAGGGGGTTGCCTCCAAGGCCCACCAACCACCTGTCTTGGCAGATTAGGGATCATTCAGCTTTCCTGCCAGGTCACCGCAATGCGAAGGGCATGTGGCCAGGGGCAGGCCAGGTGGCTGTTTCCCTAAGGAGTCCCGTGAACTGATACAAAGTCCTTCGGGCCTAGGGTCAGGCCCTTAGCTCTGCAAGGTCAGACACCTAATTTGTTAGCACAAGGAATTCCTTTCTCAGGTGCAGACTCACCAGACCTGAGCTCACAAGGCTGCTGTACAGAACAACAGTCATGCATGCCTCATGGGTAGTGCAAGACTACATGAGCCGGAGACTGCCGCGACCAGCATCAGTGCTTCCGAGGAACAGTGACTGCACCCCCCTGGGAAGGCCGCCGTAGCCGGGAAACCGGGTCAGGATCAGACGCTGGCTCAGTGAGCATGACTCGGAACAAAGGCTACAAAGTCAGTGCATTATATTAGATCTGGAACAGTCTGAAACTTCCAGCTACCAAAGGGGCGGGGGGGTGGGGGTTCAAAGTGAGTTCAGAAAAAACAATTTTGTTGGCTGTACCTCCCAGCATTATCTCCAAACTAAGGACCATTTTCCCAAAAGGACTAAAATCCTTGGTCTGTTGGATAATGTTTTCTCCATGTTGGATCATGTTTGGATAAACTCCAATTATGTGTGCGTCTGTGGTTTCCAATGTTTTATTCCTCTGTGACAAATCAAGTATTCCCTGGTTCTTTGGACATGTCAAATAGTAGCTTCACATGGAAAGTCCACTCACTCTGCTCCTTCAGGAGAGTTTTTATACGTTTGCCCTTATCCATAAGGTACAGATTATAAAGCCCAACGCATGGAGCTCTTTGGCTGATGTATAGAATTTTAAACTTTTTCTTAGTCTCAAGATTTTTGGGAAAGTCCCAGTGCAGCCTCCAAGTACACAGTTTTACTGTTCACATCTGCTTATGGAATGGGTAAAAAGACAACAGAAAATAATACAGCATATCTAAAAGAATTCAGACAGCCCTATTTTTTCATTTCTGCCTGTTTTGTTTTCATGGGAATTCTCTTCTGGGAAAACTTAACTTTTGATGCAGACAAGAAACAGTGAGATCAAAGCAGGAACAGATGACTTGAGAGGTATAGACTGACAATAATATGAGGCTGGTTACAATTCCGCAACCAACTAGACATTCTGCAGGCATAAAGACTTTAAAAGACAATTTTCAGGTTGCTATATAATAAAATATCTCTGGGATCCAGGACACTCCTGCAGCCCTGATCTCAAGCCCCCCCCCCCCCCCAGTGTCATTTACCTATTGGAGCCCTTTCTGTTGGTGCGGGGACCAGGCCACCCCGATATCCTGCGGTCAGGCCGTGAAACAGTGATGCCCCAGCCCATATTGCATGCTGTGTCCAGAAAATACTTTGGGAAGACACGCCATCTTTAGGGTGGGAGTCAGAGCAACAGTGCAGATGCATGTATGTTCACAAAGTGTCTTCCGCAGTGCGCTAGGACCGGGAAAGGCTTCCAGGAGTTTTCGCGCAGCAGTCAAAGGTGAAGCTCTCACTGTCTTGACTCCAAGACCTTCGCTCACAATTTGGTGGACGCCGTGTTTCCAAGCGCAGGTGGCTGCTTCGGCCTGGACTCCTCAACACTACCAGGGTGAAGCTCAGGGGACGATGTCCTCATGGTAAATAGTCAGCATGTGAAAGAGAATATGCAGCAAAAGCATTTCAGCAGTAATTAAAGAAAAAGGGCAGGTGTTAGGGGTTGTTCCTTTGTTAACCACCAGGGGGTGCCGTTGGAAAAGAAAAACTGGTTGGCTCTCAGCGGAGTGGGCCCGCCGGTAGGAGACTGGACACCATGGCCTTTAACAGGTGACTATGCTTTACTCCCATCTGCTGGTGCTGGGTCCCAACCCCTCCCCCCCCAAAGGGTTCCTCTCCTCCTTCACTTCTCAGTGTTCCCAGGGAGTATCTCATTTGAGCTCAAGATTAAATCAGCTCACACCTGGTGTCCTGTTGGTCATTCCTTCTCACCTCCCCAGGTGCACCTCCAGGCCACTGACCCCGCTGAGAGCATTCTGCCACCTGCTCTGGGTGTCCTTACTCCTCTGGACCCCAAGTCTCTGGCCCCAGAGACTCGGCGAAGCCGACTCTGAGCTCTTCCTTCTGCAGGATTTTGGATCTGAGATCAAGGGCAATGGTGGAGAAGAAAGTGCCGATTCTCAAGGGGAGGGAGGAGGGGGAAGGGCAGCGCCCCGAGTACGGGCAAGGCTCCGCACTGCTCAGATCACACTTCCCTAACCCACAGCAACGCGAGAACGGGATCCACCTAACGAAGGGGTCCTGCCTCTTAGGTGAGCGAGGCACTCAAAGGAGTCCCGCGGGGCCGCACCTTCAACCAACGCTGGAAGGAGAGGCGGAGACATAAGGACCATCCGGCCGTGCCAGGGGCCTTTCAGATCCGGACACTAGGTGTCGCTGTTGATGTTCGGGGCTCCCCAAAGGGCGGTTTGAAAAGTCCTAAAAAAAGAGGGTTGGGAGGGATTGCTTCTGTAAGAAGCCAAGCCCGG